ACTATGCGTGCGCACGAACACACACACACACACAAGTAACAATGGAGAAATCTGAATGAAATCAGTGGGTTGTGTCAATATGCATATCCTAGTTGATATTGGACCATAGTTTTATAAATGTTACCATTAGGGGAAACTGAGAAAAGCATATACAAAATCTCTCTCTTTTATGTCTTATATCTGTGTGTGAATCTACAGTCTATCTCTATAAAAATTTCATTTTACAAGAATCCATTCTGATCATTGCAAAGTTCTATTGTTCGTTGTGGAAAGTATAATTCATTTACAGAATGACACCTGTTGTCTGACTAGAAAAGACAAAATTACACAAAAAGATTGAAAATAAATGGATGGGAAAATGCCATATGAGGCAAACGGTAGTGGAAAAAACTAATATGGTAACATTAGTAGCATACAAAATAATCTTTCGTGTAGGTGAACATTATTATTATCATTATAAAGAGGGTCAGTAATGATAAAACAAATAGTTTATTTGGAACATTTAACAATCCTAAACTTGTATTACTTAGCCAACATAGTTTTAAGCAATCTAGAGCAAAAATGAAGAACAAAGGAGAAAACAACAATTCACCTTAGGCCTGGAGGTTATCTAAAGCATTTTTCTCAGTAGCTGTTGTTAGTACATTTTTATCACTATAAGGAGATACCTGAGGCAGGCAGCTTTTAAAGAAAAAAAGATTTAGTTCAGAGTTCTGGATATTGAAGAGCATGGTGCTCAATTCTGGTGAGGACCCCATGGCAAAACAATGACCAAAGCATGTATGAGAAGGAATGATCTGGTGCCAGCATCTCCTGTGACATTGTCACAGCTACCTTAGCAATGCTTGGGGTCGGACTGGTGAACTCCTCCAGCAAATTATGGCAATGAAGGCCGTGTGCATGCTGAAGGGCAATGGCCCAGTGCAGGGCACCATCCACCTCAAGCAGAAGGCAAACAAAGTTTTAGTATCGGGACGCATTACAGGATTGGCTGAAGGGCAGCACAGATTCCATGTCCATCAGTTGAGAGATAATACAGAAGGCTGTACAAGTGCAGGTCCTCCCTTTAATCCTCAGTCCAAACAACATGGTGGGCCAACGGATGAAGAAAGGCACGTCAGAGACCTGGACAATGTGACTGCTGACAGAGATGGTGCAGCAATGTGTCCGTTGAGGATTCTCTGCTCTCACTCTCAGGAGAGCATGCCATCATTGGCCACACAGTGGTAGTCCGTGAAAACCAGATGACTTGGGCAAAGGTGGAAATGAAGAAAGTACAAAAGTGGGAAATGCCGGAAGTTGTCTGGCTTGTAGTGTAGTTGGGATAGCTCAGTAAACATTCCCTTCCATGTGGCTGGGTCCCAGTAACTCATCTGTTATCCTGCTAGCTGGCAGAAATTTAACTTGGTAAACATTAAACATTGTAATCTTAAAAGTATAGCTGTGTGACTTCTTTTTAATTGCTCTAAGTATTTGTAATGAGAGGGAGTGGTCACATGATGCAGCAGAAAGCTGAGATTCAGGGCTCAGGCTCACTCAGATTTTAAAACATAATGCTCTTTTGAGAGCTCAGGGGTGCATTTTTGCTCTAGATTGCTTAAACACAATTACCACATTCACTTCCATATTGTCTTTGACTGCTTTTGTACCATAATGGCACAGTTGAGCATTTGCAACAGAGAATATATAATCCACAAATCTTAAAATACTTACTATCTGACCTCTTGTAGAAAAAAAAAAAATGTTGACTTCTGTCTTGGACAACAGGTCCTTGGAACACGATGCAGTGTTAGAAATCAATGACACACAGAGACAAATATTTAGACATTAAAAATCACACACTGAATGGATAAAGAAAATGTGGTACATATACACAATGGAATATTAATTACTCAGCCTAAGAAGAATGAATTATGGCATTTGCAGGTAAATGAATGGAGCTGGAGAATATCATGCTAAGTGAAATAAACCAAATCCAAAAAACCAAAGGCCAAATGATTTCTCTGATAAGTAGATGCTGATCCATAATGGGGGCAGGGTAGGAAAGAATGGAGGAACTTTGGATTGGGGGGGGTGTGGGGTGGGAAGGACGATGGAATGACATGGACATTATTACCCTGTGTACATGTGTGATTACACAACTGGTGTGACTGCACCATGTTCAGCCAGAGGAATGAGAATTTGTGCTCCATTTGTGTATGATGCATCAAAATGCATTCTACTGTCATGTGTAACTAATTAGAACAAATTTAAAAATTTTTAAAAATCACACTGCTAAATAACTCAAGGGTCAAAGAAGAAAGTCTAAATGGAACTTATAGAATGTATTAGTACCTAACATTGAAAAAGTACACGTCAAATGCGGGATGTAGGTAAAGAGAAAGAGAGAAATTGAAGTCTTAAAAAAATGTTAATATTAGAAAATAAGAGGTCTGGGTTATGTCTCAATGCTGGAGCACTCATCTGGCAAGTGTGAGGCCCTGAGTTCGATCCTCAGCACCACATATAAATAAATAAAATAAAGGTATATATAAATATATATGTATGTATGTATGTTTATATGTGTGTGTGTATATATATATATATTCATATATATATATATATATATATATATATATGAAAGGTTGAAAACTTATGTGCTAAGTATTCATATTTGACAGGTTTGCCAAAACAATTCCATGGGGGAAAACTAGTCTTTTCCAAAAATAGCTCCAGAATAACTTGGTATCCACATGCAAAGGAATAAAGTTGGACCCCTACTTCATACCATATATAAAAATTAACTAAAAATGGATCAAAGACCTATATATAAAAGCTAAAACTCTAGAACTCTTAAAAGAAAACATAGGTAAAAGTCTTTGTGACCTTGGATTAAGCTATGGTTTCTTGGATATGATAGCAAAGGCATAAACAAGAGAAAAAAATAGATAGATTAGACCTCATCAAAGTTTACAACTTTTATACTTCAAATGATGCTAACATAAAGAGTGATAAGGCAATCTAAAGGATGGGAGAAAATATTTAGAATTCATGTATTTAAAGATTTGGGGTGCCTAACATATTACAAGTAATTAAGGCTAGGTATGCAATTCAGGGGTGGAAAGCTTGCCTAGCATGCTCAAAGTCCCAGGTTTGAGCCCCAGTACCAGAAAAGCAAGCAAATAAAAAGAATAATTATTGTAATATAATGAGAAAGAAAACAGTTAAGGTGTGCACAAAGTATTTGACTAGATATACAAATAACCAATAAACATATCTGAGATGTTCAACGTCATTTGTCGTCAGGGAAATACAAATGAAAACTACAATGACATGGCACATCGCACACATTAGGATGACTATAATAAAAAAAAGACTAACAATACCAAGTGTTAACAAGGAACCCTGGTGCATTGCTTCCAGGATTTGAAACAGTGCGGCTGCTGTGGAAAATCTGGTAGTTCCACAAAAGGTTAAATAGAGTTGCCTAGGACTCAGCAAGTTCATGCCTAGGCATATTTGCAACAGAATAGAAAAGTTAGTCCAAAAAAAAGTGCATGTGAATGCTTTTCACAGTGTTGTTCATAATAGCCAAAAAGGGGAAACAATTCAAATGTCCATCAACAGAAGAATGGATAAACAAAATGTGGCATATCCATACAATGGAATATTATTTAACCATAAAATAAAATGAAGAACTGATTCATGTTATAACATGGATGAACCTGAAAAACGTACCAACTGAAAGGAGCTAGACACAAAAGGCACCTGGGGCATGATTGCATTTATGATAGACACATCCAGAGAAACAAAGGAGACCACTGGCTGCCAAGGTCTGGAAAGGGAGCTGTAGGGAGAGACTGAACAGATACAGGGATTTCTTTGGAGTGATGAGAACATTGTACAACTTGCGAGTGGTGATGGTTGCACAACTTTGTGAATATACTAAAAATCACTGAATTGTACATTATATGATTGTGAATTATATCTCAATTTTTTTTTCTTGCTGCTTTTTTTTGGGGGGGCCGGCCGGGTGGAGGGGGGATTGAGCCCAGGATCTTGTGCATGCAAGGTAAGCACTCTACCAAGTGAGCTGCAATATCTCAGTTTAAAAAAGAAAGAAAGAAAGAAAAAAGAAGCTAGAAAGGAAACATCAGAATAAAAAAATGAAAAGAGAAGGAAATAATAAATAAAATTGATGAAGTAAAAAAAAAAAATGAAAAGAAAAAAACCCCTGATTTTTAGGGGGTGGAGATAAAAACGAAAGCAAAAATGCCCCAGGTGAGACCGATGAGGGATTCCAGGCAAGCAGGCCTTTTGTTTTTACAAAACCACAAATTATCTGAATGATGAATAACACAAGTGTGGATTTAGGTATGCGGCGGCCCCAAGCTTACACATTCTATTCCACCTGTCCACCTTTGCTATTTCCAGAAGTCTAATGCTTGGACTCAGAACCTAAATCAAACCTCTGTTTGTTTCCTACATTCTTCTCTTACGGGTCCAGATGTGACCAGACACTGGGGAGAGCTGGGAGGTTTTATGAGGCTCTGTTTTTTCCAGGGGTTTATCTTACAAATAATTTATTTTTGCAGCATCACACTCTGGTGCACTTTCTTTGCTGTACTGGACAAATTATTTCAATATTTGCAACACTGACTATCTTGAGTCAAGGCAAAGGATTGACCCAGCTTGCTCCCCCAAAAGTTCATGCTTTGAAAAGAAAGTTCACCCCAATCTGGCCTCACACAGAGGGATCTAGTCTGTGGCTCCAGGGGGCACCTTTCAATATCTCAAACAAGCCAGACCCTCTCCCATTAGAGGCTGGTCCATTACTATACTTCCTCTTCCTCTCATTGGAATGCCACCACCCAGGACGAAGCCCTGCATGTTGAAATGCACCCCCCACCCTAGTATGCAGGTTTTAATGCCCCTCTGTGGCTTCGTGGTTCATGCAATCTTAAGGTAATGCACAAGAGGAATCAGAGGGCAAAGTACATGGTGCTCTGACTGTCTTGTAGATGGCAAGGAGGACATCATGCTTCTGCACAGCACTGGGACCTTGGATGCCACAGCCAAGACCTTCTCTGCCCGGGTCCGAAGAGCCACAACTTCAAGAACAGAGAGGATATGGCCTGGAGGCGTCATCCCCTATGTCATCGGAGGGAACTTCACTGGTCAGTAGCCCCAAATCAGGCTGCTTTGGGGCTGGGTGCTCTGGCTCCCAGGGTTGAGAGCATCCTTCCAGGAGGGACTTGGGTGGGACAAAGTGGATGCCAGGACCACAGCAGTCCCAATCTGCCTAGGCTCCCTTGTTCCCAGGAAAACCACAATCTCTTGGCGGGGGGGCTATATCCTCAAAGTGGTCACCTTGTTCCCAAGGATTAGGTAGGGACAAATCACCCTGGTCCCGAAGGACAGATGGGGTTTGCACGGTAAGCACGTGAGGACAAGCCAACTCCCACCCCCAGACACGAAGGGCAGCACAAGTGGTTGCACATGGTAGCCTGTCATCCTCTGCCCAGAGGAGCACCAGGACGTAGTGGGCCCTTATCCACACCCATCAGAGTAGTGCTCTACGGGACAAGCAGGGGGTGCCAGTCGAGGTGACACCATGTGGCATGACTCCCTGGGTTCAAATACTGACGTTTCCCATCCCACAGAGATGTTTTGAGAATCAAATAAATTAATATAGATAAAGCACTTAGAATTGGGTGTAGCACGCAGTAATTAGTGTTTCCTGTTAGTATCATTGTCTTTAGAATATGTGAGTCATCCCATTGGCTTCCCACTGCCTCTGAAACCACCCATCACGGCCTACCAGGCTGTCCCCTGGTGGCCTGCCTCCCCCGCTTCCTGGTCTTCTACCTTCTCCTCCTTTTCCCTAGTCCCTCTGCTCTGGCCTCAGCAGCCATCTTCCCGTTCCAGAACATGCCCACCTTGGCACATGGAGGCTGGCACTTGCCCTTCTGTTTGCCAAGAGCTTTGCCTGGCTGGCTGCTTCTAATCAGTCAAGTCTCACATGAAGGGACACACACCCACAGAAAGTCCCTCTGCCTCCCCATGACCCCACCAGGTGTCCCAGAGCCCAGTTTAGAACCTTTCCGGCACTTACCATCACCCAGAATGACTTCCCTTCTTATTTCTGGTTGCTTTTCGCCTCTGCCTGAGCTCTATCGGGGCTGGGGTTTTTTTTCCTTCCTATTTTCTCTCCCACATCTCCAGCACCTAGGACAGGGCCTGGTCCAGAAGAGGCAAAATCTGTCCATGGCAGGCCTGTGGCCAGTACAGCCAGAGTCGAACACCTCAGTGAAAGCCACAGAGTGAGCCCCCAGGTTCTCAGTGCCCTTTATGAGTCCTTCAGATCCCTGTGGCTCTGTGACTTCTACTATAAGAGGTATTTGATAAAAGAAGGTGTCCTGATGACCTGCCATGGCCACTGAGAACCACAGATGAGCAAGTTGGTGAAAGAACGACACAGACCTGGAGAGTGGTCCCCTGGAGCCTGGAAGGAGCATGGAGCTGCCCCTTTGTCTCTTCTTGGTGGCATTACCCACACTTCCTAGAGCCAGATGCATCATTAAGTGCTTCAGTAAAGAGATGACTAGGACTTTGTCCTGCCCTTGGGAAGCCCCCAGTTCTAAAGCAGAAAACTATATATGCCTAAGGAACCGAAAAGTAGGATTATGAATGGCTGCTATTGTTTTTGGTATCTTAATTGTGTTCTGACCATAGATCATATTACCTTCTGTGTTCATCTGACCACAGATTATATTACCTTCATCAGAATGAACTAATGGTAAATATTAGGATTTTGTTGTTCTTTAATACATAGGATTGCTATTTTGATGAGTAATTTAGCCATCCACAAATTGAACTGAAAATGTCAAGATGTCAAGAAGAGTGGACAGCTGTTATTCTGTGTCTGTGTTTTGGGGGATAATATGACAAGGTGCCCCACATCTTCTAGACTATGGCAGGAGTTTATTGCAGTTTTTTATGTTTTAATTTAATTTAATTTACTTATTTGTACCCCTCTCACACTCTAACTCCTAGCCTCAGCCCTCTTTGTACTTCCCAAATCCCTATGTTTTTTGAAAGCTTTTTGAAAAGCTGAAAGATATTTATTTAATTGATAAAATTATATATATTCAAGGTGTTCAAAGTGGTAATTTGATACATGATTCCATTATGTAATAATCACCACAATTAAATTAATTAACACATCCATCACCACCCGAAGTTACCATTTGGGGTATATGTGTGAGAACATTTAAAATCTGCTCTTATTACATTTCAAGCAAACATTACGATATTATTAGCAGGTCTGTTTTCTTTGATCATCAGAGCAGGCTTAGGCCAGCATGTTTAAGGAAGGCATGACCCCGGGTATGAAGTGATCAGCCCTTGCCCTGTCGTTCCAGGCAGCCAGAGGGCCATTTTTAAGCAGGCCATGAGACACTGGGAAAAGCACACCTGTGTGACCTTCATAGAGAGGACGGACGAGGAAAGCTTTATTGTTTTCAGTTACAGGAACTGTGGGTGAGTACACAGAAGCAAGACCCTCTTAGCAGGATTAAAGGTGCATGAGTCTTGAATTCCTCTGTAACACTAGGGTGGTGATTTATAGGTGTTGAGGGTTTGCTGGAAGCTCTCCTTGCCCTCAGTGAAATTGCAATCCATTTACAAAGCAGATAGGTCCAGAGTGACTCCAGGAAGACCTACTCTTAGGGGGTCCCATTGTGTTTTTATATGGAGAAAAGGTTAGGCCAGTGGCTCTTAACCTCTGATCCCACTGAGAAGCCGATAGCTGGAAAAAGCTGTCCTTTCTCAAGAATGAATGTACATAGATGCAAAATTCTGCATAGCCTTACGCACTTCCTACAGAAACATTACACACAAGAAAATGACTAAATTATGAAAAAAAGATGTCTGTTATGCTGATAAATGTGTGAGGTACTCTCTACTGAAAAAGAAAGGTTCCCATTTAAGGTCAAAAATCAAAATTGAACTGCATGCTCTACATATAAGCTTAGGATCATGAGCAGGGTCCATAACCCAGAGAGGTTTAAAAACAAAAGAAAGGAGGTGTACAGACAAACACTAGCAAAGGGAAGTTGGTATCATGATTGTGATTATAGATGAGGCTTTTCTTGTTTGGGTTTTTGTTTTTATTATGCATTTATTTATTTTGTGGTGCTGGGGATTGAACCCAGGGTCTCGCCCATGCTAAGCAAGATCTCTCACTGAGCTACATTCCCAGCCCTGTTGTTGTTTTTGAAGTTAGAAAGTGTTAAAAAAAAAAAGTGACACTTTATAATAAGGAAGGGTACAAGTTATGGTGAGAATATGTGTCACAAATATTTATGCACTAAATCACATAGCATTAAGAGTCATAAAACAAGCCTTGGGTATCCAAGGGGAAATTGACAGAAATACCAGCAGCAGGAGATTTACTTCACTTTCATCAAGTAGGTTAGCATCAAATTGACTAAAAAATAAGTAGAGAATTATAGAGGATCTAAAAAGTATAATTAATACAGTTGGCTGGAGAATGAAATAAACACTATGAATACTGACTCTGTAGGTCTGTCGTATTCTGTAACATCTTTTTAAAGTGCATGTTGAAGGTGTATTGACCTTGTCCATCTATTCAGCATGAAGAACATCTCAGTAGACCCTAAAAGGCAGAAATAACATTAAAATATTCTCAGATTGCAAAGCAATGAAACTAGACACAATAACAAAAATAGAATTACCATTACTTGATAAGTTAAAAGCTCCTCCTATTTTTTTTAATAGCTCTTAGGTCTTAAAAAAAAATCAAGATTAACATGGCAGAATGTCTAGATAATGAAAGCCATATGGTTCAAAATGAAATAGATAAGGCCGAGGCCTTATCCACAAAATATCCACACCAATACTTAAGAAATAAGTATCCAATTAAGAGAAGTCAGCTACAATAAATAAAATAGATATAAACCACAATTGTCACACTAACAACAACAACAAAAAAAAACCTAATGAGAGCACAAGGAGACATTATAGGGCTAACAAATTCAAGAGTGAAATCTTCGAATAAACAAGAGACAACGGATAAACCACTTGTTGGTGTAACTGAGACCAAAAGTGGCAGCACAGAAACACACAACATTAGAAATGGAAAAGATTTTATGATTATAAAAGAGTACTTTGCAACATTCCAGGGCAAGAAATGTGAAAATCTTGATAACGTGAATGACTTCAAGGTAAATATAAAGTCCTGGCACACACCAATGGCTTTGAAAGAAATTGAAAAATGGAGGTAAAAAAGCTTTCTTGCCCTAAGAACCAAATGCAAAGTTCAATAGGGGAATTCTTTTATACCTTCAAGAATCAGAATATTCTGATACTACTGAAACTTTTCAGAGCATAGAAAAAAAACATTTTCAAATTCCTCTAAGGAGCTATCGTGGGCTTGCTTCCCTAAAATGACAAGGAGGGCATTGACAATAAATAAATAAATAAGTTATAGACATCTCACATATGAATAGTCATGAAAAATCCCAAGTAAAACATTAGACTTAGCAGTAGGAAAAAGGAAGAGTAGGTTGCCACGTAGGCTTACCTAAAGAATACAGGACTAGTTCATCTTTAGGAAATCTACTCACAAGATTGATAGGCCAAAGGAGGGAAACCATGTGCATGTCTCAATATGTGCTAAAAGGCATCTGCAGGTTTCAACATGCATTTTCTGTCTTCAAAAGGGGGGTAGCACAGGACTAGATATCAATTACCAAAAGATACATACATATATATATATATATATATATACATATATATACACACACATATATTCATATATACATATGAAATACATTTATATTTCATTGCATTTGAAACCATAAGCCAATATTGGTAACAATCCTAGAAGCATTTCTGTTGGAATTAGGAACAAGCCAAAGATGTTTATGGTCACTACCATGATTTGACCTTGCTTTGGAAATACTAAATGATATAATGAGGCAGGAGAATGAAATAAACACTATGAATATTGGCAGGAACAAGGCAAAGTTCGTGTTATTGGAAGTTAATGTGATCATGTGCCTAGAAAACCCAGAAAATCAATTGAAAAACCATTAGAAACCCGAAGAGACTCTACTAAGGTGGACTGATCACAAAAGTAACTGGCAAAAAAATGAATTGCTTTTGTTTATACATGAAATAGCATGATGCGTTTTACAATGGAAAAATATCACTTTTTAATCATTATCAAAATGTCAAACACCCATATCCTTTTGTTCAGTAATTCCATTGCTTGGGATTCACCCTGCCGTGAACAAGGGAGATTCCAGCTTTTCTTTGTTTCCCTTTTGTTTTGGTGTTGTTTATTTGTTTTATTTATCTCTTGCAGCTTTGTTTAAATAGCAAAAACTGAGTGTATTTTGGTAAGAGACTGATGAAGTAAATTTTAATGCTATAAAAATATTTAGTACCGAGAAATAAACTTGGTAATGTATTGCTTTGAAAAGAATTAAAGAGGTCTACAGTGGGCTCTTTAAAGCCTAAAATGAGGGAAAGAGGCAGGCTGAAAAACAAGTCCATAGTGTATTGTGTAATTTAAATATATACTCGTATAAAGATAGCTTTCTGACTCTCTGTATTTATATCTGTCCATCTGTCTGTCTTTCTTTCTGTCTTATAATTGTCTGGGAGTACATCCAAGAAACTGTTAGCAATGTTTAGCTTTGGATAGAGATTGGATGTGCGGATGAGAGACTTCGATCTTTTGAAATATGATCAATAGATGTTATCTGGATGATAAGATTATGGGACATTTTAATAGTTTGACAAAATCAGTGTTGGTCAGTGTATTAGGAATAGTGAATAAATAGTTGAAAAAAGAATTGTGCCCAGAAGGGAGACTCTGTTTCCTCTAACAATGGTACTAAGAGGCACACTTTTCAGAAACTTCTGCCTCCTTCTCCCATCTCTTTCCCTCGTCCTTATAAATGGTCCAATTGAGCCTCAGGTGCATGTGCTTAATCCCAGGAGGGGAAACTCTTTCTTCAGATTCCCAGAAGTTTGAGAAGCATCTTTTGAGGACATCTCTATATTGGGCGGGGAGTCAAACAATGGGAGGGCTTTCACCTCTGAAGTGTGCCAGTGGGCGGGGAGGGGTGGTGGTCTTGCCTCTTGCCCTGGATATCCCCTGACCTGCTGACCTGAGTGTTTCTATCACTGTCCAGCTGTTGCTCCTATGTTGGGCGTCGAGGAGGGGGACCCCAGGCCATATCCATTGGCAAAAACTGTGACAAGTTTGGCATCGTGGCTCACGAGCTGGGCCATGTAGTTGGTTTCTGGCATGAGCACACCCGGCCAGACAGAGATCAGCATGTCACCATCATCAGAGAAAACATCCAGCCAGGTAAGGAGGCCTGGGTGGAGTCTGGAAGCCACCATCCAGGAAGGTGGCACCCACAGGGTCAAGAGGGAGTGGAGGAGAGGGCCTGCCTGGAGCTGAGCAAAGCTGACAGCTAAACATGGGGCAACAACCCAATTGTGTGGGTACTTGCTGCCAGCACTGCCACTGTCCGTCCCACTGTGGCCTTCTTGGGCAGTCACCTGCTCAAGTTTTTAGAACAGAAGTGAAATAATGATTTTCCCTTGTTGTAAAGGACAATTCCCTAAATGGAACAGAATCAACCAGAATTCTGTTGCAGCATCAGGGCTGATCAGCCAAAGAAAGTTCTCCCGGCTGCGGTCGTGAGTCATTTTTGCTGACTTGGACAACACATGGTTTTGAAACTGCAGTGCAGTTAAGATACCAGTGCGTGTAAGAGCCATGTCTCTGCCTAGAAGGCTTCTGCCCCGAGGCAGCTAATGGATCTAGATTTTTAAAAACATATCTTCTCACGTTAAATAATTCAATTTAACCGTTGATATTTAACAGGAAACTTGCTTCTTGAGTTATAGGCTTGCCTTCAACATGCTTTAGAGAATCTAAACTGTGAAGTCCTTGGGATTGAATTTAACTCTGATTCATTTTCATTTCCTCCTTCAAATTGCAAGAATGGAATTTTTGGTTTTTAGCCTAACTTTTTTTTTTTTTTTTTTTGACAAGCAGATTGAGTGCTAATCAGCCTGCAAATATAGTTCAAGATCTTCAAGTGGCATTTGGGGAGGGGTGTTGGGTGGCAGGGCTGGGAGAACACAGGGCTTGTGTTAAGTTTCCAATTTCCAACTTCTGTTAGAAACAGCAACAGGAAGCTCCGTAAACCCTGTTACTTGACTAGCTGGGGTAAGAGTGGCGGGAAATGCTATGGGCCCTCCCTCTCCCTCCTCTGCCTCCTTTCAGGTGCTGCCTTGCTTTTCAAAGGCCTTAACAGAGTGTTGTGTCACAGGTCAGGAGTATAATTTCTTAAAAATGGAAGCTGGGGAAGTGAGCTCTCTGGGAGAGACCTACGACTTTGACAGCATCATGCACTACGCCCGGAACACCTTCTCAAGGTCGGAACCCTTGCTTGTGCTGTCTGTGTTTTATCGTGCCTGCCGCAGGCTTGGGTCAGATTCCTGAGGTCTGTGCAGAGCAAGCGAGTCTCTGCATGCTCCTAGCACGGCTGGCCTGTCTGTCCTTAAAATACAGTGGCCCCTGGGCTGCAGTGAAATATAATCTAATCAGGTTCCTGCTAATAAGATTGAATCCCATTGTGAAGCTGGCGTTCCATCATGTCCTAATGTCACAAGCAGCAAACTGGAAAAGGGGAATTATTGAGAGGTTGGCTAGGATAATAACTTAGAAGCTGCGTGTAAAATTTTGGGGGTGGGGGTGGGGGAACCTCTTTAAAGCATGTCCTTGTGTAAGTGTGGTGGTACTCACTGCTTCTCCTAGAAGAGGTTTGGTTTATTGGAAGCTAGGTTGTGTCGGAGGCTGGAGGGCTGAAAATCACAGATTCACCTTAGAGGTAAAGAAAATGAGGCTCCAGCCAGTTCAGAGGTGCACAGGTAGCTGGGGTTGGAGGGAGAACAAGGATCCAGGTTCTCTGCCTGCCGATCATGGATGATGGAAGGTATTTTACTGAGTGGGGCTGGACCTGTTTTTTATGGTTGGCATTAGCAGAATCTGAAGAGCTGGGTCACTGTTCTCTTTACTGTCTTGCTTCTAGGACACATAAATGTTTTTTTGTGTATAGAAGTTTTTCCCTACCAGTTCCATTTTTGTAGGTCTTCCCGCTCTTGAGTTAAAGAAGATACACAGTTCAGATATTCTCTCTCTTGGCACTTTCTTTTCAGTGTCCTCTTAAAACCAGCTGTTTGTTTATTTAATTGTTCCCCCCAGAAAAGGTTTGAGGTGACTTCCAATACATGCATACAAGGGAAAAAAATGGATTGAGAAAACTGGGGGAAAGAGAGGAAAAAAAATAAGAATAGAAAGTTACATTGAAGCCTGAAATAACTTTAGTACTCAGAATACATGCTGTAAATTCTGTAATCCCATCCCTTTTGCCCCTCAGGAGAAAACCATTACTGCTATCTATTATCAAAGGCAACCATTTTATCAGCATGAACCACTGGAAATCCATGATCCAAACCCATGAAATAATCTCTCCTCATCCAAAGTACCTACAGTTCCTAGGAGGGAGATTGACAGGGGCAGCACTGGGTGTGTTGGGCAGCTTCCCCAAAGGCCATCTTCCCTTCTGCAGCTGTTTCCTTATCTATTATTGCAGAACAATTCTCGGCCTAACCTAGCAGAACAATCCGCTGCCAAACTTAGGGACTTAAAACAGCAGCTCATTCTTTTTTCTGATACCCTGGGTCAGTCTGGCTCATTTTTCTCTGGTCTGCCCTGATATCACTCACGCAGCAACAGTCATTTGACAGTTTGAACTGGGGGTCAAGATGACCAGTCACACAGCTCACAGTTGGTGCTGCTTGGCCGTGCCAGTCGGTTCCCCTTCCCACAGGCTGTCATCCTCCACTAGGTGTGAGCAGGCCCTTCTCTGCTTGAGGACTCAGCTCCTGGGGGCAAGCTGGGAAGCAGCAAGGCCCAGGCTTAGAACTTGCATGACATCTGTCTCTTCTGCTCCATTTTATTGGTCAGAGCAACCCACAAGGCCAGCCCAGTCTCTGGTGAAGAAATAGACTCCACTTCTGAATGAGAGGAGTGGTGACTTCACATTGCGAAGGGATATAAATATTAGGAGGTGCGATTAATTATTTTATTAATCAATCTCTGCTCTCTTTTTACCTCTGCACCAGAGTTTGGAATTTTTTTTTTCCAAATCTATTTTGCTACAGGTAGATACCTAAATTGTCTTTTCTGCCAATTTTCTGAAAACTATTCTTTTCTTTGGGCCCTTACTAGGGGGCTTTTCTGGAATTTTGTCCAAAGTTTCTCAAGTCCCAGTGGCTCAGGAGGCTGAGGCAGGAGGACAGCAAGTTTGAGGACAACAAGTTCAAGTTCAGCCTCAGCAACTCAGTGAGGCCCTAAGCAACTTAATGAGACCCTATCTTAAAACTAAAAAAATAAAAAGAGCTGGGGATGTGACTCTATGGTTAAAGGCCCCTGGGTTCAAACCTTGGTACAAAAAAAAAAAGTTTCTCTACTCCCTAACTTGAGGTCATTACTCCTGTTTACATATCCCTGAAACCATACTGTACCTTGTCTTTGATTCTGTGAAAGAGCAGAAGACAGCCTACAAATGTATACTCATCTAGGAGACAAAGGCTTTTCCCGCTCATGGGAAACCCGGTCTTTTTTTCTCTTTACAACTGAGCCATCTCCTTACAACTTTATTCCCTCTGGTTTATTGTGCTGCTTCTCTGCTCTCCCTTAGTTGGACCCAAGCTGTGGGGAGTGATATCTTTGGAGAGGTTTTGTTGGGCATAGGTCCAGGGAACAGGAGGAGACAGTCTCTTAGTACAGGGATGTCTTTGTTTGGAGAACCCAGAGCTGACAGTTTTATTCCCTATGGCATCTGCCAAAGCCTTTCTTAGTCTAGCAGAATGTCAATGTCAGTGCTAGGGGTTGCCCCCCATGAGAGGGGGAAGGATCACTATGGCAATGTGTTACTCAGGGCAGCTCTTCCAGCAGATCTCTTTCAGTGCCCTGTGCCTTGCTGGTAGCTCGGAGTCGTACAGGGATATCCCAGCTCCAAAACCTGTTTTCATGTGAGCCAGTGTGCCTGTTTAAGGTCTCCAGGGCTTTAAGTCTCCTGGGCACTTAATACTATCATTGAAGGCCCACTGTTTCCTGTCCACTGTTTCACTGGCTGGGAAGGAAGAAGATGCTCAGGGGTGGGTTCCAGGGCTGCCTGGGTTCCAGAGCTGGCTGTCCACTGGGCAAGCTGTGTAAGCCCCACAGGTTTGGATTTCTCACCTGTAGAGTGGGAAGCCTAGTGATAGGGGATCTGCCTTCCAGGATGTAAAGAAGATTAAATGAGAAGATGCTTGTCAAGCTCCCAGCCCCAGGCAGGTCTCTTATCACTAGGCTCAGGGATCAGAGCACAGTGGGCTTCAAGAAATGGCTCTTGAATTAAAGCATGCAGCCAAGACAAAGGCTGGCTTCAAAACATTTGCAAAATAGCTATTTACATCCACAAGGAAATGCTGAAATGCACACAATCACCTAGCTACTAACTGTGCACTCTCCTTTTTCCTGGCTCTCTCACTTTCAAACACTGTTTCTCTTAACTCTGTACTAACCTAGAAAATGCATTATTATCTGTATTTCTTCCTGGTCACATTACATTGTCATATTTTTGCTCTAGAGGTGCTTGTTTTTCTAAATCAGAATCCAAGCTGACTTTCTCTCCAACACTAGCACGAGAAGTCTAGACCATCCGCTGATTTCCCTTTCAGCCTCCGGGTGCCCAGCTTTCTCTAAATGTGCCCTGGCTTTCTCTAACTCCTCCTGTCTCCTCTCTGGGTCCGCAGTCCCCTAGAGAAACCTCAGTGGAATCCTTGGTCTCCCTTAGTGACCTCACCAGGTTTTAAACCATAAGTAATGACTCTAGAGAACTCTAAATTCAATCACCTATTATTGTGAAAATGGGCACCTCTGCTCTCACAAATGATGTGTCCATTTGTAGATATTTCCCTGAAGAAAGGAATTTTGCAGCACAAACATAATAATCACCACATTGTCCAAGCAGCCCAGGCTCACACAGCCTGCCTGGCAAAGTCACCAACAGACCTGGCATGTGGAGACCAGGTCTCCTGCCCTCCCTCACCATTCTTAGGACACACCTGAGCTAAGGCAGTGGCTTGGGAATGAGGAGAAGGGTAGGGTCTGGAGGGATGCCATCGTAGAAGGCGTGGGACCTGGTCATTAGTCCAAGGGAGTGTGAGGGAGAAGGAGGAGCTGAGGCCCCTTTGGTCCAGTCTCAGGAGACAAAGGTCATGGAATTGGCAGGAGAAGATTGGAGCAAATTTATTTGGGGACATGTTGGGTAAAGAAGCCCCTAGGATAGCTCAGAGGAGGTGGGACCAGGTGTCTGGGGCCTGGTAGATGGTTCTGAGCTGGAAACAGAATTTACTGTGTGTCTCAGGTGGTGGGTAAAATCCTGGGAGTAGGTGGAACATGGAGAGAGGAGAACAGAGGAAGTGGGCAGAACCCCAAGGGACAGCATTAGTCAGGAAGCAGAAGTGACTCCTGTAGCTCAGCTTAGAGCAGTGCTCTGGGAACAGGGAGAAGAGAGTGAAGAGGGGTGGGGGGTGACAGGTCCCGGGGCTGTAGAGAGCACAGGCGAAGTCTGAGAAACACCCATTGGTAGGTGAGTGGTGACCATCACCATCACGGATGGTATCAGTTAGCAGTTGGAGTGAGGAGTGAGTGATAGGTGATTATCAAACAGGGAGGGGATGCAATTCTTCCCAGAAACTCAGTTAAGAAAGAAGGAAGCAGGTGGTACCAAGAGGAGCTGGTTCAATGCAAGGCCTAACCTCCAGGAGAGGCCCCACACAGATGGTCTAGAGGCAGAGGAGGCTCAGAGCTGGCAGCAAAGCAGGAGGGGAGAAACCACGCCCACACAGGGCAGTGCAGATAGGGCCAGGGCTCAGCCAGGCATCCTGGTTTCCATTTGTGTTTTAGAAATGAAGCTGTCATTTTGGATATCATTCACGTGGGAGTAGAATATGATGCTAACCCTGGGAAGGGCTGCCACAACCATCCAGGCCACCCTCTTTCAACTTCCTCTTGTTCTCTGCATTTCTCTCTGGCCATCACGACCCCTCAAGCTCTGATTTACCAACTCATTTGCCTTCACTTGCTGGCTAGCCGCCCAGAGCCACGCACTGCACCAGCTCCTGTGCTCCCTCTGAATGACTCCAGAACTTATCTATGCATAGCACTGCCCAATGCACACCTCCAGGGGGCGCCACTCACACCGCCATCTATGGTGCTCCCTGCCTTGTGTAGTGTGCTGACCCCAGGGCTAGGCCTCTCAGGGACTTCATGAAATGCTCAGTACACATCAGTAAGGAAGGTTCTGGCAACCAGGCTAGTGCATATTTTTCCACTTGGCAGTCATCTTTCCTTGGAAAGTGAGCAGGCAGCTGATGAGATGAAATGCTGAAAGGCCAGCCAGAGCGAAGGAAGCTGCTCCCGTCATGCCAGCCCGGGGAGAGGCAGGCGGGGAAGGAATGCCGAGGAGAATAGAGGCAAGGAAATGAAGACTAAGCCCACGGTGCACAGGCTGACAGTCTGACTTTTCTTCCTCTCTCTCTTTTTTGTTCCTGTAGAGGAGTTTTCTTAGACACCATCCTTCCCCGTCGGGATGATAATGGCGTCAGGCCCACCATTGGCCAGCGTGTGCGTCTCAGTCAGGGAGACATAGCTCAAGCCCGGAAGCTGTACAAATGCCCAGGTAACTGCGAGCCGCAGGGTTTCCAATACCTCTGAGCTTCCCACAGAGCGCAGCTCGCTGCTGTTTGCAAATGGCATTCTTGTGATGACTTGGGGAACCTAAAGGGACTGATCCTTGGCAGTTATTATTTCTGAGACCTGTCTTAGGAGGTGTGAGATAGCATAGAAAACCAAAATGGTGAGGAGAATTAATAGGCTCTCAGAGCCTATAGCAAGACTTGTGAAGGTCTTTGGACTTCTCTGGCAAAGCCCGGGGTCCAGAGGGGAAGAAGTCGCAGTAGGAGAGCAGTACACAGGCATCCAGGGTGGTTGGCCCCATAACACTCAGAGCACTGGACGATTGGGACTGGTGATGTGGATTTGGCAAGACAAGAATCAAGGAGCTGGGCAGGAAGACAGAGTGAGGGAGAATGCTTGGGGAAAATGGAAATCTGTTTCCCAAATACTATGGGTAGGGGAAGCCTCGGTGCTATAAAGAAGGCCATTTCTATGGCCTTAGTCAGTGACCAGTGGCTGCTATTGAAGACTGGGCAGTACCCATGGGTTGGAGCAAATGCCTATTCTCTGGCCAGTTCAGCAGTCCCCATCCTTTGAATTGGCCTTCTTTGCCTTTTGTCCTCTTACTTTCAGCACCATCTCAACCCATGCTACCCTGGGGGTGAGGTCTCCTTTCATCCCCGGAGCTGCTGGGTGACAGTGCAAAGCATTGGTTGCAGCAGCCAAAATTTTTACCATGGATGGGACAAAATACATTCCTATGGTTTGGGGAGGACAGTAGGAAGTTCCATTACCAACAGTCACTTTCCAAATGCAAGCCTCTGGAGAAATCCTAGGCTGTCACATTGCTCTACTACACAGAACCATGGGACCTGCAAAGGGCTGTGTGGGGCTTGCATCCTCATGAAACTAGGAAATATGTCCATTCAGCTATCAGTCATCTGGGGGCATGTTGAGGCCAAAATACAGAACAAGTATATCATATAACCTTGCTGAATTTAAAGGGAAACCTTATAGCTCTCCCTGGGAAATGCCATAGTACTTATTTAGTTATAATGTATATGCTGCTTATTTCCCAAAAGGGTCCAAGGCAGCTGGTAAATACCACGGAGCTACACAGTAATATATCTGTTGTTGCAGAATGTTGATGATTATTCTAAAATAATTTCCATGGAACCCTCGGGGGCGTTGACTGCCGGGCATAATCCTCGTGATGCCTGGCAGTTGTTCGGTAATATGATATTGAAGCCCCAATATCCAGGATTTCCTGAGGCCAGGGATGGGCCGTTCTCCACACATCTCTTCCCGCAGTTCCAAAATCTATGGATCTTCAAGTCATTTCACAGAGTGACTGAAAGCTAAGCTGTTGTCAGGCAGAGGTTGAGTCACATGTAGGAGAAGATGTTTAAGGACATTTTTTCCCACGCTTTGGAGGTGTCCCCATAAGATGAGAGGCACTCAGCAAGCCAGCATCTTTGTCTTTGGGATTTAAATCCCTGGAGCTCAGAGAAATCCAAAACCTGAAGCTCCCAATATACAGGTACCTTTTTTTTTTTTTTTTAAGGACAAATCTGGGGAAATATTTTTAACATCCATGTTCTATGTTTTAGACTCATGACCAAGCACCCTTCAAACACACAAGGGCAGGATAGCATACTGTAGAATATTTTAGCTTCCTGTGCTTCTGCATTCTTCTCTGTTTTCTTGACTAGATGATAGCTTGTTTGGAGGTTTGTGGCAGGAAAAAAAAAAAAAAAGAGGGAGGAGCAGGAGGTGTGGGCAAGTTTCAAACTAATAGCTGAGGGCCGGGGATGCAGCTCAGTGGTAGAGTGCTTGATCAGGATGCTTGGGGCCCTTGGTTTGATTCCTAGTGCTGGAGGAAAAAAAAAAAAAAGATTCACACTAACAGCTGAAATGAGTTTAAAAGTTGTTTTTTTTTTTTTTTTTTCCTCACTGACTGGCACTTCCATATTCTTCCTGTGGCATATGTTATCATTAGCAATCATAATGGCTGCCGTGTATGGAGCTCTCAGTAGGTCCCAAGCACTGAGCACACCCACTTCACACAATGCAAATGATTCCACTCACGCTCTGAGTGAGGCCCTGCTTACTTTACAGGTAAGAAAACAAAAGTCCAGCACACAACCACACTGCTGGCCAGAAAGCAGATATTCCAACCCAGCTCTGGGCTGTCCTCAGTCCTGAGAGTCTCAGCAGAGCCCCCTGGGTGTGACTCTTTGTACCCTGATGCTACTTTCACTTATGTTAGCTAGAAAAATGTCAACATGCCAGAAAAATGTCAGCGTGAGCCTTTGGGAGACACTTCATATCCAAACCGTAACAGATGTTCACAGAAAAATGTCAGCGTCCAAGATTGCTTCTTGCCAGTGGTTCTGAAGGCTTTGGGTGGTGAAGGGTGTGTTTGCCCTGCATCCCTGAGCAGGGGCTGCTTGGGCAGGGACCAGGTGCATGAGCCATGTCACAGTTCTTATTTTGCTTATGCAGCATGTGGGGAGACCCTGCAAGACACAACAGGAAACTTTTCTGCACCTGGTTTCCCAAACGGCTACCCTTCTTACTCTCACTGCATCTGGAGGATCTCTGTCACTCCAGGGGAAAAGGTAGGTGGAGCATTAACTGCCCTGGTTGGATCATTGCACGTTGTATATATGTACTGAAGTCTCACAGTGTACTCCATAAATATGTACTATTGTTATTAACAAAAAAATAATTAATTAAAAATAAATGTTTAAAGAGATGAAACTGCTAACTACCCTGATTTGATCATTACACACTCTATACTTGTATCAAATTCTCACTTTGCCCCATAAATATGTACAATTAAAATAATAATAAATAAATATTAAAGGTGAGAAACCTCCTTGTGAGTTGGGTGAGATAGGAGGACTTATTTTTACAGTTAGTAGTAATCATAAGAGCAGTTTTCTTATGAGCACACAATACCTGCCAGGTACTTCACCGGTGCCATACATTCATTATTTCTGGACTTCTCCACCAGTCTCACCTGTACATGAGGAGGCCTGGCACATACTAGATATCTATGTAAGTTACAAATCAAGCTAACTGTAAAGTAGACTGTATTTCCTACTTTGATAAGCACACTGTTATTATGCCCTGGAGAGCAAGGTTCATTTCAGAATTTATTGACAGCTCAGAGTGCTGCTCTGGAAGGTGTCAACATGGCAGAACTGGCCCCAAACCCACCGTTGATTGCTTCAGGAGCACTGTGTTGACACCCTGGCCACAATCCCAGGCATCAGCCACACCTACTTTGCAGACAGCTGCTCCTTGGCTAGTGGATGTGGGTAGCCACCCTCAGGAGGATGGGTCCAAAGAATAGTTCCTTGCATGCCCTGCAAATGGGCTCAGAACTATATGGACAGGGAATTCCAGGGTGCTGGATCCTTGGAGTAGGGCTTTGAGACCAAGGAGTATAAGCTCTGGGTTCACATGTTCCTTTGGCCCTGAAGATTCCATGACCCTCTAGAGCTGAGCCTAGGACAAGGGCCTCTTACTCTGCAATAAAGGTGGCATGTTCTCAACCCTACTTCAGAGTGCATATTCTTATATCCAGTCTATGAAGGAAGAATTAAGTCTATGAAGCTCAGACATTAAGGTAATTGCCCAAATTCAGGGTGAGATATAGAACTGGGAATGGGAAACCAGACCTTGTACTCCAAAGTTTATCTTATTACTTAATAACTACAAATACAAGTGTTCTTCAAATTGTCTTAGATGCAGTTTTAGTCAGCTTTTTCGCTGCTGTGACTAAAAGATCTGACCAGAACAATTTTAGGGAAGAAAAGTTTACTTGGGGGCTCATGATTTCAGAGGTTTCTCAGTCGATGGATAGTTGGTTTATTCCTCGGGGTTCAAGGTGGGGCAAGACATCATGATGGAAGAGTGTGGTGGAGGGAAGCAGCTCACATGGTGATCAGGAAGCAGAGATACAAATATATACCCCAAAGCCACGGCCCCAATTCCCACCTCCTCCAGCCACACCCTACCATTTCAGGCACCATTCAGTTAATCCCAATCAGGGGATTAACTCATCGATTGGGTTAAGGCTCTCACAACTCAACAATTTCTCTTCTGAACCGTCTTGCATTGTCTCAAACGTGAATTTTTTGGGAAACCTCATATCCAAACCATAACAGATGTTCACTGATCTCTGTAATCATTCCTGTCACGGGATGTCCTACAGTTCCGTGACTGCTGATTTATTTGTCCCACTTCTAATCCTTCAGCTCAGAGATTGTCCCCTCTCAATCCCAGAGGCTCACATAGTCTGTGGCATAAAAACAGTCACACAATGGATATTTGTTGAATAGCTATGTGGACACCTGAGGGGCTGAGTGACAGCAGGTGGGGGTGGCAGCAGGCAGCCTTCAGGCATTCCTAATGCATAGCTTTAAAAAAGTGTCCATTTAAATATTGAGTTAAGCATAGTGCGATGAAATTTTCTAAGGGCTGGATTCTATTCTTATCATGTAATGTAGATCATCTGATTGGATCCTCACATCAACCTCATATGCTAGGTGCCCTTACCATGCTCATTTTACAGGTAAGGAAATGGTTTTGCCCAAGAATACTGTTTGTTGCACAGTTGGGATTTGAACCTGGGTAACTGAACTAGGAACCCACATGCTTGGCCATCATCTTATGTTATTACCCAGAGGGGACAAGCTGGTAGACACTGTGTGTGCATTTATACATACACATTTGCACACATACGTGTGTGCTCACACATGTACACTCTTTCTTTGACTCGGAGCACTTAAGATGGTGTTGTTGCCAACTTGTATCCAAGACTCCAGATCTTCTTCCTTGGGCAGATGGGAGGTGTCTGTGTTGGAGGTGCTAACAGGGGGGAGGCAGGGAAGAGGAGGAGGAGGAGCAGGAGGAGGAAGGAGTCTGATAATCTCCAAATTGTTGAATTGCCCTGCACAGCTGAGGCTGTGATATGTAAGCCTCAATTATTTGTGCTAACTGGGGGCAGGGAGAATATACATCATTGAAATTCCTACGCCAATTATTCCAATTTCTGCTTCACACAGCCTTCCCCAGAGCTGCTAGTAATTAGCAAACTTGATTGAATCAAGTATCACCTCTCGTTCATCACCTCTTCCCCTATGGTCTTTATGGTTCACTAACACACTTAAAATAATTAGCCTGAATAATTATCCTGTTCATTCAGATCATGAATGTGTTACCAAGGAAGTTGTACTAACATTTCCTTTCTGTAATTTTAAAAAGCAAAGACTAAAGAATTATCGCGCAACCAACTTCTAAGTATTGTTGAACTCAATCACCTGAATACAGGCACTGTGGGGGATGTGAGAGAGACCTAAGGTAGATCCCTATCTTTAAGAGGCTTAGCCTTTAGTTTGGGCTCCCCCTTGCTCCCTGGGAATCTGGTTTAATGGAAGGAGGGGCTTTGGCTTGGTACCGGCTTTTTCCTGAAGTTTCCAAGGTGATTCTAATGTATAGTATGGTTGAAAAACACTAGTTTTAAAGGAGAATGACATATCTTACTCATGCATGCACGCACACGTGCACACACACACACACATACACACACACACACACACCCAGTGACAGAGATAAGCTGGCCTCTTATTTTCTGGAACACACTCTTCATTTCCTAGGAGACTACAGGGCTTTGTGAGAGAAGATGCTACTTGTCCTGGGATCTTTCGGGCACCCCAACACCTTGAGATGGGCAACCTGTGAGGGTTTGTGTCAGTTGTGTTGTCTAAGGGCACACTCTTGGGACCTGGTTTTAATTACCACTTATGGGATGCCTCCTACATGCTGGGCAGGCTTCCGGACAGTGATCCCCAGGGCTGTTTGAATATTAGAGAAGTAGCCAGTGGAGAAGCAGAGAGTGAAGGTGCTGGGGACAGATGAGCTGCTGACGGCAAGGTCCCTGGAATTGTAAAAGGAGTAGGTTCTGGGTGCAGGGCAGGGGCCAGGGCCAGCTGAAGAGCAGGAAGAGCTGAGGATTGAAGGAGCAGGGACATGCTAAACGTGGGCAGAGAGCCAGCTAGAGAGCTTGGACCAGAAGGCTATTGCTTCTCAGTGTGACAGCCACCCCTCACTCTTAGGTTTTACGTCAGAGTGTCCTGGTTAGCTTGTCACACCTGTCCTGCCTTCCTTCGCTGACCTCCCTAAAAGCAGGACACCCTCTTACTGATCTCTCTCAGTCACTCAACACAGACTAGCACACAGTAGGTGGTCAACAAGCCATGGTGGAATGAATGAAGGCACTAATTATAGGAAGGCTATTAGACACACCACACCTCAGAACAGTGAGGTCATGGCCGAGGGGACATTGATCACGGAGGTGCTCAGATGCACTCAGGCTAACCCCAGACCCCCCAGAATGATTGATGATGTTATAAGATCTTTCCGTATCTCTGAACTTCACTGACCCCATACCTCCTTCCAAATCCCAGTCTCAACGCGCCCTGGGCTGTCTTTTTAATGCATTGTGCTCTCTGTAAACCACCTAGTGACTTCAAAAGCTCAAGTGATTCCCCAGACAGAGTCTAAGGGCCCATCTCCTTCTATTTACTCCCCATCCTGCCTAAGGTTTATTATTTAATGTCATGAGGTTTCCTGTGCCTGTATTTTTGAGAAAACACTCCTACTGCATTCTGGGGGCTCTGTATGCTAAACAGTAACGTGAGAACACCGGTATGCGAGACACATTGTGCAGAACTCCTCGGTCTTTGTTGTCCAAACTCACTTTATGGTAATTCCTTACAGATCATCCTGAACTTCACATCCATGGATCTGTTTAAGAGCCGCCTGTGCTGGTATGATTACGTGGAAGTCCGGGATGGTTACTGGAGAAAAGCCCCCCTCTTGGGTGAGTGGACTTCAGACAGCCTTAAGAGAGAAGCCATCAGGTGTTCTCCGTGATGCTCCCGCTGTCTCCAAGGGACCGTCTTGTCGGCAGTCACAGGAAGCTCTCAAGGGCCTGTGTCATTGTAAAACTGAACACTCCATTTGGCCACACATGTTAAAAGCTTTTAAAACTGCTTATACCCTTTGACCCAGCAATTGCACTTCTTGGAATTTATCCTAGGGAGCTAATTAAGGAAGTGCGCAAAGCTCTAGCTACAGGAATGTGCACTGAAGCAAGGAAAATTGAAAGCAATTTAAACGTTCAATGGTAGGGGTTAGCTGAAGAAATGATGATACATCTTTTCCATGGAAGACTTTCTAGCCATTAAAAGTTGGAGGTGGCTATGTGTTAATATAGAAAGGCGTTCATGGTATGCTATTACACAGAAAAAAAAATTGTGACAGAATAGAATATGTAGAAGCATTAAATAAAAATATGTGTCCTGATATACATACATGCATACATACCTAATGTAGACATTGCAAACTTAGATGCCCTCGAAGGTGTAAAGGAATGAGATGGGATTGGTGTAAGAAGTGGTAGGGATTGTGATGAACTGAATACCAAATGTGCTACCCCAAATCATTCCAAACAAAATGACTTTTAAAAACGTTGTGCAGGCTGAATCCCACTGGAAGAAACCATTTTGTGACCTAAAACATAAAAACCAAGTGAAATTATAAATGTTAATGATAATAGTAGTTATCTCAATATGGTGGAGTATTTTTAAAAAAATTTTTATTCTGTTCTTGATTTAGAACTTTTTCCCTTTTCTATGCTGGATATGTATTTTTGTGAGATGAACAGGGTGTGAACTCTATCCATGAAGAGGCAGCTTGGACCTTGGAGTGAGGGACTGTGAGCAGGTAGTGCAAAGAGAAAGCTGAGTTCATTCCAGACTTGTCACAAAAGCACAGACCCCTCATGAGTGACCTGGGAAGATGAACACCGTTGAGGACCAGGGGGTCAATGACTTGGGAGCTGACATTGGGACTCATTCGGCTCAGGAATGGCAGCCGTGATGGAGCTGGAGCGAGAAGCAGATGAACAGGAGCTGAGGGGGCTGTCCTCCTCATTAGAGCCGGCAGTAGGGTGGGCTTCTGGGTTGGATTGGCCTGGGGGCTCCGTGAGGACTTGGTCTCTGGCATATCTTCCTATGATCAGAGAAGAGGCAGCTAGGCTGAGCATGATGAGCCTGCAAGTGAGCTGCTGCTGCTCACTGGGCTGAAGTTCATAGTGGGAGTTGAGGAGAGGGCTAAACTGGGAGTGTCACTGCATTATGCCGGATCCTGGGGAACCACCTGTGGGATACGCAGAAGACACAGTGACAGAAGGTCTGGCTGGACTCAGGAGGGGCCCTGGTAGCTATTGAGTTTCTTTATGACTAAGGGGTTTCCACCTGGTCAGCTACCACTGTGAATAGCTCACAAGCACCATTGTCAGGCAGGCCAGGAGTTTAGATTTCTAGAGGTAAAACAGATAGGCATCCATGTCCTTGGGAGCTCCGGGGAGCTGGGAAGCAGCCAGGCAGGCTCCGAGTGGGGGTTCCAGGTTGCCACCATGAGGAGGAATCTTCTGGGTAGATAGCAGCCCAGGTAGACAGGACGGGAAGGTGATCCTCAGGCCAAGCATGCACAGGAATGTGTCCACTGCAGGACAAGTGGGTTGTGCCACCCAGTGGCAGCATAGAGGCTGTCTGTCCCCACCTGTTTGCTGCCTAACACAAGCAGACGTGGCAGGTGCCAGCAGCACTAGTGCTTCACGGGCAGCACTGATCAGGTATGGCAAGATGACAGAGGACGGGATCCCTGGTAGCAGAGGTTCCCAGACTCGGCTGAGCACCAGCATGGCCTGGGAAGAGTTCCCTGAAGAGAGATTCCCAGGAGAGGACTGAAATGGGTCGGAGAATGGTCCAGCTGACCTAAGGATATACGTGCACGTGTCCAGATACAAAGAACGGGGACTGCAAGGACGCTTACCAATGAAGTGGTTGCCCCTGAGAAAGGACGTTGGGCTGGAGTCAGCTTCAGTTGTGTTTTGCACACTTCTCGATTGTTTGGACTTTTTATAAGTACATTTCACAGGAGCTGTTTGGGAGGAGCCCACGAGAACACGGACCCACAGACCCCCCACCCCTTCGTGAGAAAGCCACAGCTAGTAGTGATGGATAAGAGAGGCGATATTCAGAGATCCAAGGGACGGAGAGACGGCTGCTGGATGAGCAGGATGTCCCCTGAGGGTTGTCATATAAATACATTAATCTGTGTTCATCTGAAATTTAAATCTGACTGACTTCCTGGAGTTCTGTTTGCTAAACCTGGCAGCCTCTCCCCCGGGAACGGGATGGGCTTAAGACTCAGGAGGAAGAAGCTCTCTGTTCCCCGGTTTCCCCAGCGAGGGCCAAGGCACGTTCCTGGGAATGGGCGCTGGCAGAGGGCCAGGCGCTCCCTTGGCTGGAACCTGAAGCAGGAATTTTCTTACTTCAGGTCCTGGTGTCTCTGGCTACGCTTCCATTAATGAGATCGGACTTTTGCAGCTTATTGGTGGTGGCGATGGTTTGGGTATTTTTGTTTTGTTTTAGGAGACCTGGGGTATATATTTTACCCACTAGTGCAGTGTGTGGTGTGTGTGATGTGTGGTGTGGTGTGTGTGGGGGTGTGGTGTGTGGTGTGATATATGTGGTATGTGGTACAGTGTGTGTGTGTGGTATGTATGTGGGGTGTGATGAGGTGTATGTGATATGTGTGAGGTGTGTGTTTAGTGTGTGTGTGATATGTATGTGGTATGTGGTGTGGTGTGGTGTGTGTGTAGTTTGGTATATGTGGTTTGTGGTACAGTGTATGTGGTATGTATATGGTATGTGGTGTGTGTGGTGTGCTGTGTGCTGTGTGGTATAGTGTGTGTGTGGTGTGTATGAGTGTGTGGGGTGTGGTGTGTGTGTATGTGTGTGTGGGGTGTGGGGTGTGTGTATGTGTGTGGTGTGTGCTGTGTGGTATTGTGTGTATGTGTGGTGTGCGTGTGTGTGTGGTGTGATGTGTGTGTGTGTGGTGTGTGCTGTGTAGTATGGTGTATATGTGTGTGTATGGTGTGTGCTGTGTAGTATGGTGTATATGTGTGTGTGGTGTGTGCTGAGTGGTATGGTATGTGTGTGTGTGTTGTGTGCTGTGTGGTATGGTGTGTGTGTGTTGTGTGCTGTGTGGTATGGTGTGTGTGTGTGGTGTGTGCTGTGTGGTATGGTATGTGTGTGTGGTGTATGTGTGTGTGTGGTGTGTGCTGTGTGGTATGGTGTGTGTGTGTGGTGTGTGTGCTGTGTGGTATGGTGTGTGGTGTATATGTTTGTGTGTGGTATGTGCTGTGTGGTATGGTATGTGTGTGTGGTGTGTGTGTATAGTGTGTGCTGTGTGGTATGGTGTGTGTGTGGTGTATATATATGTGTGTGTAGTGTGTGTTTGTGTGTGGTGTGGTGTGTGTAGTGTGTGGTATGTAGTGTGTGGTGTGTGTGTGGTGTGTGCTGTGTGGTGTAGTGTATGTGTGGTGTGTGTGTATGTGTGTGGTATGTGATGTGTGTGTGGTATGCTGTGTGGTGTGTGTGTGTGTGTGTGGTATGCTGTGTGGTATGTGTGGTGTGTGTGTGGTATGTGTGTGATGTGTGTGTGGTGTGTGTAGTGTGTGTGTAGTGTGTGTGTGTGGTATGTGTGTGTATGTGTGTGTGGTGTGTGTGTGGTGTGTGCTATGTGGTATGGTATGTGTGCGCGTGCTCAGCTTCTGTGACCGCCATTCTTCCTCTGCGGCAGTTCTCCTTTGCCAACTCTTTGGCCCGCTGTGATGTTTCCAAATGCAGTTGTTAGTGAACTTTTGTGTTTGGAACAAGTGCACCGTGTCAGCAGAGCTGGTCCCTGGGAGGGGTCAGTGCCATGAAATCTACTGGAAGGAGGCAGGTCAATGCCCCTTTGGCAGGAGGGAGAGCGGATTAGGGTGGATTGTGAAAGTATGCATCTTGCTCTGAAAAACTGTGCGTTGCATTTTTTCCCAGGGCAGTGTGTGAAAATCCAGGCATAATGCGCGCATAACTTTTTATGAATGAACCCTTTATGACTCCCCATGGAGCCCACTTGTAGTGGTCCTCATCTGCATTTCCTCTTCTTGATATCCTTATTAAACTCCTCCTCCAGATCCGGGAACCAGATTTCAGTTTAGGAATTTGATACCTTTTCTCTATTCCAGTTTCTCTCCAGCCTATTTATTCTCCCAGGAAGAAGGCTGTTTGGGACCCAGATTTTCACATAGTGATTTCAAGGGAAAATTAAGGACAAGAAGAACATTTCATAACTGGGTACAGATCTCAAATTGGTTTTTCAGTTTCAGGGGACACTTAAAAGATTGTGCTGGAAGACAGGAGGCAATGTTGCATGGAGAACCTGTCCAGTATTTCTAAGCACTTTCCTGGAAACTGAGTTCCTCTTGTGTATTTCTGTTAGAGGAATTACTCTAAGAAAAAATCCCTCAGAAGCCTATAATTTTCAGTAATTGATATCCTTATTAAACTTCTCCTCCAGATCCGGGAACTTTTGTACCTAGTTTTGGGCATTCTGGAACTCCACCATACACACAAAAGCCCCCTTTCCCTGAAATGGGGAGGAAAGTTCAGAAAGGCCAGTCTGGCCATCAGTGTCATGTGGCCTCCCTGTTGTGGAGTGCCCTAAGCCGGAGCAGCTTTCCGAACCAACAGGAATGATAGAGTGAGGCCAGCAGCCAAGACCGCTGTTTCACTAGACTTGCTTCCTGGTGTGAGGCTTTGACCTTCATTTGGAGGAACTCGGCTGTTTCCAATATGGGAAATGGACATGGTGCTTACATTCCTAGAGAGCAGAGTCCAAGTCTATCTATCCAAAATTGTGCAGTGTTCAGAATTTCACCCAAGTTCCTTTTGATGGTGGTGATGATGAAGGAGGTAATATCGATGATGAAAGGCCAGATCTCAGACGACGAGGTACAAATTCTGTTTCCACTTCCAGCTTTGAGAAAAGTTCTCTGATCCTCAATTTTTTCCCCTATGAAATGGGTTAGCAATAGCACTGAGGTCAGGGAGTATCAGGAATGAAGTGAGATAAAGCCACATGAAGTGCCTAGGACGGTGGCTGGCATGGACATGGTCAGCGACAAAGGGACTTTTCTGAGAGCCACTGTGGTAAAGCTGAGAATGCTGGGGTGTTACTCTAGGGGCCAGATAATGGGGTCCAGTTAAGAATGAAAAAGCAACTGGGGGAGAGCACTTAGATTTTTAATCTATCCGGTCAAGTCTGGCTTTGCAGAGGCTGCAAATATACTCAGCTGCAGTTCCTCCCTTCTCCAGGGTCCAGAGCAGAGGCTGCTGATCCTCTGACCCTAGGCTGGTGGGTGGTTCTTATCCGGTTAGGTCCTCGGGCAGTGAGGCAGCCAGTGTCCCTTTTTCTTTTGGAAATAGTCCCCATTGACTGTGACAGCTGGGGTTTTAAAAGCAGGAACTTGGACTTGAAACTCGGGCTAGGCAAAGAAGGAATTCCCTTTGTGGACTGGCATTGTCTAACTGCTGTTCAGCGCGCTGTCTCCCCGCTGGCGAGCGCTGGTATGTGTCTTTTTCCAAAAACTAATCGAAACTAATTGGCCACGCCAGAGGAACAATTACCGAAAATTTATAGGCTTCTGAGGGATTTTTTTTCTTGCCAAAGTCTCTGCAGCGGTTTCATCTCATCTCTCTGAATATTAAGCTTACCAAATCCAAAAGTCTACAGGTGCCCAGAATCAAAAGGAAGCAGAGATTAGCGGCTCTCTATCCCATCTCTCCCCAAAGAATACAAACCACAGTTGACCACTAAGAAATGCCCGTCATGACATCTAGACTCCCCCCCAGTCTCGCTGCTCCCCTCTTTCTCAGGAAGGTAAAGCAGAAGTACAGCTTCAAGTGGTCTGCCCCGTGCCTGATGTGGCATTGACAGCGAGTGTGCACTAAAGATCTGTTAAATGAACTTTAGATAAAAGAGTTGAGAGAAAATTTACAATCTGTGAAGTTCACCATTTAAATTCAGTGGTGTCTAGTATGTTCACAGAGGCACACAATCAATTTTAGAATATTTCCATCATCCTCCAAAGAACACCATATTTGTTGGAGTCTCCCCACTACTCCTGTCCCCAAAGCTAAATAAATTCTTTGAGGACTGTGCACAATAGGTGCCTGGCAGAACCATGAACTTCCGGTCCCCATGGACCCTGGTTGCTTTGTGTTCTGACCAGTGAGACTCAATCCATTCCTGCCCCACCCCATCCCTGCCCATGACCATGGATCACCATGTACTAGGAAGTACTAGGAAGGCATTCTCCATAGAGGGTCCAGATTTCAGACCACATATACAAGTATCTAAGAAATATTGGGATTTTTTTTTTCAAGAACAAAAATATCTATCTATTATGAACCCTTTTTCTATCAGGTATTAGGAACTTGATTTCATTCAACTTGTGTTTTCTTCCCCTGGGTTGGGGGCATGCTTTGTGCCAAGGCATGGCAGGGAGCCTCCATATTGCCATCCTGACTGGCTTTGCTGGGATGTCCTCATCTCCAACTAGTCAGTGCTCTGGTCAGATAAGTGGCTACCGAGTCTCCTCTTTGCCTCAATACTAGGGCAGTTCAGAATGGTACCACGTCCACATCTCCCTCCAAGCTAGGGAGACATTCTCTGCCTCCTCAAATTCTGTGGACTGTGAGAAAGTTGCTTCTGCAGCCCCACAGCAGCCTAGAATTGTGTTGCTGAGCTATACCATGCTCCGCGCAGGAGCTCTGCATTCCTGTCTCATGGCCAAGTGTCTTGCAGAACCATGTAGACACTTCTGCTCTGACCCCACAAGGGGCAGGGAAATCTTAGGGTCCTGTTGCTCCTCAGACTCTGGCCAAGGACTGATGATGCAATTTTCTGCTTCTCCCAGATCCTAAAACCTGCCTGAGGTTTCTATTGTCCTTTTCCATACAGTCTCAGCTCAGGGTGGTACAGATCCTTTTAGGGATTGCATGGTGCCCTCTCCAACCCTGCTCCTGGTCCATTCCCTCCTGCCTCCTAGGAACCTTTCTAAGATTCCAAGGGTGAGGAAATGTGCACTCAATCACTGTGCGGGCTTCCACATCTTCTGTATCGTGACTCGGCTTGTGAGATTCAAAAGCCAGGATTTGTTTTCTTTATTGTGTCTTCTCTGGCCTCCATTCTTGAGGCAGGGAAAGCAGAATGTCCCCTGCCTTTGGGGATGAAAGAATAGGAAACAGCAAAGAAGCAGGTCTCACTCCCTGACCGCCCTTCCGACACACCTGCAGAGCTGCCACATTTGGCAGGGGAGGGGCCTCAGTGGTACCCCCGGGTGCTTAGAGTGATCAGAATCTGGAATTCTCCACATGAGGCACAGGAGAATGATCACCAGACATTCAGTCCGTCCTGTGTGTGCTATAGATCAGCTGTCACTGGTTGGGTTATTGCTCACTTCAATCCACTTTGGAAGACCATGATGGTCAGTCTGCAGTGAGCACCTTCTTGGCGTCCCTGGGTATCCTCACTGGGTCTTTTGCACTTTTCAGGTAGGTTTTGTGGCGATAAAGTCCCAGAGCCCGTGGTCTCCACCGACAGCCGGCTCTGGGTAGAGTTCCGCAGCAGCAGCAACATCCTGGGCAAAGGCTTCTTCGCAGTGTATGAAGGTTTGTTCTTGCCACTCAGGTGGCTGCTGTCCTTCCCACACAGGCTGCTATCCCTCTCCCACCCCGGGGATGCATGGCAGCTTGCCAGAGCCTGGGGCCCGCGGGTGCATACTGAGGATTGCAGGGCTGCCTCTGCCACCGCTGGAAAGCAGAGAGCAGCTGTGCTCCCCTCAGAACCCGAGGCATCTACCTGTCACCAGCCTGCTGAAACCTCCTTCCGCACCATCCAGGGAGTGTTTTACCCACACAGGGATAGTGTCAGGGTTATAGAGCAGTGGCCTCTGAATAGCTGTGTGAGCCTGAGCAAAGAACCTGATCTCTCTAGGTCTCTGTTTGTTTCACTTGTGAAAAGAAAACTCTAGCAACATCAGGGAAGAAACTGCACCTCTTAAAAGCGCTGCCATAGAAAGTAATTCTGTTTCTTCTTCTTCTTTTTTTTTGGTACTGGGGATTGAACTTGAAGCACTTGACCACTGAGCCACATCCCCAGCCCTATTTTGTATTTAGAGCCTATTTTTTATTTAAGGTCTCACTGAGTTGCTTAGCGCCTTGCTTTTGCTGAGGCTGGCTTTGAGCTTGTGATCCTCCTGCCTCGGCCTCCCAAGCCGCTGGGATTATAGGAGAGGGTAATGCTGCTTCTATGTGCCCAGCTTCTCTGGCTCACTCCTCACACCACCTGCCCCATCCTGGGGGGGGGGGGCGCTGGGAAAGGGACACTGCTAGAAAATTATGAAGGCTCCTGTTGGCCTCAAATTATTATACTTTTGGAGAGGCTGGAGGGGTTTTTCCGTAGAATAATAACAACACTAATAATAACAATAACATTCTTGTCTGTGTGAGTGTGAGAGCGTGCATACATGTGCCCACACAGTCAGTGTGTGTTAGAATCACCCCAGGACACCGCTGCTGCACAGCGCTCCCCAGAGCCACTCAAATCAGAACCTCTGGGGGTGTGGCTCTGACATCCACAGTTGGAGTGATCTTCCAGGTGAATTTGATGCCCCGGGAAGGCTCCATATGGTTATTTTCTTCATATGAAAAAAATCCAGATGCATTTGTGCCTTTCTGAGGCAGTCTTTGTTGGATGCAGATGAAAACGTTGGTGCGTGGAGCCACCTACTGGTGACAAGCGGCCTCCTGCCTTCCTCTGACCTCCTTCCTCCCACACTCTTTCTAAAGCTACCTGTGGAGGAGACATTAACAAAGATGCCGGCCAGATTCAATCTCCCAACTACCCAGATGACTACAGGCCTTCCAAGGAATGTGTGTGGAGGATCACGGTTTCTGAGGGGTTCCACGTGGGACTTACCTTCCAAGCTTTCGAGGTAAGGACACTCGAATTGTCTTACCTGGGAGGCAGTAAGTGGCAACTTTTGTTGGAAAAGCACTCTGTAAAGATACGTCTTCATGTTACAAACGGGAACCCAAGAAGCCATTTCAAGCCCCTTGTGAGTTGTGCCTGGACATCTGATATCAAAACTTTTGTCGGTTTTGAAATTTGCCTCACCTCCTTTCTGCAGGCTGCTGTGGGCAGGCTGAGGGCCCCAGGTCGGAATCCAGGGCAGATTTGTAGAATCCTTCTTCCCTGTTTCTCTTATTCTCTTCTCAGCTTGATTCACCCTTGACTTCTGTAGGAAACAGTTTGGAGAAGTTCAGGACACGCCGGCTGGGTTAGCTCGTGAGGGTGAAGTCTAGGCTTCATTCTCAAGTGGGATACCACGAAGCCCTGCCATCTGCCACCTTCCACACTGTCTCTGTTTCTCCCTTTAGATCGAAAGGCACGACAGCTGCGCCTACGACTACCTGGAGATCCGGGATGGCCCCACGGAAGACAGCGCCCTGATTGGACACTTCTGTGGCTATGAGAAGCCCGAGGATGTGAAATCAAGCTCCAACAGACTGTGGATGAAGTTTGTGTCCGATGGTTCCATCAACAAGGCGGGGTTTGCGGCCAATTTTTTCAAGGGTATGAATTAGTGTTTCGCTTCCCCTTTTAGTCACAGGAAGAAATATTGCTCCCCCAGCGTTAGAATCATAAAACCCATATGGCACCTCAGCACCAAACCAGACTCCTTGCAGGGAGGAGGCAGCGACCCATTTCAGAGCTGCGTGTAGGGTCCCGTGGAGCCCCCAACTGATCCGGAGCAGGCTCAGCCTTAGCCTCTGCAGGGCCAGTGGGTCTGTACTTGGAAATTCGATTTAGCAAGCTGACAAGGTCAAACCACACTTGAGGGAAGCCAAACATCCATAATAACAAATATTTATATAGAAGTGATCATCAATTGAACACCTACTGTGTGCCAGAGCTGTGTTAGATACTTGATTTGCTTGATGTCACTGAATTCCCCAAATAGCCCCTGAGTTAGATTTGGGTTACATTTGATCAGCACTGAATAGGGCTGCTCAGGATCAGCCAGGAAAGTGGCAGATGGAGGAGCCCAACACAGTGTGACTTCCCAGATCAAACTCTTCCTAGGGTACTGCCTGGCACTCCTTAGTGTGGGCCAGAGGCAACCCAGGACTTCAGCTCCTGAAGCGTCAGCCCCCAGCCCCCATGCCTTCCCCTGGGGGAGTGTGGGGGGAACAGAGTAGGAGATGCTCTGGGAACAAACCTCCTTGTTTCCTTGGGGACCTGCTTCTCTGTAGGGTCTTGGTGGAAGCAGCCCCAGCATACTTGGCCCCAGGGTGGGCTTCCAAGCCTCCTGTGAATGGTGGGTCTTCCTTGTCTGTTCCCGGGGGCCCCTGGTGCCCTGCAGACCACACCCTAGGAGGAGAACATGGATGTTGCTCAGTGCATTCTGATTGGTGCCCAGTAGCATTCCTGCAGTCCGCGTAGAGACAGCCTGTCCTCTGCAGTGGAGACCCCTTAATAAGTGCCAGCACTTCCTGAGCTGCCCAGCTACTCCCGCCCAGGGAGGCTGCTTCTCTGTCTCTCCACCTCTCCTGGGCTCCTGGCCCTGCCAGTCCAGAGATCCTAGTCCCTCTTCCCTTCTCCCTTCTCCCTTCTGCCTGCTTTTTAGACTCTCTTCCAGGTTTTACATGAAGGATCTGGGTGTCTGAAGAACCCTCTTCTAACCATATCACCCAAGCAGGCAGCCATGTGTCCTCACTGAAGCCTCAGTTGTCCCCTTTGTAGAGTAGGGAGGAGGATATCTGCCCCTTTTCTCTAACCAATTTCTGTGAAGCCCCTGTGAAACGGTGTCTGTGGAGGCATTTTATAGGCTGAGTGCCACACACGAGATGTGGGGTTACTCTTTTTCTCTTTATGAGGCATCCTGGGGACAGCAAGAAAGAGAACAGGAATCATAATGACCAGCTTCCTCAGCCCAGCCTTCTCCCAGCCAGACCAGCTCGTGTGGCAGGACTGAGCCAGTGAAAGAAACTGGAAGTGTAACTACAAGGCCTGCAGGAGAGCTGGAGCGAGAAGAGGCTCTTGCCTTGGTGCCAGTTGGCAGCAGGCTCTGCCCAGGGCCCAGCTGGCCCATGACACTGGCCGGGGTGCCAGTTGGCCTCAGCCTTCATCTCTTGATGCCAGATGGCAGCCCCTCTGAGGGCCTGCTGGCTGGGCATCCAGCAGAGCACCTTGGGCTTCTGTTGCTTTGGGAGATGGCAGTGGCTTTCAGGGGTTGGGTGGGCCAGTTGGTCCCACGCCCCCTCCATGAGGAATGCAAGGATTCCATTGAGCCCCATGTTCCACTGTCCAGTGCAGATGGGCAATGCTGGGTGTCTAGTGGTGGGGACTGGCTTCCTTCAAGGCATTTCCTCAAAAGTTCTCTCGCTCCTTTCCCCAACTCTCTCTGAAAACATTTTTTTGGGATCCTGCCTAAACCATCTCTTCGCCACAGAATGGCTCCATCTACTTATTCCACCCAGAGCATAGAAAGAAGCCAGAACTCACCATACTGAGCAGAGTCCTAGCTCCAGCTTCTTCTCCTACCTACCTCTGTGCTCTCCCTGGCTGGTTGGCCTCGGCCACAACAGCCCAGAGCAAGCAGGAGCCAGTGGACTTGGAGCAGATGCTACTTTGTGGCATCGCAGAGGTGATGCAGACAACCAGGCTCCCGCTGACAGCAGGGCCCTGAGACACTTTTGTACATCCATGAAGTGGTGAGATGCCACCACCACCACTCTTGAAAAGGCCGCCCTTTCTCCCCCTGGCCGGCTCAATGACTTACCCTTCCAGTCTTTGCAGGAATTGCATTTCCTTTGCTTTAGGCTTAAGTCCTGGACTCCCTCCTGCACCTGGCTAAGATGGCAACGAGAAACTTATCCATGGTTCTGTGTTCTGCCCACCGCCACTGTATCTTCTGGCATCAGAATTCCTCCTGTCCCTGCCTTGGGCCTTTGTTTGTCTTCATCTACTCTGACAGACACTCCTTGGTTTCCTTCTGCCCTTCACCCATTTTTTAGCGTCTGCTGTGCATTCCTCCTGCCCATTTGGTCTTCCTCCACTGGTCCATCCTTGATGTATTTTCCATCATTCTGCACCCCCACACACACCTTGGCTCCTTCCCCTCCTCAGGCCTGCACTGCTCCACTCACCTGGTTCAGGTGTGGCCAGGTAGTTTTCTCCTTCCACTCCCCCATCGATGTGTGTCTCTACCCACTGAATTTCAGCAGCCACTCCACTGTTGTCTGTAGTGATCCCCCTGCGCCCCGTACGCTGGGTACTTCATGGGCATCATTTCCAATTACCCCCTCAAAGCAAGGACCGTTCTTCTCCTGCTCCTGCACAGGAGGGAGGCTCAGAGGGGTTAAATCCCAGTGGTCACCCAGTTTGCAATCGGGTGGGGAAGAGCCCTTGGTGGACCCAGCCTGGCTTGTCTCACTTGAAGGCCTGGGTTCCGTCCACTGCTTCTTGTTATCTGTTCTCTTCTTTCTATATTTTCTAGCTGATGTCTAAGAAAGGGCTTTTCCTATTGTAAGGTGAGGAAAAAACAATTGCCTGATGGTTACTATTTCAAAGTACTCAATATTAAATTTATTGGAGGCCATGGATAATTTCAACTCCCTGCCTGGGCCATCTTTAATCCCAGTGGCCCCTAACTGGCCACTGCTGAGCCCAAGAACACCCCACCCTGAGGGGTACCTGAGTTTACTAGCGACTGTGTGAAGCAGTGGGATGTTTACATGCCATCCAGGCTGGTGAGAGATTGGTGCAGCCCAGAAAGGGGAGATCGGCACTCTCAGGCTCATCAAATAGGGAAAGCACAGTGGAGAGGGTGGGATGAGGCTGGAGGACTTGTGTCTTTGCAGGGCCATTGGGTTGGGACTTGCATGGAGTCAGACAATCCAAGAAACACCTTCGAGAAGTAGCCAGAGCCCTGCCCTGGACTTTTCAAGCAGGATCTAGAAAGCCATCCATTGGGACTGTTAGGAGAAGGACCCCTGCCTGCGGTGGGAGACTGGGTGTCTTTCTTAGATGTCCTGATTTCTGTCATTACAAGTGTCATGTCTTCTTCACAGTTTGGGGAACAACTCCACGTCCACGCTCTTCTTGTCTTCCGTGGTGTTATGGAACAATACTCTCCTTCCTGCCCCGCTCTACCCTTTCCTCTTTCCAGGCTGGACTTTCTATTTTCAGTGTTTTGTTGTCCCTCGGCTAGACTCCTCTACCTCTGTGGACTGCAGCCCGCAAGCATTTTTTTCAGGGCTAGATGTTCCAGGGCTCGGCAATGCAGAAATATTTTTCCTTTTATTCCTAATGCTCTTTGGAGATGCCAGTTGCTAGGATTTGTCTTGTCTTCAGTGGTGCCTGGGCTGGCGTGGGGGGAGGAGCCTCCAATGGCTCCTGTGCTCTTCTGCATGGCACTCATGGTATCCCACTTCCTGAAATTTAATTGTCCAAACTCACCCCTAGGAGCTTGTGGGTGCTGAATCCCTCGGGGCTCCCCAACCCTTTCTCCCCCTGGCTTCTCCATGCAGTTTCTTCCGGGAGCAATGAGAAGCCCAGTGTTTTTTATAATCTTTCAGATCTCCCTACATATATTTATTGAGGCTATATCTATAAGAAAGCTGAATGACAGATTTCACTTTTAATGTCTCTAGTACTTACACATCTTCATCTAGAAAAGTGTCCTTTCATTGTTCCCTTTTTGTGACTGTCTCTGAGAAGTTCTATATTAGGGGTGGGAATCCTCCATTCCATGGCATTTAAATGGTATGGAACCCTGTGAGACTTTTAAAAATCACACACATGCACACTGCTCCCTGGACACCTTGTAGAATCTGATTGTCCAGGAGTGGGCTCCCCAGGAGGAGCCCCACGCTGGCTGACCAGGTGCTCCTGCTTGGGTTGTCAGGATCCCACCCAAATTACAGCTACCAGCAGTTCAAACGTGGACACAGGGCTCCTTGGAGGTGGTCAGCAGGACTGCACTGGTTCTTGGAAGACTCCAGCTGGGGTCCCTGGGATGTGAAGGGCGGGGAGTCGGCCAGGTGGCTGTGTGATGATTTTAGCGGGGTGCCTTCCTCCCCAGCAGAGGTGGATGAATGCTCCAGGCCTGAGCACGGTGGGTGCGAGCAGCGCTGTGTGAACACACTGGGCAGCTACAAGTGCGCCTGCGACCCCGGCTATGAGCTGGCCACGGACAAGAAGACATGTGAAGGTGGGTGCTGGTCCTCCCAAGCTGGAATGGCAGGGGAGGGGGGCAAGTTTTAGGAGAGATGGGGCAGAGATGGGGCAGCAGGCTGGCTGTGGACTAATAGCTTCTTTCCTCCGTCCCTTTTCTCCCTGGCCGGGGTCTGTGCACCTTGCCCACCTGTGTGAATCAGCTTGCTAATGCAATCCAGGTGTGGTGAACAGCTTGACGCAAACACTTCTATTTGTCCTTTGCTCCAAGTTATGTGGAACCCCCACCTGTGCTGACCACAGGTCAAATGCCTGGCTGTCATTTTTAAAAGCAGTAAAGACTCTTCTCAGTTCTGTCCCTCCAAATCCTCAGTCGAAGCAATTAGGTTAGAAAAAAAGGACACTACATTCATCAGTTCAGATTGCCTAACTTTTTTCATTATTACTGAAGAACAGCAGGGCTTATTGCTGCCTGGGGGAAACTGCAGTCACTTGGAACTAAAACCAAATGAATCTTGTTTCTGCTTCCCTCGTGCAGTGGCCTGTGGCGGTTTCATTACCAAGCTGAACGGAACCATCACCAGCCCTGGGTGGCCCAAGGAGTATCCCACAAATAAAAACTGTGTCTGGCAGGTGGTGGCCCCTGTTCAGTACCGCATCTCCCTGCAGTTTGAAGTGTTTGAACTGGAAGGCAATGACGTATGTCTCTGCGCTCACTGATGCGGGACTGTGTTGAGAAGTGACTCGGAGCTGGGCACCGGGGAGGGGCCCCGCAGGCAGGGAGGTGGCTGGTGTTGGAGCTGCTGCTTTCAGAGTCATAGAATCCTGGGGCGCATTATCCAGCAGTGTGGCTGCCCATCCTCTGTGAATAGTGCCTCAGGTCCTCTTGTCATTGATAAATCCAAGGAGAAGGGGGACAAGCATGAAGGAGGCAGGTGTCGGGGTTTGGGGTAATCAAGACAGGTCTGAACACTGGAGTGCAAATGTGGGGGTTGGTGTTCATTTGTGGATAACAGAGGGGCTGAGGACCACTTAGACACAAGGATGCTAGAGAGGACCTCTTCCCTCTCTTGAGAGTGGTCTTGGATGACCAAGTCAGGCGAGGCCCAGGCAGCGTCCTGAATCAGAGAGCTTGTTGGAAATGCTCCCTGTCTGCACCTGGAACTGGAGGGACACTGGGGGCACACAAATCCTTTTCCTTGTTCCCCCTGCCCCAACCAAGCTGGGATTCTCACCCTAATAGTGCCAGCCAGGTTGTCACCTAGTCAGCCCTTTGGGGTACTCAGAAGAGACCCCAATGCTAATGACCCTGATACACAAAGACTCAGGTGCCAATGAGGGGTTCACCACCAAGTAAATGCTGCATGGGAAAAATAAACCCTCAAAAGTAATTGTTCAGACCATTCAGCAGTGAAGTTGCTTTTGAGAAAAGTCATTGCTACAGCAGGTAACATGAGCCATTCCAGTCCTGGCTCCACCACTGGCTAGCTGTGTGACTTCAGAAAAATGTCTTTCCCCTTCTGAGCTTTAGTTTCTCTCCGTGGGAATATGATGGAGTTGGATTGTGTCCTCCTCTCCTCCTCCTCCTTCTCCTTCTCTAGCAGTGGGGGCCTTTCTTTAAGCAAACTCTCATGTAGAAGCCCAATATACAAAATAAGTAGAAATCAGGCTACAGTTAGCCATAAACTATGGTGCCAGGCACAAGAGCCTCAGCTGGAAAGCCAAGTCCCCATCATTGCCCTCTGGGACTCCCTCTAGTGCTGACACAGAGAGTCAAGGGGAACCTCCCCTGGGGTGGGCTGAGCCCATTAGGCTCCATGACAAAGTGCAGCTCTCAGAAAGAGGCCTGGGGTGGGGACACGGGCATAACAGGCTGTTCTGCACCTTGCTCCCTGTAGGTCTGCAAGTATGACTTTGTGGAGGTACGCAGTGGCCTGTCCCCTGACGCCAGGCTGCATGGCAAGTTCTGTGGCTCAGAGACACCCGAGGTCATCACCTCGCAGAGCAACAACATGCGCGTGGAGTTCAAGTCTGACAACACCGTCTCCAAACGCGGCTTCAGGGCCCACTTCTTCTCAGGTGTGTGGGTTTGGAGGTGAGGCCAGGGACTGGGCGTGAGGTGGCTTTACAGGCCCTCAGCCTCCCGGGGGTCCTGGGCACCTCCTGTCTCCTACTCCCTCTCTTCTCTCTTGGGCCCTTTGCCTTGGCAGTAACGGGCCTGCACCTAGAGGTTCTGTCTGGTTTGGTTTGGTATCAGTGGCTACACTTCTTACGGCTGCCATAACCAACTACCACACCTGGGTGGCTTAGAACAACAGAACCGTATCCTCTTAGAGTTCTGCAGCCAGCAATCTGAGATCAAGGAGTCGGCCCTGGAGACAATCCTCCTTGGCCTCTTCTAGCTGCGGTGGCTCCCTGCAAGTCTGGGCATTTGTTGGGTGGTGGCTGCAACCCTCCCAAACAAAAGCCAAGTGACACCCAAATCTGAGACTCCACATCAGGAGAAAAGCAGGGGTGGTCCATCAGGGAGGCCCCTGGAGGAGGCCACTTTGGGCAGGTTCTGAACCACAGGGACGTTCCCAAGTTGGCTGCTCCTCTTAGGAGAGTCCCTTGACCTCCCCAGACAAGGACGAGTGCGCCAAGGACAATGGTGGCTGCCAGCATGAGTGTGTCAACACGTTTGGGAGCTACTTGTGCAGGTGCAGGAGCGGCTACCGGCTGCATGAGAACGGACACGACTGTAAAGAGGGTGAGCAGGAGCCTGCGCATGTGCTTGCGGGAGGGCGGGGCATGGGCGGGAACAGGCGTGGGCAGCCTCCTACTCTCTGCCAGGTTTCCGCAGTGTTCCCAGGCTGGGTCTTTGCCCTCCTCCCAGCGACCACTTGCGGCCCTCCTGCCAGGTCTTAGCAGGCACAGGGCAGCCTCAGGGGCTTTAAGCTGAGTTACAATAGCAGGGTGGGTATACCTGTGGGCAGCCGAATCAGACTACCTGGGTCTAAATCCTCTCTCTGCCATTCACTAGCTGTATGACCTTGAGCTAATTACTTAACCTCCCTGAGTCACAGTTTCCTCTTTTGTTAAAAAGGTGCTAAATATCTCCTTCCTAAAGTTTTTGTAAAAATGTTTAGAAAGTATTTCAGGCAGTCTGATACATATCATATCCTTAGATGTTAATAAATATCGGCCATTTATGCCTGTCAGGTATTATTTACATATTACAGAAATACAGACCTCATAGTGAAATATATTTTGCTCCAGCCCCATTCACTGCTGGGAGTTCTTCAGGGCCAGAAGGCTATCAATGTCCAGTCATTCTGGAAAAAACCTTCCCTCTATTCTTACCCTGTCAAGGGAAGGGAGTTTGCCCCTCTGTGATCAACACAGACTTCATGCCTTGGCCCAGCCACGAAGCCCAGCAGGAGAAGTCATGGGTGGGGAGGATAGGAAGACCACAGGCCCCTTCTAGTTTCTTCTTTAGACCTGGGAAGGATTGAGTGAGAGGATGCATACAAAACACTCACCACAATGCTCAGCACAGAGGGAGACGAAATCTAGCTACTGGCCAAAGTGCTAGGCATGGAGCAAGTCGTGGGACCACCGTTTGCTAATGCACTGTAACCAGGACAAAGCAGGCCGACTCCAGGTGAAAACACTTTGAAAAGCAGAAGGAAGTGTGTAGACGGAGGGATGAAGCCCTCGGCTGGGGCCTCTCACACACATGATTCATTTAATCCACATGTGCAAGGGTGGCACCACTTCTACAAATTAAGACACAGCCCTGAGGACCGTCCGTGGTAGAACCAGGACTCGAACCAAGCTCCAAATGAGCCCAGGGTCTGTGCTCTTAGCTCTACCAGATTGCAATGATGACCTTGATGTGAACAGTCAAAGGGAGGAGGTGACCTGGCTGCTGAGCCACAGCCAGGAAGGCAGCACAGCCAGTTCAAACAGATAGGCAAGTCTCTGCACCAGGGGACACTTGATCCAGGCTGGCCACCCATATGTTGATGACCCTGAGACAAGGGAGAAGGGGGGAGGCTCCCCTAGAATGAACGCCTTTGGTGTCACCCGCAGTGATTGATTCTCTCTCCATGTGTCCGTCACGCCCAGCTGGCTGTGCGCACAAGATCAGCAGTGCAGAGGGGACCCTGGCAAGCCCCAACTGGCCTGATAAATACCCCAGCCGGAGGGAGTGTACCTGGAACATCTCTTCAACTGCAGGCCACAGGGTGAAACTCGTGAGTCATTTTTGTAGTTTGAGTCTCCACTCAGCCACTTCCCAGATCAGAAACTTGGGCGAGTCATTCATTTCTGGATCTTGGTTTTACTCTCTGGAAAATGGGGATGCAAATGAAACCCACTTCCTGGGGGCTGTTGTGCAGATGAAAAGAAAAAACGAAGAACAGCTCTATAAATGTACCAATTTACAGGGGCACCTGGGTGTGGTGGTGCCCAACACACAGATCTGCAGTGCTGTTGGAGATTCGAGTGTTTCCCGTTTTGACTTTTTACACAATGTTTCATTCTCAAGGTAAAGAAAGAAAGAAGGAAAATTAATAAGTATGGAAGGTTGGGGAGGGGAAATCAAAAGTCCCCAGATCCCACTGCACTCTAGAAATGACCATTCTCAACCCTTCCTTGCAAATTTCTCCAGGAATTTCCTATGCACGTACAGTGCATACATATGCATGGGAAAATAAAGGTCTTTTTTCTTAGTCTTCTCAAAGGGAATATTATTGTTCATTTTCTTCTATAACTTACACTTTCTTCAATTTTCCATAGCAGCATTATGTGAATTCTTTCTTGAATTAAAAACAACAACCTTGCATCATTTATTAAAAGTATCTGATGTGTAGTCACGCTCAGTTGTTTCAAAGGAGAAATGAGTCTCTCTTTCAATTCTCATTCCTCAGCCCCCAGAGGCTCTCATATCCTGGAGTATTAGAGAATTTGTTGTACTCCTGACAGACAGACATTTTTAAAACCAGTCCTCTGCAGAGATGAGGAAGATTGGCCCCGAGACTGCCGGAGCAGTAATTCAGGGAGAATGGAAGAGAACAAAAGAGAACGTGGTGGTCCGCAGACTATGGCACAGGGATTTGGGAGGGTGTTGACTGATGAGAGCCACGAAAGAGGAGCAGAGGCAGGAGAATGGGCTGCCGGGATATGGAGGGTGCAGAAAGGACCCCTGACTGCAGGGCGCCCTGGACAGGCACCTCCTGTGCATGCTCTGCCCGCACAGGGGATGCTACTCAGCTGCGCTCCCATGAGCTGCTGCCCTGGGTTAGTCAGAATGGCCTGGAATCTGGGTGAGGGTGAGTTAGTGAATGCAGAAAGACAGTCCTGCGGTCTGCTGGAAAATGTTCCCAGGGGCAAAGTACATCCCTGACAACCAGAGGGACTGGCGCCCCCTGGGGATGGGATTGCGAACCTGCACAACCGGAAGCTTTTATCCAAGGTGCCTGCACACACCTGTTCCTTTAAAAAAGACATTCCCTTGGAATTCTATCTTTCGCTACTAATAGAATGTGAATTGAATGCTTCCCAAGGACCCTGGTGTTTCACAGTGACAAGGCAGACATGGCTTTGGCGAGCTCCCCACCTCCTTGGCCTGCCTTCTCCTTCCCACTGCATGGCCCACCCAGGTGCCCTGCTCTCCCTCTCCTGCCTGGTGTCTCTACCCATCCTCCCTCGTCAAGGCTCCCTTTTCCCTGAGGTGTGAGAGCTTTTCCCATTCCTGGTACTTGCCTCCTGGTGAAGTGTTAGAGGGGTCTTTCTGTTTTCCCCTCCCTCCCTTCACCTCTGTCCCATTAACCCAGCCTCTCTGTTTTAAATTTAGATTCCCCCAACTAATGGCCTCGCTCCTGCTTTGCCCTTCAGTCCAAGACTTCATCCAACACTGTCCTTGCTCACCTTGTCCTGTGTCCTTGACACCATAGGCAGCCCGTCAGTTGGTCCTCTCTTCAGCATCCAAGCAGCCTGCACTGGGCGGCAAAGCCTGTGTATTACTGAAGTCCAGGGGTCCCCTGAACACCTTCAGGGAATAGTTTTTAGGGGGTGCAGGTAGGAGGGAGGTGATACAACCATGTGATCATTAAGAGTGTGGGATAGAGACGGCTGGCTGGGTCAAGTTTAGCTCTGTCTCTAGTTGCATTATTGGGCAAGCCAGGTAGCTTCTCTATGACTTGGTTCCCCTTCTGCATACTGTTTTTCTTATAGCATCACCAGAATTAAGTGGGAAAATGTTCATAAATACTTGGCATGGATAAAAATGCCCAATAAAATATGGTCACTCTGATCTGGCATGGATCAGCCTGCCCTCCTGTTTCATCTGTAAGCAGAGTTTGAGGATCAGGGTCCTCAAAGCCACAGCTTCTGGGTCATGGTCAAGCTCTGCCAGTGGATGACCTTGGGCAAGTCAGCTGACATCTCCTTGCCTCAGTTTTCTCATCTGTAAAAGTAGGGATTGGACACGTGACAGGATTATAAGGACCCATTAGGTTCTGAGTTTTCAATTCTGAGAATGTTTCAGTGAAATTGACAAAGGTGCTTTTTTTTTAAGTTGGAAATTATAATTTGGAGCTTACTTGTTATAGGAATTAGTATTATAACATAATCATATTCTTGTTTTTATATAATCCTGGTATATAATTTGTTGTATGTTATGTATTTAAGTTTTTATGTATATTCCACATCTGGGACTTTGAGACAGAAAGGGACTTTCCATAAGGTGATATTGTGAAGCTCTGAACTCAGCTGCTGGCTCCAGGAGCACAGTCGGTGCCAGCTCTTAGGATGAAGCGAGGGGTGGAAGAAGTCAGCTCTGGGTGGTCAGGAGCCAGAGTGTAGGTAACTCATGGGTTGCTTTGGGGACGAAAATGGAGGCCTAGGGGAGACCCCGCCCTCTGCACAGTGGCTGGACAGGTGCCTCTGGGCACTACCTCTCCCCTTTTTCTCTGGCCTCGGCTGAACACCAGTCCCTTTCCTTACTTTTCCTTCCTTCTTCCCCAGACATTCAATGAGTTTGAGATCGAGCAGCACCAGGAATGTGCCTATGACCACCTGGAGATGTACGATGGGCCCGACACCCTGGCCCCCATCCTGGGCCGCTTCTGCGGCAGCAAAAAACCAGACCCCGTGGTGGCTTCCGGAAGCAGCCTATTTCTCAGGTTTTATTCGGATGCCTCGGTGCAGAGGAAAGGCTTCCAGGCAGCATACAGCACAGGTACGGGGCCTCAGGCGATGAGCACTTTGGCAGGAGGAGAGTGGGGTCAAAGGCAGGGAAGGACTGCCTTAGTGTCTCTTTGGGGGAAGGGGAGGGGAGGGCGGCTGTGATAAAATGTCCCTGTTAAAAGGAAACATTGGCCACCACAGGCAGAGGGTGGTTTTCTATTGATGTTAATTAACTGATAAAATTTGACAGGGAAAGCGTTTCTTTCCTTCCTTCCTTCCTCCCTCCCTCCCTTTGAACCATGTATTTGTGATTTTTTTTTTTTTTTCTGGTCTGCAGAACCCAAGTCTGGGAGCGGGCTGGTGAGAGCAGCCCTCTTTATCTCCCAGGACTGATTCAGGAAAATGAAACATGTTTCTGCTCCCCATTATTTTTTCCTCAAGATATCAATAGTTATATTGGGTCCTGGGAAAATGTATGTGCTAGTGACTTGTTTACTTTGCTAGGTGGAAAAAGGTCAGTAAGTAAACTAGCTCTGCCCTTCACCCATTGCTCTGTTAGCTGTCACCTGGGACCAGCACTCTGGGGGCAGTGTTGGCTCTTTGATCCTGGCTTAGATTGTGGCAGAGCCCAGGGCTACCTGAGAACTGCTCGGCCACCTGAGTGTGATGCTGAGTCTGAGGTTGTGATCAGGGGACCCTGTGACCCCTTTTTTCAGAGGTAGAAAACAGCAATCTGCTCAGTAAAATGGCAGCCAGCATCCCCAGGCAGCCTCGCTTGCCCCTGCCTAGCACCAAACACTGGATGGTTTGTGAGACTCTCTTCAGCACCTTGAGGATTTCTGGCTTCCCCCACCGAAGTTGAAAGGCCACTGACTAGTGACATTACCCTCTTGTCCCTGTAGATGGAAATTGGAATGTGGGTGTTCCAGGAGGGTTAGGAACCCAGCAGGAAATGGGGACACACTCAGAGTTGTTATTTGTGGAGAACTTAATAAAAAGACTGTTTACAAAGCATGGGCAAGGTGTGGGGACACTGCAAGGGACAGGACAGTCACTAGGACTAGAGACCCACAAAACTTCTATCCAGGCACAGAGGCCCTCCAGCCCCAGCAGTGACTTACAGGAGGAACAGGCAGAGAGGAGCTGGGATGCAGTACCTGACTTCTCTCCTGCTCCCGCTGACTTTCCCGTGCTCCCCGAGGCTGGACAGAGCTGGAAGTGAAAGAGGGGTAAAGGGGCCTGAGCAGGTAGACTAGAGTCAGCCCCTGGGGCCCTGGAGCAGGCGGGAAGGAGGCCTCCTGCCTTGCTCTGTGTTCATGTCATTGCTGTCTGCAAATCAGGAATTTGAAATTTCCCAGACTCTGAAGAAATTGTAGGCAGAGCATGGCAGTAAGAGCTGGTAGTCAGAGTGGGGCCCAGGTTGGGGTGCAACTCCAGCTGGGCCTGGGCATTCAAAACAGGATGGCTGGAATCCACACCAGGGGACCTGCGGCACCTGGGAGGTGCAGCTGTTTGAGGTACAGGGAGGAATTTGGAGGAATTTGCCTCCAGGTGCTTCTGATCTATCCCCATCTGGTCTCATTTACCCATTTTATTTTAGTAGCCTAGACCCAAGATGGTACAGGCCCAGGGCATCCTGGGCTTCTGTCCTGGTAAAACACAGAAGCCAAGGCTACGGAATCCAAGCCCAAAGCTGAGGTGTGGCTGTGACACCCGCGTCAAACCTCCCAAATGCAAGAGCCAGTCCAGTAGATTGAGGTCTCTGGGTTTGGGCACTCAGCTGCAGTTCTGATGTGCCTTTATCGCCCTCTGTTGGCAGAAATGAAAAGTGACAGTAAGTCTAGGGGGCTGCTGAGCCCATCTTGAGCTGCTGGCACTTCCAGGACTTGAAACCAGATCCCACATCCCAGCAACCAGTGGGGCACACCGTTCATCTACCCCCGTCTTCTTAAGTGTGGGGAGAAAAACAACAGCCAGCTTTTCAGCGCCATGCTCTGGGATTCCCAGAGGCCTGATGTGGCCCACCATGGGAACATGGAACCTTGTTTGGTAAGGGCCAGTTTGGCCCCTCAGGGATCCCTGACCTTGGAATCCCGGGCCTCTGTTGACTCCCCTGTGACATGGCATAACGGCCTTGCCTGGCCTCCCCTGCAGGGCACGCACCAGGCACGGGGGTTCTGGGTGCCAAGGGAAGATCTCATTCTCTCTGCTGCAGAGTGTGGGGGCAGGCTGAAGGCCGAAGTGCAGACCAAAGAGCTGTATTCCCATGCCCAGTTTGGGGACAACAACTACCCAAGCCAGGCCCACTGTGACTGGGTGATCGTGGCAGAGGACGGCTACGGCGTGGAGCTGATATTCCGGACCTTTGAGGTGGAGGAGGAGGCCGACTGTGGCTATGACTACATGGAGGCCTACGACGGCTACGACAGCTCAGCACCCAGGCTCGGCCGCTTCTGTGGCTCAGGGGTGAGTCCCCAGTGCCAGTGCCATGGGCGAAAACCAGGGATTCAGAGCATGAGTTTGAGACCTAACTGTTCCTAACGCTTATAGCAACAGTCAGGAGGCCCATGTTTCCTGCAGGGGAGGGGGAAACAGGAGGCTCCCGGGAGAGGAGGTTGGGAGGGAGTCGGGAACCAGTTCATGAAGGCTTTGGACTGAGGTCAGTCCAAGGAAGAGTACTGGGCTTTTAGGCCCTATTTTTACAAAGGATCCTCTCTCCCATTTTTTTTTTCTTTCAGGAATTTCTTACTATTTAATTATGATTCTGTATATTCCCTATACTCATAATTCTCTCCCCATGCAAAGCCAAATGCTTATGAAATAAGCAGTTACTGTAAATAATACTTGTACTCAAAGTCACTGTCACTTTTCTCATGTTTGTCTCTTTCCTAGACCACCGACCCAGGACCAGGACAGGCCTGTTTTGTTTATTCTTTTCCCAGCACAGGGCTCAGGGCCTGGCTGTATACTGCGCTCAGTGATGTAGTGAGCCAACCAGTACAATGCCCTGGTGGCTCCCTGGCCCTGCCACACCGCACACTGCGCACACTGGGCTCCAGCCCTTTTCTCTGCCTCCAGGGGTCATCACTCAATCTTCTTTGCTATTGGCTGGACTTATGTCAAAGCCTTTGGAATCACGGGAGCTCCTTGTAGACAGAAAACTGACATGGTATATTTACGTCTTTCAATAATTTCCCTCCATCTACCTTCACCCTCCAAAAAAGAAGGAATGACAGAGTGTGACTTCCCAGATGCGCTGCCTGGGGTATGGTCCTTTCCACTGTGGAGAGGAGCCTTGGTGGGTCTCAAGCACAGCGCTCTGTGGGAAGCCCCATTTGGCTCTACTAGGACCTGGCAGGTGGCAGTCCTAGAACTTGCCAGAACCTTTCTGACAGGTGTAGTCAGCTCCAGTGCACTTTTTGTCCTTGGACAGGACATAACCTGAAGATTTTGGTCCCCTGGGAAACACAGTGGTGAATTGACAGAGCTGGGTGATGTATGGCACGTAATTCACAGTCAGAAAGAGCTGAGCTCAGATCCTACCCACCTGTGTGCACTTGAGTCTTGGTTTCCTCAGTGTGGATGGAGGGAGTATCTGCCTCATAAAGTTCCTGCAAGTGTCCATGAGGTCAGATCTGGAAGTGCTGGGCACAGTGCCTGAACCATCCGTGCACCTCATAAACCACAGGTTCTCTGTGATCTGTGGGTCTAGGAGCGTGTTTGGAAAAGCAGGGCTCAGGGAACTTTCTGGAGAATTTGCAGTGCTTTCCTGTGGAAAGGATCTCATTTGGATGCCCTCTGTCTGCAGGGCCAGGGACACCTCGTAGCTGCATTGGCCATCCTGTGTCCTTGGGTATGGTCCTGTCCCATCCTCGTTTAAACTCTAGTCACAGCCAACTGACCTCAGGTCTCCTGGTATCCCTTTCTCCTTTTCTTAGCCACTGGAAGAGATCTACTCTGCAGGGGATTCCTTGATGATTCGCTTCCACACGGATGACACCATCAACAAGAAAGGCTTTCATGCTCGATATACCAGCACCAAGTTCCAGGATGCCCTGCACATGAAGAAATAATGCCCACGTCCTCGAAAGATAGGAACTGAGAATGTTCTTACAACAGCAGCACCTGGCAAATCAGCCCTAAAACAGTGTACAGTATTTTTTTCAAGCAAAAACTCAAAATCCAGTCTTGAAGGTCTATATTTGGATGAAGCCCCACATGCATGTTTGGCCCAGGAGGAGAGATGTCCCTCTGGTTCCAGTGACAGTGTTGTCAGTGGTGGGCCTCTGGAGATGAAGGCCTGAAGTCCACTCAAGCTGTGCTTCTTCCTGCTCGCTCTCCTTCCCTTGCTCCTGGGGGGGGGGCAAGAGGCCAGCCATGGGGTTGGTCAGCCCTCTTCCTCCTGCTTCCATAGGTGCCAGGAAATGTGACCAAATCCTGGAGACGTAGGTTACGCTGAGCAGTGAGAATAAAAGCTTGGCTGACTTGTTACAGCTTTGGCTGGAAACTTTCTCCTTCTCTCCAACAGAGACATGTCGACCAGGAAACCTGAAAAGGTAGACATCCAGGGAAAAGAGACATCACCACAAGTAGCACACACAAGAGCTCTGAGCACCAGCATTATCATCGCTAAGGTGGAAGACCTCAGGCATGGCCCTCCCTGCCCCCTCTAGGCTTCTCCATCCCTCATTGCACTAAGGGGCCATAGCATCCACTAAACTCCAGCAGAACATTTGCCAGGGAGAATTCTTAGTTTGCCAAGAATAAAACATCCTGGCTCATTCTGATAGTCCCTCAATCCCTGACTTGAGGATCCCCATCTGTGCTTGGGGGGAGGTCCTTGGGCCTGGAAGACCCTGCAGCTATGGAAACATGCGCTGCTGTGAACCTTGACTCCCTGACAGCAGGTTCAAACCGCACCTGCAAGACGTGCAAAGACATCTCAGGAGGGGCCCGTTCAGGTCCCTCTCGGGTGAACACTGTGGAAAACTGGTTCATTCTGTTATGTAAGAATCATCACCTGGTGGAACAAGTCCACTTGTGACCAATCTCCTGTAATCAGACAGGTTCAAGAGTATGCTGATGACTTTTCTCAGATGAACTAGCATCCGATCAATGGAACGCTAGCATCCGGTCGACTTGCAATCAGGATTCACAACACGCGGCACTTGTTCTAGGGACGTGTGGGGGATGATGTTTACATGATTTTAGCACCTCAAGGTATAATTTAAACAGTGATGTAGTTTTGAATGGCATTTCATTAAGGCATCTATGGGCATTATGAGCTAAAAGCTGTGGTATGTTAGCTTTAAAAGAGTATTTATGTTGGAATGATTTTAAAATAATGTTTACATTGACAGTAAGTCCTGTTTGGCTGGTGTTGAAAACAGGGCGGCCCCTGAGAGTACTTCCACTCAGAGCCAAGAGGCTCCCCAGCCCTGGAATTCCTTTGGGATCAATCATTGTTTTTGAACACAGTATTTGTAAAACACTAGAGGTTCTATTTTTAAAAGATCAGGATATGCCGCCAGAAGATGATGTTCCATTAAATGATGGCTGGGAGTAAAAACTCGAATAATACAAAGAAGAGTAAAAGAAGTGCAGGGGAATACTTTTTTTTCCCCTTAAAACAGAAAGAAATCAAATTATTATTATTAATAATAATATATGTCTGTATATATGTAAGTATATAAAGGATCAGCTGTCAAAGCCTTAATCAATGCAGTGTGAAGAATGCCCACCCCCTAGTGGAGCTTTGTTGTACAGGCCCCCGTGCTGTCACCAAGCTCTCCTCTGGCTTTCCTTGGCCCTGGACTGAGTTTCAGCCTCCATTCTCACATCTTGGTAGATGGCAGACCCTGCCCAGGATGAACTTTGAGGTGACCAATGGAGTCCCTCTTCTCACGGTTCAGACCCCTCCTGCCTGTTCTGGTGGGTTCTGCTGCTCAGATCTGTGGATCGTCTGAGGTTGATTTTGTCCCATTTTGTCTGTCAACACTGAAACTGAAATCAGAATGCATAAGGAGGACGCTAAGGGTCTCTCTCCAAGGAGATGAGAATTCTGCATTTTTAACCTTGAGAAGTTTTAAGTAAGATGATGGGATTCCACGGAGAAGTGGGAGGGAGGGAGAAACAGAGCTGGTTTCAGCATTGGGCACCCTGGTGACACACTGATGATTCATTGCTTTAGTGTGAATGTTTCCAAAAGTACACGACTCCAACCACTGTCACCGTGTGGCCAATTCACAACAATGGGGCCCTTATGAAAACCTTTATTTAGGCCTGTGAGTGACGTAGACCCAGAAGACAAGCTCTGATTCAGCTGGGGCTGGACAGGCCCCTCCTCTGGAAGCCTGCACCCTTGGTGATCTACGCAGGACACAGTCCTGCAAAGAGCAGAAAGACCCAGGCCCCTGCACGGGCTCTTCCAGTTGCTCAGCAACCTGCCTGCCGATGTCTCTGGAAGTGGAGGAAGGAGCCAGAGGATGACCCTTCATCTTGCTTTGTCCTTTAACTGGGTGCCATGCCTTGGGTGACACAGAGCTTCAAGACTAGAGAATTAACTTCAAACAAAGGACCTGATGGAGTTTGGGGTCTGGGTCTCCAGCCTGGTCTAATTTTAGTGTAATCAGAGCTCACAGAAGCCAGGGCCTGCAGCCTAGAGCAGGAGAAGGGTCTCAGTTTAACATCAAACAGAGGGGGCAAGGCTGTGTACTGATTCACTATTTTCTCTATTTTCCTCTAAAGTTTCCATTTCTGTTTTACTACTTCCCTCAAAAGTGTCATAGAATCCACAAATGGCTCAGCCTGTTTAAATTATTTGTTAAATATGGGCTAACTGGCAGATTCACATAGGAATTTACCATCCACCTGATCCGTTCGATAATTCCTGGTATTGTTAGTACTCAGTTTGGGAACAAACGTTCCTTCGGCTTCAGCAGATGTTTTCAAGGTTTTTCTTTATAGACCGAACTTCTGAAAAATAATCCCAGATGCCTCAAAGGTTTCTTTAAAAAAAAATTAAAGCATTATCTATAAATGTATGGGTATTTTTTATTTTGAGTAACTTTACATTTCAGGAAATGATGTCAAAGAGAATGTGTGTGTGGAGGGGGGAGCTAACATACATCTGTTTAGAAAGGATGCCTCATTAAACGATGTGGATTTATTGGTGTGTCCCGGGTGTGTGTTACTAGTTCAAATAGGATGGGTTCTCTTCATGATCCTTTTCTCCACAACCACCAGCGCTCGGGCAGGGTGTGGCAGGGGGCTTTCTCTAGAGCCTTCTACCCCCTGGTGAGTCTCAAGCGCATAGCCCAGAACACAATTCCCTGCTGGAATCAGAAAAGCACAAGCAAAGCAAAGCAGACAGCTCTCACACTTGCCCCTTAGCCTTGCACATCCCCAGCCTGGCCAGAGGGTATTGGGCCTGAAACTTCAGTTCTTCAGCACAGGTTTGAATCTTCATGTGATAGAAGCATAATTGGCACCAGTTGCACTGATTTGAATGGTTTAGTCATTGGAAACAGTAACATCCCCACTTTACAGGTTAAGAGACTGAGGCTGCCAACTGCCTACGACCAAGCAGCCACCAGCCAGTAGGGTCTCCATGGCCTTGAATGCAGGAAGGACCTACTGTATTCTCTGTCTTCCAGGTACCATCAGATTCAGCTTAGTCACTTTGCTCTTGGGAACTGGAAGCACCCTGAGGCAGAGACCACAATGCTCTTGTTCAGTACTGTGTCCCATGCCTGGCCGCTCAGAGGTGACTGAGTCCCTGACTGTTCATTGTGTCACCTGAGGATGCCCCTATTCCATTCTGGGCATTTCAATTTGTCTCTGAAGTCGGACCCAGGCACCAGGGTTTTTATAAGCCTCCCGGGTGATTCAGGTGTGTAGCCAGGATGGAAAACCCACCTAGTTCCAAGATAACCTGGTCCCCTCCATCGTGCCACTAATTGTCCTCCTCAGAGTCACTAGCAGCCACCAACTGAGAAGCAGATGGCTGCTCCAACCTTTCCTAGGCAGCGACTGGTACAGTCAGCTGCCACCCCGTCTTCTTGAAACACACATTTTCTGTGACCCCAGACCTCGGATTTTCCTCTCATGAAGACTTTCTTGCTGGCTGGGCCTCCTCCACCAGGCCTCTAAATGTCCACCGCCCTGGGTCTCTATTCTGGTCCTCTGCTCTGCCCACTTGCAGCTTTAAACACATCCACAGGCCGCCACCAAACGGACATCTTCAGTCCCAGACCCCCTTTGTCTCATCAGCAGTCAGCACCTCCACTGGGCTGGCTCAGAGCGACTGAAGGTTACAGCACCCGATGTGGAGCTTGGGTTCCCCCATCCAAATCTGCTTTCCCAGTAGCACGTCCCTAAGCCTGTGCCTCAAGCCCCATCAGTCAAGCCCCAAGCCTGGGAGTTCAGCCCTTTCCCTCACCTTCTCTCCCCACTTGCCTCAGATTTCCCCATCATCAGCTCTCGCTGCCTTGAACTCCAAAACAGCTCACAAGCCATTCCAGCCAGTCTCCTGCTTCCACCCTTGTCCCTATGATCCATGCTCCAAGGAGAAGCCAGGGTGAGCTTTGTTGGTATCACTGGGATCATGCTCCCACGTGAAACCCTCGAATAGCTTCCTGCTGCCCTCAGAATAAAAATCCCCCCTCCCCCCCACCCGCCATGTCTGGTCATCGGGCCTCAGGCTCACTCATGTGCCCTTACCCTCTTTCCAGGTTGCTCCGAGGTTTCTGTTGGTCCGGCTGCGCTGGCCTCCTTCCCCTTCCATGACACACGGAGACCGGGGAGCTTTGCCTTTGCTGTGCCCCGCGCCTGGGGCTCCCCTCAGCCCTCCACGTGTAGGCCTCTTCTCATTTTCCATGTGCAACTTGAAGGTCATCTCCAGAGTTGTCTAAAGCTATGACCGCGGGTCACTTCACTTGCTGTCTCCTTATGCCTCTCTTTGCTCCTCACAGGGTGGTTTCCATTTAAGTGGCCCCTTGGTTGACCATTGGTTGCAATTCTGTGGTTTTGTTGGCAACTCACTCACCATCTTAAGGAAGCAAATTCAGGGCTACTGAAAGCTACCCGTATCCACAGCTTCCTGAGCTAGAGGAAGGTCCCACTGGGAAATGTGAGGACAGGAGGCCACGAAGCCAAACTCACTGATGACTGTGTCCTTCGCTGGCAGCCACAGGCCTGCCTCAGAGTGGCTCCAGCACCCACCCTGCAGGCGTCCTCAGCTCAGGCTGTAGCAGGGGACTCCCTCATGGCCAGGAACATGGTCTGTGCAGATGCCTGTCAGCTGGGGACACAGTGGCCAGCCTCAGCCCGTGTGACCCATTGTTTCTAAAGAGCTGGCAGCTGCAGGAGCCGCCAAGCTCTCAGGCCAGCTGTGGTGTCTTTGCTGAGATAGTAAGAAGAACAGAAAATAAAGGCAAAGAGGATGGAGGGCCCTGGCCTTTGATAGTGGCCAGGGAACAGGAGCCCATCTTTCCCAAGGGACGGGCCCAGGGCTTGGCTACTCCCCTGCCCATAAATGGCGTGGCCCCGGCTCTCTTGGAGCCACCTCGCCCTGCCTCCCCAGCACTAGTTCCTACAGATGGGAGACCCAAGCCAGTAAGGCCAGTGTTTGGAGAAGGTCCTGGGAGGCTGTCGGCAATGGTGAGTGGGCGCTGGCCTCTTAGCCTAACCTTGCTTTCTCTCCATAAAAACTAATTTCCAGGCCTTAAGGCACTGGTCTCCTAATTCAATCAAATATAGCTGCACCCTCAGCACAATGAAGGGCTTGGGTTTTAATTATTTTCCTATCTATAAAATACTAATTGTTCCCCAACATTCTTATCTAACAATAGCTGATCTCGTCTTTAAGTTTGATATTTTTATTTTTATTTATTTATTTTTATTTTTTTCTTACAAGGATGGGGAATGAATGTCTCAGCTCTGTTTCCTTCCTGGGGAAGCCAGGGGTCTCATCAATGATTTTACCTTTCTTGAGTGTTCTGTCCTCCCTCTGCTATGTTATCAGCAACATGTGTATTCATAAGTTCCATCTGAAGCTTCCCACCTTTCTTATTGATTTATGATAGGAATTTGGTTGAATCAAGTGAAGTTTGCTAAGTTGGGAGAGAAAACAGAAGAGGCCTTTGATTTCTTTATTGAAGAAACAACCTGGGTGTCTGTCAACAGATGTATGGTGTGTGTGCGTGTGTGTGTGTGTGTGTGTGTGTGTGTGTGTGTGTAAGTGTATGTGTGTCTAGAACGGAATATTATTCAGCCTTTAAGAAGGAGGAGATCTTTGGATCAGCTTTAGCTCAAGCTGCTACCTCCTTACACGGGACTCTCCATCCATCTAAAAAGGAGGAGATCCTGGCTATTGGCCACAACCAAATTGGCCCTGAACGTTATGCTAAAGGAAATAAGCCAGACACAAAAAGAAAAATACCACATGATCTCGCTTATGTAGAATCTAAAAACAAGGATGGGGGACTATTCAGAGGAGTTAAATTTAGACTTTAGAGTTAGGAAGACCTGTGGTCTAACCTGATCTATGCCTACAAGCCGGCGACCTCCAGAAACCCATCTTGTCTCGATGTCCTCACCTGTGATGTAGGAATAACAGTACTCCCCTCGTGGGGAGGTTTTGAGAGCAGTGTCCAACACCAGCATACCTTCAACGACCGTGAGTGATTGCCTCATCTGCCTCTCCCCCTCACAAGCAGCAAACTCCTAGTGAAGGACAGCATCCTCCTTTGGGATCCCCCTGTAGCTGGGATACACTGCTCAGCACGAGGCAAGAAGGGCTGGCACTTTGAATTTTGCGACTTATACTTACAGTTCCATCTAATAAGAATTTCCTGAAGGGCTTCCCCACCTTAACCCTGCCGGCCAGGCCTAAAGGAAGATGGCACCACATGATCCCTCATGTACTAGAGGGAAGTACATGGAAGGAGCTGCCACAGACATTATATCCCTTAGGTTCATACTGTGAAGTGGGCAGGGCAAGTTAACAGTATCCCATTTTGAGGATGGAAAAACCGGGAGAATGAATTTGCTGCGAGGGACTGGAGACCCAAGAGTTTGAGTGACGTATCCAAGATCATATAGCCATTAAGTGGCAGGACAGGATTTGAACCCCATCAGGTGGCTCTGAGTCCAGAGTTGCCTCATCCCACCCAGCTGCAGCTCTAAAGGGCACTGCAGTATGTTTTTCTCTCCATCAGAGCACTGTTCTGTTTCTACAAAATGAGAATATCTTTCTGAAATCGGCCAAAGTCATCGTCATCCACATGTTGATAAACAACACATGCAAAAGCCTGCTTGTTGCTGTCTCGCCTCCTCTGTCCTCCCTGCAAAGGAAGCTTTGTCCTGGGCCTGCTGACATCAGAGCCCAGCACCCACTGATGAGATCAGCCTGGGGCAGCTGCGTTCAATGCCTTGTAGCCAGCCCGTTTGGTGATAGCATGAAGAACAGTGGTTAGATCCCCAGAGCCAGAGAATCGTGACCTGAGGCCCAGGTGATCCCTGGCTTTAAGGGTGTCCCAGAAGAAGAGGTCTAGAGTGCCTGCTGTTCATCTGCAGAAACCACAGGAGTTATCGGGAAGCTATGTGGTGGAAGACCCTGGTTCTGGTCGCAGCTGATGAGTTGTGTAGACTCAAGCAAGCCATCACATTCTTGAGCCTTGGTTTCCTTCTCTGTAGCGTGAAGCTCCTCTGTTGCTAAGAGACAGAGCAGTGGGCAGAGTCGCCACTGAAGCATTTGAGCTTTTTTGTTTAACTCTTTTTTTAGATGTAGATGGACACAATACCTTTATTTATTTATTTATCTATCTATCCATTACTTATTTATTTATATGTGGTGCTGAGGATGGAGCCCAGTGCCTTACACATGCTAGGCAAGTGCTCCATCACTGAGCCACAACCCCAGCCTTGGATGAGACCATCTTAATTGAAGGACAATGTTGGAGGCTGAGCAAGGGGGAGTATATGTTGTGGGTGCTCAAAACACTTTTGATTCACGGAAGATGATTTTGATTCACGTTCAGTAATTCATCTGAATTCCAACCCACCTATTAGCCAGAATGAGTTTTGCTGGGGGAACTATCTGCTCTAACCATCTCTCAGTTCAGATCAGGGTCACATGGACCAAGCTCACTAGCCTGTTTTCAGAGTGCAGCTCTAACTGTGCACATTTTTCTATAAGATAATTTCTAATGAGCCCCTGGGTCTCAGTCTTTTCTGTAAAATGGGGTTATGAGGTATAAAATGTCCTTGGAGGCACTTTGGGTCCAAAATATTAGGATCCTTTGGGATTCTTTAATATTTCACAATATTCCTAATTTTGGATAACATTTAATGTTAAAACTCAGCAAACGTGTTGTTCTTAGAATGAGAGAACCTATTCTTGGGGGACTACAGTAGATCAAGAACTGGAACGCAGGCTGAGCCCCTGGTGGACAGGGAGGCTGGGGCTGAAGGAGGCCCGGCCATGGGGTCATTAATCAGATGGCAAGACTCAGGGGGTGGAAATTCCAGAAAGTGAAACAAGGCCTCTGCAGCCCAGGGCAACCAGGGCCAGAAAGGGTCATCTGTTGAGTCAGAGCAGGGTCCACCCATTGTCAGACAGGAAGGGACTTGGTAAGACACACCAATGAGCCCAAACTAAGTGACAGGATGGGGACAGGGAGGAGAAAGGAGCCACGGGTAGCTTGAGCAGAGCCTGACCCAGATAAGTAGGCACCGGGGCAGGCTATTTAGTGCCCCCTGAGCTTGCAGTCTTCAAACACTGATTCCACACATGGGGATGGGTGAGACTGGGTGCTGAGTGGGGGTGGGGGTGGAGGGGGGTGAGCTTCTCCTCTGCTGTCCTGACCAGTTCGGCTCCACAGCCCAGAACCTCTCCCTTGACTTGGCAAAATGAAAGCAGGTCTTTTTCTCAGTTAACTCTCCAGAGATGGTGGTTTAGGATCAGGCGTTAGAACATGCCTCTTGGGGGCTTATCTTCTGCTCTAAATTCCCATAGTTCTTTCCCTGAAAGAACTTCTTGGGGAAAAAATTGCAGCACCTCTCTGAACTTCGGATGATGTTAATATTGCCCTCGTGGATCAGGGATCCTGGGCCAGATCCTCCCTGGCTGGTCCCCTAATCTGATTGATAACCTGGAGGATTAAGCGTGGGGGAGACTGACAATCTGGGGGAGGGGTTCCTGTTGACCTCAGCTCCCCTGCTCCCCTCCTGCCTCCGGGGCTCCCGAGCTGCTCTATGGAATCCATACATTCTTGGGGAGTCCACCAGCGGTGGGGAGCTTGAGGAGTCAGGAGCTTGCTGATGGTTCCTGCCAGGGTTAATGTTTCCTTCTCTCTTGCAGAGTTTTTCACTAAACTTCACACTGCCGGCTAACACAGTAAGTACAGCCCCCCCTGTTCACCAGTCTTCAAACACAGCGAAGGTCAAGGCTGAATTGACACAGGGAACTCCAAAACTCCTCCCACGTACCTTGTGTACAAGGATGAGTTAGTCAGAGGCACTGGTGAATAGCTGAGGGGTGCTGAGAGCAATGTTTTCAATACAGAAATTATAATAGAATCCTCCTCCCACCCTTAATTCTCATCAACAGAACACGTGGGTGTAACCCTTTCCCACTCTTTAGAGACTTCACCTACATTTTGACTTTTGTTATCTTTGTACTAGTGTGTTCTTACTCACCATATAATATTATGTCTTTAAACGTTCTCTGTCAGTCTTCACAACTATAATTGAGGGTAGGCATATGTTATTTCTTCAAGTAAAGTATTTCATAAATTGAGAGTGATTTGGTGATTAGCATCATTATATGCTTGTCTGCATTTAAGATGATTTCCTCAGTATATATTCTGGAAGAAGAATGTTTAGGTCCGTAATGAACATGCTCAGGCTCTTGATCATGACACTTAGTTGTAAGTCAAAATAGAGGGTTTTTTTGGTTGTGGAAGATGAACAGTTTCAATCTACAGTTGATCTCCTGGCTTCCATCCTCATGCAGTGTAGGGGTGACACTAACAGCCAGGGTTGTTTTCTGATCAGTCTGTGCCATGATCAACTGAGGCATCTTCCTGGCCCAGTTGTTTAGGTTTGACTGTGCCAAGGTTTTCTGATGAGTTAGGTGTTATTCAAAGAGGACTCCTAAGCTGGTGCTCATTTTGGCTGTAACATGGGGGTGTACCTCTACGGAGTAGCAGATGGTTGGACCGTGGTAACTTACTGCTGAACTTCTGGTGCCCACCAGTCTGTGTCCGGCTGACAACCCCCTCCTGGGTGGGGATCCCTTTCTTCTGAGCCTTGACTTGCTCAAACTTCTGGTACCCATGTGATCCCTGTAACAACCCTAGAGGTAGCTAGCACTGTCCCTGTTTTATAGAGGGAGAAAGGAGGCCATGGAGCTCGAGTGGAGAAACCACCAGCCCACGGGGATCCCAGACCTGTGCTCTTAATCCCACCTGAAAACACACAGCAGAGTCGCAGGTTGAGTTGCTCAGGTAGACCTTTGTTCCCTGAGATTTATTGATCAAGGCAAGACTCTTGCCTGAAGCAGCTCAGAAGTGGATGAGATCCAGCACGCTCCCCCATGAAGTGGCAATGAACCAGAAACATGTAACATATTCATTCAACCTGGACTTGTCCCCAGGAGTGGGGGCCATTTGCAGGCTCAGCCATTTGTGTCATTACAGTTCAAGAACAAGTCAGTCCTTCCTAAAGAGCCTCGCTTCCGCCAATGTTGAATGTTTATACTCACTTCCCCTCTAACTCTGGGGACAAGTAGGCCAAAGCGTGCTGAGAGTCCTGGGAAGGCCGTGGGGACCAGGGACAGGAGAAAACTTTTTGAGGTGAAAATGTGCCATGGCAGATCCACAGTGTGAATAATAAAGACGCCACCTAAATTGCTGAATTCTTCCTCTTTGTAGCCAAATTTCATTTCAGTTCTTACCTGGGAAGCAGTCAAGGGAGGTTCTGTTTGGTAGTGGTGGTTGTGGACCACTTAGAGAAGGAGCGCGCTTCACCATTTTAGCTTCTCCAGGCTGTTCTGCATGGTGTAGTCTATCGATTACTGTTTTCTGACAATATGTTCTGGTTTCACACAGACTTCCTCTCCGGTTGTTACAAGTGGGAAAGAAGCAGTAAGTATACTCTTAAATTATCCAGACTTGGCTTGGACATTTATAAAATGGGGATAAGAATGCTCTATCCATATGGTGCATTTGTTTTGAGGATTAATGTTTGGCATGTGAACAGTCACCAAGCCCAGACCCTGGCTCAACCATTATTCTTAGGACCCTCTAAGCTCAAGAGTGAGGAAGAGCTCTATTTGTGCAATAAGAATTGTAATGCATTCCACTGTCATAGATAAACAAAAAATAAAAATAAAAAGAGTGAGGGAGAACCTACACGATCACAGGTGGATTTTACAAAGTGTTGAGCAAAAGAAGCCGGACATGAAAGACCACACACCTTACATTTGCTTCTATACAATGTTGAAAACAGGCAAAATCATCTATGGTGATAAATTTCAGTATTTTAGTGCTCACAGGTGGGGAGATGAAGGGAGTATGGGGGGCTCCTGGGGCCCTGGCAGGATTGTTTCTTGGTGTGAATGTTGGTTATATGAGTACGTTCTTCATTGAAAAGTATTCAACCTGTGTATTTATGATTTTATACTTAACTGTTCTATAATAGAATCATACTCCTCAGAAAGTGAAGGAGAACCCAGACTTTGATAAAGCAGCACATTAATAAGGATTCTGTTGATTGTCTTCAGTATTTCCAGAAACAAGTCTGCAAATCCAAAAAGTCTTGTGGCTACAAGCACGACTTTCCACTCAGATGAAATGGACATTTGAAAACTGGCTAATGCATTTAAGATAAATGCATTTGAAAAGTCACACCAAAATGGTGTGGGTCATAATAAAAGCTTTTGCTTTTTGCCAGACTCATAGTTGAATGTGGTGTCTAGTTGTTGCTCTGTGTTGCCCTATGTGGTACCTGAGCTTTTCCTACACGGAGACATTTGTGTTTCTTTTCCCAGGAACTCTTGTTTAGATCAGTTGTCCATTCTCTTCTAGGTTGCCCCTCTTAAAAAATACTTTTTAGTTGTAGATGGACACAGTACCTTTATTCTATTTTATTTTTTTAATGTGGTGCTGAGGATTGAACCCAGTACCTTCCACATGAGAGGTGAGCACTCTACCACTGAACTACAACCCCAGCCCATAGATTACTCTTCTTGCAACTGATTTAAACTAAGTGAATCAAGTCCTATGAAAGCAAGTCCCTTGTCATGCAGGATACAAACTTCTTAAAAAATAATGTTTCATTACTCTTTTGAATTTGTATATGATACTTAAGCTTCATGCAGCCTTTTTTTTAAATTTAATTTTTGGGGGTACCAGGGATTGAACTCAGGGGCACTTGACCACTGAGCCACATCTCCAGCCCTATTTTGTGTTTTATTTAGAGACAGGGTCTCACTGAGTTGCTTAGAGCCTCGCTTTAGCTGAGGCTGACTTTGAACTAGTGATCCTCCTGCCTCAGCCTCCTTGATTACAGGCATGTGCCACCATGACCAGCTTTTTGTTTTATTTGTTTGTTTGTTTGTTTATTCATTTACTTATTTTTTAGTTATGGATGGACACGATGCCTTTTTTATTCACTGATTTTTATGTGGTGTTGAGGATCAAACCCAGTGCCTCACACGTGCTAGGCAAGCACTCTACCACTGAGCCCCAGCCTCAGCCCCTGGTTTTATTTTTGATCTGCTGAATTATTCCTTCCATCTTGAAGATTCGGGGCTTCCCTGACCGTGTTTCTCTCTCTGTGCAGGACTGTGGGCCTTCTCTTGGGTTAGCGGCCGGCATCCCGTCCCTGGTGGCTGCAGCCCTGCTGGTGGCCTTACTACTTACTTTGATTCACCAGAGAAGACGAGGAAGCAGCCATGAGTCCGCTGAGGTGACGACCAGCTTCTCTGGGTCTGGACGTGCTGCAGGAATCAGTATTTCAGTGAACTTGCTTTTAGGCTAAAAGCACGAGAATCCGCAGGCAGTGTTGCTCCCGGAGGCCATGGTGGTGGGAGTGGCAGTGCCACAATTCCCACTGCAGACCTGACGCTGTGCTCCGGCAGAGCTGAGTCGCCCACTACTCTCAGGCCCCTTGAGGAAGTCCCTGGCCTTGGGGATGTATGAGGTGCCCTCCAGGAGCTGGGGAGGGGTGTTTGCTGCCTTGGCAAACGTGTCTGTACCGTGGGTCTGTTTTCCAAGTGGAGGGGCAAAAAGGGCCCAAGCTTCACAAGGTGAGGACGGAGGTGAGGTGAGGAAAGACGAGAGAAGAGCAGTGCCCAGGTATCATTGGTCGGGATGTGGCCAGGACAGACCTGCCCGTTTCCTAGTCTGCGCACAGTTGACAAGAGCATGCACATCTGCCTCCCACGCCCGAGTGCCAGATTGCTCAGAATTCAAAGGCCGCCCAGACTGATACCCAGCAAGCTTCCCTGGTTGTGATCACATAGACTCCGACTTCTAATTCCACCCTGTTTATAAACATCCCTGGTTGTTTTCACAGTGCTAAGTAAGCACTAACGGGGAGATAGAAAACCTTGATTCTTATCCCGGCTCTGCCGCCCTATGATTTCTATGATCCTAGACCAGTGATATTTTCTGTGCTTTGGTTGGTTCAATTCAAAATCAGGATAAAAATTACCTCTCTGAGCTGGGGATATAGCTCAGTGGCAGAGCACTTGGCAAGCATGTGCAAGGCCCTGGATTCAATCCTCAATGCCAGGGGGAAAAAAAACCCTACCCATCCTAGTCTAAGGAGTAGACGAAATCATAAGAACAAAATGACACCTTGGATGGTGAACATCTGTATGTAAAGGTGTGTTGACAAGATGTGAACTTTAAACACAGTAGGAAGTACTAGGTGACTGTGGTATTATTTATTTAAGTAATAGTTTCTGACCCTTCAGTGCACTTTAAAATTACCATTCACCAAAACAAATTAATTCAGAATTTCTGTACAATAGAGCTATGGCATTGACCCTTTAAAAACTAGATATTTTTATTATGGACACAGTAGTGCTCCCTACCCTTAGAATGATATTTTTATTATGGACACAGTAATGCTCCCAGTCTTAGAATGATACGTTCTAAGATTCCACAGTAGATATTTGATTCTGTGGATAATACTGAACCCTACATATTCATATATACTTTATGCATGTATACCTATGAAAAAGTTTGATTTATAAATTAGACAAGGTAAAAAATTAACAATAACTAATAACAAAATAGAAAAATTATGATAATATGTTGTAATTAATGTTTTGTGAATGTGGTCTCTTAATTGCATGGGATGGGTAACATATACAGCATGGATACACTGGATAAAGGGATTGGATGATTACTTTCCAGGTGGGAGAAAGCAGGATGGCCCAAGACTTCATCATGCTGCTCAAAATAGAAATTTAAAATTTAGATTGTTTTAGGAAGTTTTCATTAACATTTTTTGGGCCCTGTTGTGTCATAGTGACTAAAACTATGGAAAGCAAAATCTTGGACAAAGAGGGATTATTGTAATTTTGAACATATACTAGAGTAAAATAGTACAGTGAATCCAATTATCAACTCATGGCCAGTCTTGTTTTATCTCTCCAACCCTGATAATTCTGGATTATTTTTAAATAACTCATAGTGATATTTCTTCAGTTTTTTAAGGGAGGTATCATTTTTTATTATGTATTTGCTTTGTTTTTAAAGTTTTCTAGTGATTCTAATAAGCATTCAGGTTTAAGGACCACTGAGTCTAATCCGTGGTTATGGTCAAAACTTGTGACTCTTCACTTTTTTTTTTTTAACCAATTTAGGAAAGTGAGAGACCATGTGAAATTTCAGAAATCTATGACAATCCCAAGATAGCTGAGGTAAGAATTTTTATTATAATATCTATAAATGACTAATACAATAGTAAGCAAGCTAATGCACAAAGTACACACGAGCAAATGGAAGGGATGCAGCCAAATGAAGCTCAAGCACAAAGGAGGTTCTTTATGCACTTTTATTGGAGTTCAAGTAAATTTAATATTAGAAAATTAATTTCATATCATCTATTTCACTGACAAATTGAAAGAGAAATATTGTGTGACCACCTCATTGGGAGAAGAGAGTTTGAAACAAACTCAACAATCCCTTCTGATATGAGCTTTTAGAAAACCAGAGTAGAAACTTCTTAACTTGCAAAATAACATCATTTTAATAATTACACAAAAATCATACCTAAGTGCAAAATTTTGAAAGCATTCTTTTCTTTTTCTGTGATTACCAGATATAAATCAAGAATGCTCATCACTTCTATCCAATATTGCACTTTAGGTCCTGGTCAATACAGTAGGCTAGGGAAAAAAACAGAAAACATAAGACTAAATAGGAAGAAACAAAATTGGCATTATTTGCAGATTATATGTTTGTCTACATAGAAAAGCCAAATAATCTAAGCATAAATTATTAGAATTAACAAGATATTTGAACAAGTTCAGTGGATACAAAAATCAATATACAAAGTAATGTGCATTTCTTGAGATAAGCAACAATTAGGAAAAGTAATTTATGAATTATTATTTTACAGTGGTAATAAAAATATATAGAATGCTGAAGAACAAATATAACAAAAATATGTAATCCTTTTATGGAAAATAATAAAAATTTAGTAAAAGACACTAATACCTGAATAATTCAGATATATACCATGCTCCTGGGTAGGAAAATCAGTAGCACAAAGATGTCAAAGACCACAAATTTATGATTACTTTATTACCTAGATAATAAACATAATTTAATTTAATCCTAATAGATTTGTTTTCATAAAATTAATTAAAGTTCTTCTACAATCTATAAGGAATAAGACAGAAAAAATATTTTAAAAGAAACCATGAACACATAAAACCATTAGAAAACCAATAGCAAGGGGCTGTGATTGTGGCTCAGTGGTAGAACACTCGCCTTGCATGTGTGGGGCCCTTGGTTCTATCCTCAGCACCACATAAAAATAAATAAATGAAACGGAGGTATTGTGTCCAACTACAACTAAAAAATAATAAAATATTTTAAGAAGAAAAGAAAAACCAATAGCAAGATGATAGATTTAACCCCAACCATACCAATAATCCCATTAAATGTAAATTATCTAAATACTCTCAGTTAAAAGGCAGAGATATTAGATTGTCTATAAAAACAAGATCCAACTATAAGATGTCCACAAAACCCAACTTTAAATATAGAGACTGGGACAGATTAAAAGTTAAAGGTCAGAAAAAGAGACACTATGCTAACAATAAGCAAAAGTGTTGAGTGACCTAGGAGCCTCCCATGGCAGTAAGTTCAGGTAATTACAGACCCTTCTTTTCTGTTTTCTGTCCCTCGAGGGTTACTGTATTTCCTCACCTGATGTCCAGTGTCCTGAATACTATTATTTTAAATGCTTTATCGGATTTGGGTTTGTTTCATGTGGGAGGGTAAATATATATGGCTATTGTTACTCCATCTTGGTCAGAAGCAGAAGCCTCGAGTGTATTTTTTTTTTTTTAATCTCTGTTCTCTCAAGAATCCTAGGAGGTCACCCACTGATGAGAATACAATAGGAGCACAAGAAGCCCACATATACGTGAAGACTGTAGTGGGAGGCGAGGAGCCCCTGCCTGACACTTACCGTCCTCCTGAAGAAAGAGAGAGGAGGAGGGGACTCTGGTGGCTTATACCCAGACTGAGTCTAGAATGATATGGCTTCATCATGGAGCAGAAAGGAGCCAAAGACGGCTGAAACCCAGAGATTTGTGCTCGAAGAGGAGATGTACCAAGCTGCTTTTTAACCACTTCAAATTTTATTTATAGGTCTGGAACACTTTGGGGTTGATTTATCTCTTTAGGGGATGGTTCCAATAAGATTCATTCTAACTTTCAGACCTTGTGGTTTAATAAGCAGTGAAGCACCCGGTGAGTTGCCTTTTTTCAGATACAGCCCCGTAGGTCCTATTCCTGACCCCAGTGGGAACTTGCTTTTCTTTGCGATCTGGGGAAAAGGGTCCGGTTTCTGAGTGTCTTGCTGTCTTCTCATCTTTTTCTTACATCCCTTTTCTTAAAAAAAAAAAAAAAAAAAAAGAAGAAGATGATGCAGCAGCTGTCAGTCCTGGCTTCTATGTTCACCCATGGTCAGCCAAGATCAACCACAAGTTAGGATATAAATGAAACTTACATGAACGGTGCAAGGGGAAGCCAGTTCCTCTTTCTGAATATCTCAGGGTAGAAGTCACGGGGAGCCACACGTTCCCTGACCACATCTGGTTGGATCACGTCGTACAGCAGTGGAAAGAATATGGCCTCCTGAGCAGGAACTGCCACCAAACAAGCTGTATGGCATTGGTTAACTTCTCCAAGCCTCCGTTTTTGGCTTTGCAAAAGAGGGGATGATAGTTCTTGCTTCATGGGGTCACTGAAAAGATTAAATAAGAAGTAAAGGGAAGTGTTTGCCACTTAGTAGGCATTAAAAATGTTAGTTCTCTCTCCCTAGTCCCTTCCTACCTTTTCCCATATTGCTCTCCTGATAAATTTAAGCAGCTGATCTCCAGCACTTGTTACCCATAGTCATAAAGTCACCATTGAAATATTTATGGCAAACTTTTTTCCATGAACTTCACCCCAAATTGTTGACATTTAAAGATATTTCCAGGTATCCTTAGTAGCCGGTGAAACTTCAAACCTAGATGTGATACTGTCTTTACATGGGAACCAGAAAAGGCCAGTTTTTCTTTCAAGTTCCCAATTCCAAGTGCAGGGACTGAGGTTTTACCTTTAGCCTTCAAGAGGTGGAAGCTGGTGGGGATTTGCATTTCATGTTAAAATGACTTTTCTTTCCAATGAGGCATTTTGATGAATTACTTCTGATGACAGCTCCTCAACCGTCTTTGACCTTTAGTGCTTTAAGGGTGGTTGCTAAATATATAATTTCTCTTATTAAAAAGTATCCTTTGGAGGGCACATGATTCTTGAGCCCAAGAATAGCATTGCCATTTTATCTTGCTGAGGGCTCTCTCCAGGGAGGCCCCAGGGAAAAAGAGAGACCACCTGGAGCGGTGTTGGGCCCATTAAGATAACTGGACAAAGAACAATCAGTCTGTCCTATTTTGTGGGAATTGCTCTAGAATAGACACCCCCCCACCTCTGGCTTTTAAGCAACTCCTTTTTCCAGTTTTCAATGCCTCTCCATTCCCCTCCCCATTTTCGCCCATCCCCTCCTTTTGCCCTCATCCCTAATTTCATGTTCTCTGTGACTGTGGGCAAGGTGACTTCCTAGCACATCAGATGTCTACCACCCACCTGGCCAAGGAGACACATCATTCATCACCCCGACCTGAGTCTGTGATCAGACAGCATCTGAGGAAGACAGTTCTGCAACAGGCTTTGTGTCTGTGTGCACGCACTCGTGTGGAGGGCAAAGAAGGGGCAGGGGAGGAAAGAGTGGCCCTGAAAGATTATTAGGAATGACAGCTTATCCACTCCATCAGGGTGGAGAAAAGGCTCATGTCCTTGGAGTATCATGATTTTAAAAAATCTTGCAGGAAGAGAGATCAAGAGGACTCAGGGGATGAGCACCAAGGGATGGGCCAAGTACCACACACCTGCTGTCCAAGGAAAATCCAGGACCGTGTCAGCCAGCTTGGGACAGGCTTTGACCTTCTCTTCCTGGAGGAGGCTTCTAGGCAGCCTGGCTCCCCCATTCAGGGCCATTGCCTTTGAGCAGGTCAGACATCCTTCTGGGAAACCCCGGTCCAGAGCATCCCAGGGAACATCTGACTGCTCCACGAGTCACCTGGGTATCCTAGAAAACATTTATTTCTTTACCCAGGGCCTCGGATGGGTCAGAAGTGTGTTCTACTTTCCTGAAGAACAGAATGGGTTCTATTAAAGCCCATCAACCGATGGCCCATGCCAACCCCTGCTTTTTAAAGCCACCTTGCCCTGTCCCTAGGGTTCAGTTCCCTTGACAGGAAGATTTGGCCATTTGTAAGCAGATGTGGCCAGGGATACTGGTACTTTTACTTCTCTTACATGTTGGGAAGGACCTTGGATTTACGGAGGAGTCAGCTGTGACTTCGATACTCGTGACTCAGCCCGAGCACACACTGCTGATCTCCCGGAGCCTCTGTTCTGTACTCATAAGATGGAGATGGCAGTTTTCATCCTCTGACCCTGCAGTGCATTGTAATAGCCATGTCAAAAAGCCTTGCAGCCTATTAAGTGAGGTACGGCTTGCATTTTGGGATCATTTATTTAATTCTACTTACAATCCATTGCTTGGAATCCTAACTTCAAATTGTTTCTGTTAAAAACAGTATAAGGTTCAGTGTTTCTGTAATTTTTTTCTGCTGTATACACAAAAACTTATTTTGGAATAAAGTGGAAAGTAAAGTCATTTTTATGAACCTACAAAATATGTGTGGCTTTCCTTTTTCTACATGAAAGTATAAGATAAAAAACTAAGATTATCCCAGAGACATTCCTGTACAGGCATTGTATCAGCCAGGGTGACTGATGGCAGTTCCTCAGTCTGTCATGGAGGGAAGACCCAGTATTGTAATGAGACTGCTGAGACTGAGACTGGAAGTTGGAAGCTGTGGTTCTCCAACACGGGGGTGGTGTTAAGCTGAGTGATCTTGGTCAGCTCATACAATGTGTTTGGGACCTGTTTCTCATGTAGCACGAATATTTGGATTGATTTGTCTTTAAGATTACATCCACCCAGCTCAGACATTTTAATTGTTTTTCACAAACAAGGCAAAATAAAGCCCCTCCCTACCCCTTTCTGTCTCCCTGCACTCCCCACCCCAGCAGCACAATCCTCTGAATTCTATGGCCCTCCTCAGCTCCTGACTTGCAGGTGGACAGAGACACTTGTTTCACCTATAATTTTGCCAAGAAGTAAAAGTTACTTCCTAGTTTTCTTCGTGGAATTTATTGTTGCAACATCATAATGCTAAATACATCATAATGACTAATTTCTGGAAGAGTGCCAAGTCATACAATCTTTGCACTCTTACCATTTTGTTGAGAATTTTTATTAAGTATGAATTGAGTTGACTCACGTGCACTGGCTTCTTTCCTACGTCAGTGAAATGCTAGGTCCCAAGACAACATTGGAGACCAAATGAAAAAGCTGAAGACAACTGGGTCTTCTTGGAAATGCCTCTCCACGCTCATGAATGTGTATCTCCCATCCACTCAGGGCCATGATGTCAAGAAAGTTCTCCTGGAGGGGCTTAGCCTCACAGCCAAAAATATAAGACAGTCTTTTTTCTTGGGCTTAAATAAAGAATAATCTGAGCTCTCTTTTTTTCCTTTTTCAATACCTGATTTAGAGATAAGTATGACCTTTCCAGCCTCCAAAGGGAGCAAAAGTCTGGTTACGTCAGAGCACATTCAGCAGTGCTGTGTCTCCAGGTAAAGCGAGGAAGCCACCTCTCACCTGCCAGGTCACCTGAACTCCAGTAAGTTAAGCAATGTATGAAAACCAAAATTGGCAGGTGAGACTGGGGAATATGATGTAAGAAGGCTGAATCTGTCCAATAGGATGTAGAAATAATTCAAAAATTGATAGGAACCTTTGAAGGATTGATTGGTTGTGACTTGTTAGGCTTAAAAACTGATATGTAATGTCAGAGAATCAATTTTCATAGAGTTACACTGGCAGGGCTAAAAATAAGTTGAAAGGCGTGTGTGTGTGTGTGTGCATGTATGTGTGGTGGTAGAGATTGAACCCAGGGCCTTGTGTCTGCTAGGCCAGCACTCTTCCACTGAACTATATCCTCATCCCAGTGGAAAGATTTGACTGTGAGTGGAAACAAATCCTATTGAATAATTGATTGCTGACTTGCTGATCAATTAGACCCTTCTGGATCACCATCAATTATCCACTGATGAAAGCCAAAGTACAAATTTGAGTCTTTGTCTTGAGAACATGGAAAGCCTAGTTCTTCTGTTTCAGCCATGGGGGTCTCCTGTCTGCCCTCAGATGCCACAAATTGTGCCCCCCCCTCCCAGCGATATGGTCTTCCTCTCTCCTTCTCAGATACCTGGGATCCTCCAGCAGCAAGGGCTTTCTCTGTGCTCATTGGATGCCATGGTCCTTCCTGTCACATGGGACTTCTCTCTGCTTTTCAGACACCATGGTCTTCCTACCAAATGACCTTTGCATGTGTATTGATGAGAAAGAGCTGGAAATTCACAGAGGCCTAGGTAAATATAATTTGCAGGGCAGAGTCCTGGAGAGGAAGGAGTTGCATAAAGACAGAACTCAGAGGTCTAAAGAGGGTCCTCCTTGTGTATTGACCTGAACATGCACATGAACAAACTACCCAAGGCTGGAAAAATAACCACACAAAAGAATTATGGAGAACAAGACTCCCAAGCTCACACAGGACCGGGAACAGTGACTGTTCCCAAATGGCAAGAGTAGAAAAAAATCAGGAAGCAGGTAGAATTCTGAGAAGAGTATTGTCTCAGTTCCAGGAAAGAACATTAACCCTACGTTAAACCAGGGTAGGGCTGCTCTAGTCCTGCTTGAAAAAACTTAAAAGCAAGAAGAGGACACATCAAACTGTTTCCAACTAACTTAATCACATCCAAGAACAAACCTCAAGAAAACTTACAGAAATACAAAAATATCCAGCTTACAACAGGGTACAATTCACAGCATTTAGAATCAGGTAGAAAATTATTAGGTATTCAGCAATTGACTGGACTGAAGTTGTGGCTCTTGGTAGAATGCTTGTCTGGCATGTGTGAGGCCCTGGGTTCGATCCTCAGCACAGCACATAAATAAATAAATACATAAAGTAAAAGATCCACTGATAACTAAAAAAATATATTTTAAAAAAGAGGAATTGACATAGATGATTCAATTGGTAGACAAAGACACTAAAATATTTATAACTATATTCCAAATATTCAATAAGCTAGAGGAAAGATTGAGCATGTTCAATAGAGACATGGGAGATGTTTTTAAAAATCCAACTCATACATTTAAGGATTAAGACTATAATGTATGAGGGGCTTGGGATATAGCTCAGTTGGTAGAGTGCTTGCCTAGCATGCACAAGTCCCTGGGTTCAGTCCCCAGCACCACCAAAAACAAAACAAAACAAAACAAAAAAACCCTATAATGTCTGAGATGAAAAATATACTGAATGAGACTAAAAGAAATTTATACATTGCAGAAGAAAAGATCAGTAAACTTAAAGATACATCAATAAAAACTATGCCAATAAAATACAAATTAAAAGGGGCTGAAAAAAGAATAGCAAGTCAATGATCCCAATAATCCATGGGATAACATCAGTTGGCTTAATAAACATGTGTCGCAAGTCCCTGAAGTGAAAGGAAGCAGACAGGAAAAAAAAATATTGGAAGAAATAATAAGTGAAACTTTTAACAATGAGAATTGTAGACTCACAGATCAATGAAGTTTAAGACTCCCAAGCATAAAAAATCTGTACCAAGCTTCTTCAAAATCAAATTGTTCAGAACTTGTGATAAGAATGTAAAAGCAGCCGGTGTACGCAGACATCACATTATATCAGAGAAACAAAGATAAGGATTATACCCGATTTATCACTGGAAACAACACAAGCCCCACAGCGGGACAACATTTTTTAAAGTACAAAGGAAAAACACTGCCGATCTAGGTTTTTTTTTTTTTTTTTCCCCAGTACTGGGAATTGAAGCAAAACCATCTTTTAAAAAAAGGCAAAACCTTTATCAGATATACAAAGGTTAAAAAAAAAATTCACTACCAGCAGACCAGCACTACCAGAATATTAAAGGAAGTCCTTCAAGTAAAAGGATAAGGGTATCAGACACCAGCATCTACACAAGAAAAGAAAGTCAGCAACTCCATGGGTAAATATAAAGACTCCTGTTCTTATTGCAGTCGTTAGTGAATGTCATGTTGACATTCCGGCCAACAACAGACCAAGTACATGACAGCAGTCTCATAAAATTGCATTGCCTGGTGACTCATAGCCATCTCAGTTGGCTAAGTACCCTCTATGAGATTTGCATGAGAGCAAATGCCCACCGTGTGACTATAATCACACCTCTCTCTGCCTCCTGCCCCTCACCAGAGAGGCTAAAGCACTTAACACATGTTTTGGATTTGTTTCTTGTGAAAATACTGTCCCATACACACCACGGAAATGCAGAACACAAATGCATTGCAGGCTACGGTGCTAGTCAAGTCCAAGGTCACCACTGTGAGAGTCACTAGGTCTCCCTCACTTAGTACTTCAGAAATTTCTTGACAGAACACTATATTCTTGCTCTTGGATATAAATGCCAGCCTGTCTGAAATGACTGATTTGTTACTTTTACAGTCATAGGCTTACCTTTCTGAGACGAAGTCCCCAGGGGCTGGAGCTATGGCAGGATAATATGACAAATACTAATCTCTTTTAAATTTATAGCACTTTTTAGTTTTAAAAGCATTCTTTATCTATTATTTCGTTTTATTTTTACGCCAACTGCAGGAAGTACATGGCATTGATGTTACTTTGCCAATTTTACCGATGGCTCTAGGAAGTGAATTTGATTGGGCCCGTAGACTGTAAAGCAATTTTGTTTTGAGAGAGGATTTAAGTTTGCACAAAATGAATCATTAAGAATAATGAGTTTAACTGGTAACTGGGAGAGTTTCCGGGCTGCTACAGGGATGTACTGTGAGAGGGAGGAATTTGAAATGCTTAGAGTGAATTTGGTTGATAAAAATTCATTTGAAATAGGCAAAGCAATTCCAACTATGGCTCTCACCTGTCCCTAAGAGATCAAGGTCAGTGAGTACCCTAAAGTCCTATAAATCTGCACTTAGCCTCCACAGAAACTCTGGAGACATTTGACTGGGGCTTTGTCTCCTGTCCCCCACGCTGGCCAAATCCAGGAAGGCTGCAGTCCAAGACCCAAAACGCTGACTGCCTCAATCTCTACCACCTCCTTTTCTGGCTCCAGGGGCTTGGGACCTTCTACTGGCAGGGTACTCAACTGTCCTTTCCACAGAGGGATTATCAGCTTGTTCTTTTACCATCCCCAAACCAAAGGATCCCTAAATTATTCTTTAAACGTTTTAGAGCATTACTTCATTTAATCCTCCGAAAGGTGCAAACAAAGGAACCAGCATTTTATAGAGGAAGAAACCAAGTCTCAGAGATTAGGTAACTTGTCTCAGGGACAAGTTAAAATATGTGCATTTTTTAAAAATAATATTGTCCAAAGTCACAGAGCTGGTAATTGGGGAAGACCAGCCTGTATACAGACTCTGTTAAATCGGAAAAATGTGTGTCATTAACTTGCTGTGTGACATTGAGTAGGTCACTCCCTGTCTATGGATCTTGGTCTGTCATCTGTAGAATGAGGGGGTTGGCACAGAAGGAGTTTAAGGTCCTGCTCTGCATTCTTGGTTTACTTGATCCACAAAGATCTGTATTTGCCTTCTAAGGTTCTTTTAATAGCCACTAGAGGGCACTCTGTTCCTATAGTAGGAGGCACTGGGGACGGCTGAGTTCTGATTACCAGTCACCAACCTAATTGATAAAATTCCTAACCTAGGGGCTGGGGTTGTGGCTCAGAGGTAGAGCACTCGCCTAGCATGTGCAAGACCCTGGGTTTGATCCTCAGCACCACATAAAATTAAAATAAAGATATTGTGTCCAACTACAACTAGAAAAATATGTTTTAAAAAAGAGAACAATAAATCCTTAAAAAAAAAATTCTAACCTAGAGCAAAAAAATCATATGCAATTTCAGCAGAGGGCATTTGTGGAATCCCCAACAGAGTTTCTCAAATAAGAAAGTAGCATTAGAATCTTTGAGGTTCTCTGATGAGGAAAATCGTGCATGGGGCTGTTGACTGGTGGGGACCTTCAGAGAATCAGAGCAGAGGAGTTGGTTAGTGAAGTCAGGAAGGCCACCTGCATGCTCTCCAAAAATTAGTCACCTGCTTTCCTCTTTCTCTCCCCATTCTCGCCACATCCTCATGCCTCTGGAAGTATTCCCTCCCTGCCCCTATACTGATCACTTTTGTAGCTTAGACAAGTATATTCACAAAAGGAAGCTTTATATCCCCACCATAAGCAGAAGACTGTGCTTTTGTAACAGATTAAAATAAATGCCTTTATGGAATGTAAGCTTCATGTTTATAATCATAGAAAATTCTGACAATTTTGTTCACTGTTCTACATTTGTACTTAGAAAAATAGCTGCTCTCAATAAATATTTGTTGATTATATCAGCATAAATATATTCATCTACATACTATCTAAAATAATATTGAATATTGTCCCTGGGAAACACAGGAGCAGCAAAAGGGCCAGGAGACTATCTCATGGACTGTGATCAGATGCTGTCAACAGGAAAGCAGTGGGAAGGTGGCCGGGTGTCGCAGCCTACCCAGAGCCCACATGCCTGCTGCAGACAGACAGGCCTGTGCGGCCTAGTTTTCCAAAAGTAGACATACATGCTATTTTTTTTAAATGTGCATTCTTTATAATGTTGTTGTAATTTTTTACCTTTATTTATTTACATGTGGTGCCTAGGATCAAACCCAGTGCCTCACACATGCTAGGCACGCGCTCTACCACAGAGCTACAGCCCCAGCTCCGGGAAAAAAAAAAAAAGTGCATTTTATCTAGTTTTAAATACTGGTCACAATTTTTAAAAATCCCTAAAACACAGCAAAGACCAAACACAACACACCTGTGGGCTGTTTTAGCAGAGGGGCTGCCAGTCTTTAACCTCTGTGATCAGCACAAAACTCCTTTCCCTCTCTTTCAAGTGTATAAGAGAAGTCTTGGAAAGATGCTTTCCAAAAGCTCATTCCAAACAGGAAAGTTCGGGCTCAGCTGCCTCTTGACTGTAGAACCTGGGGGTCCTCTGCACTTACTTGGACTGCTGCAGAAGATCTAAATCCTCCCATTCTTTTAAACCAGCTGGGATCTGTCCTCTGTGTCCCCAGCCTGGAGGGACAACCCCGGACACCCTAGAGTTTCTATCCTGTATCGTCCTATCCAGGCAATTGCTCCTCTCCTCCAGGGGACAGCTCCCTTACTTCTGCACTAACCAACCTATTTTTCTCTATCATCGTCATTTTGATGTTCATTTTCCTTGTTTTCCAGGCCTCTCCTCCGAGAGGATGTTGATTTATTGAAGAAGAAAGCTGAATTCTAAGTATCTATCCCTGACGGCCCTGGTCTGTGACTGACCCTGCTTGCTGACTCCTCAGTGGGCTTTGAGGATATAATTTCTCTGGTTACCAAGATGGTGAGGGTTCCTTTGGGTAGACTCTGAGGGGGCCAAGCAGGTGGGCATCTCTGTCCCAGGCCACACCTCCCAGCCTCCCAGAATTGTGCACCTATTATCCTTGGTACCCCTGTTTCAGTTTCACCATGACCACAGCCAGTCTTGAATATTGTCCCTGGAAAACACAGGAGCAGCAAAAGGGCCAGGAGACTATCTCATGGATTGTGATCAGACGCATCACAATCCATGATGTGATGCGTCTGATCCCCAAGGCCCCTGATGGTCTGCGGGAGTGGACAGTCCTAGCTGTCTCGTCCAAGGTGTGCTTCTCAGCATGTCCAGCTGTGCTCCTTTGTCAACCCTTGGTTCCATGAGATCACTGTCCCAGGCCCCCTCTAAGCCTGACGGGATGTCTAGAGGAGCTTTGATTCGAGTGTCCTTCTGCACACATTAGCTCATGTGGTCCGAGGTGCTCCACGACTTCAGGCAGGGGGTCTGGATCTCCCCACATTAACAGGACTGTTGCAATCATTCCCTCACTTCCCTGGGGGCGTGGGTTGTTCTTGCCTTCCATGTATTTAAGGTCCATCCTCCAGCCACTCCCTGACCCTGTCCCAGGACATTCTGCTAATGCTGTGGGGCTGGGTTAGGGGAGTAACATTACCCAGGAAGAGGAGCCTGGGTAATGTCAAACCACACACACACACACACACACACACACACACACAGAGCGGGGTGTGGTGAGCCGTGGAGCCCTGATGTGACATGCAATACCTGACCACAGGAACGTGAATTCCCAAGAAGGTGAATCTCCACCGAAGCCGGGTCTGCTGGGGGCCTCCCCCCATCCTCAGGACCACCTCGTTTCCCCCTGGCTTCATCAACGCTCCCCTCTGGCTTTCCTTTCCTGAATATGGGCTAATGGTCGTCAGAGTTTGCCTCCAGCTTTTCTGCCGGCTGAGGACCCCAAATCTGGGTCAGATGCCTTCCAGGCCCTTCAGACCACAGGGCCTAGTCTGTGCCCTCCTGAAGGGAGCAGCAGGCTCCCTCCCTTCCCTTGGGTGCCCGGAGATAAAAAGCCTAAGGAGATCACCTTCCTGAGAAGGACTCCAACTTGAAAAAAGGAGGGAGCTATTCCTTAGGTGGCTTGGGACACTGCACTTCCTTCTGATGGGGAGCAGGGAGGATCTACCCGTGACGTGGCCCTGGGCTGGGGCACTCGGAGCCCAGCTCCATGGTGGTGGGAGAGCTGCTGGCTTTGGAGTACACTGAGCCAGTCAGCAGTCAGCACCAGTTCCTCCCGAAGCTCCAGAAGGAGCCCAGAGTCCCCCTTGGAGTCTCTGCATGTTCTAATCAAGCCCATTTGTCCCCTTAAGAGAAACCACAAGCTCTTTATTATTCCATTATTTCACCTGTGTTTAGAAACATTTTATGATAATTGAGTGAAGAAGACACCATCATCCCATTTCCTCCTATTTTTATTGAAGATAACCAGTGTTACAGTTACACTGAGGGCAAAGTGGGTTTTGAGTGGTTCCCTGGTGGGTCACAGTGACAACCCCATTTCTTTAGAAAAATGCATTGTGAATTCTAAACCGTGGTTGCACAAAAGGTCTGTTACAGCCATTACCACACGCTTCCTTATCATGTCTCAAAGCAGCTTATTTCTAGTAGCAATCTGTATTTCAGTAAGTCCTAAAGAATTCCAAACTTTCTTAAGGAATCCTTTGCAAATATGAAGCATAATTTATTTAACCTGAAAAGAACCGGAACAAAATGTTGATAACTTTTCCCTAGGCATTTCTTTCCCATGGTTCAATGTAATCCAATCCCAGATGTGCAAAAATTTCTTCTTCACTTTCTGCTTTGAGAAATATCCTCTGAAAACATAACAAGAAATAATGTGCATTCAGTTATTTTTCTTAAGCATCTCAGTGCAGATACAGTGAAAATGTGACTTGTAAAACTTATTAGAATGAATTATTACAAAATACTTTGCTTCTGAATATATAAGTCATCATAACCAGTTTCTGTAAATTTTACATTTTTTCCATCCAAGAATATGATTATTATGGTTTGCATGGGAGGTATCTCCCAAAAGCTCACATGAGAGACAATGCAAGAAGGTTCAGAGGAGAAATGATTGGCTTGTGAGAGTCTTAACCTAATCAGTGAATTAATCCCCTGATTAGGATTAACTGAATGGTAATTGAAGTGGTAGGGTGTGGCTGGAGGAGGTTGGGAATTGGGGCTGTGGCTTTGGGGTATATATTTCTCTCTGGCAAGTGGAGACCTCTCTCTCTCTCTGCTTCCTGATCATCATGTGAGCTGCTTCCTTCAGCCACACTCTTCCACCATGATGTCCTGCCTCACCTTGGGCCCCAGGAATGGAGCCTTGGTGAAGGTGCTCCCCCTCCCACTGTCTTGACAAGGTCACAGTGACCTTGATGAATGCTGGCAAAGCCGTGCTAGTGGGAAACCGAGACCATGAGACCCTTTTTTATGTAATTGGGACTTTTCATTTTCATGCTCATATTCCTGACAGGAAGCATGAGTATGCTTAATGCCAAACCAAATTAAATTTCAGATGGCTAGAACATAACAGGTAGCTCATGCCTTGAAGGCTATTCTACTACCTCTCAGTATATCGAGGATAAAATATAAGACTGTTCTACTATCTCAGCACATTGAGGACACAACTGATAATGGACAACAATCATTCTCCAAAAGGTCATGAGAATTTTAGGTACCACACTGATTATATCAACTAAGAACCCAAGCCCATATTTCAGGCCTCTTAGAAAGTCTAGTCATTATGTTTATTGCACAAAGCCCACCATAGGTAGTTTTGTTCGTTAAGGGAAAGTTATGTTATACACTTAGGAAAGTTAAGGCAAATAAAGATACATTCTCCCCCTTTCTATAAATCCTCTTTTACCTCACATAGGGACCTATGTTAAGCATAGTTAATGTTGGTGGTAAGTGGACTGGGGTTCAGAACTTTCGTTTCAGTGAGAAAGATTACAAAGATATAAGAAATAGTGCACCTTGTCTAAGAAACAAAGAAACTCTTTGAGAAAGCAGCCCAACCAGTTTTATGAGAATAAATTTGGAAATTAATTAAAGTAGCTTTATAAGACATATTTTTAGAATAATGTTAGAAATATTATTTTATTTAGATTCTTAAGTTTAGAATTCTTAAGTTTTTAGCTGTATGGGTTCTTAAGATGCTTTAAGAATAGTTTATAGACTTTTGTATAAGATTTAAGGGGACTTCTTTAGATGGGAATTTTAGATTGGAAATAAAGTACAGATGTACTTTAAACTTAAAGGTTAATAACAGGTTAAGAGACTTAGAGTCCGGTTATGTAGTTTGGCATCTGTTAATAAGAAAATAGTACATCTTGGGAAAAATAGTACATCTTGGTAAAATCTAAAAAATGCAAATTAGTGACGCATTTTATTAATGATTTTGTACCCATAATAAGGAAACGTCACATCCTGGAAAAATGTAAATTGAGGTCACATTTTTCTATACCCCTAATGATTGTTAAGGAAATGTCACATCTTGGCAAGATTTGGAAATTGTGTAATTAATGATGTATTCTGAATCCATTATGATGAGAAAAATTGTAATAAATGACCCAGAGAAAGCTGCATTAGAGCTCTCTCTCTGGAGATTGCTCCAACGGAACGACTCCTTTGCGCTACTTACCACAGGAACCCCTGGACCCCTGGACCTTGCTGGGGCAGAACCCTGGCAGAGCCTGATGTCTATGGACTGAGACCTCCAAAACTGTGAGCCCCCAAATAAACTTTTCCTCTCCTGAAATTGTTCTTGCTGGATCTTTTAGTCCGAGTAGTGAAAAAGCTGACTAAAACAATGATACTTAGTGAATTAAGATAAAGTTGTGACATCTTTCCATTTAAGCAAAAGGCATTAGCAGTTCTTAACAGCTGTTCACTAGAACCACCAGATGGAGCTGTTTTTTGTTGTTGTTGTTGTTGTTGTTTTAATTGAAGTTTGAACCACATCCTGTCCAAAGAAATTGAAGCTTCAGGAGAGGTCCTGTCATCTTTCTATTTAAAAGTTCTGGATAATTCTAATGTGCAATCAGAATCATGTGCTGCTAGTACTTTTAGGACACTTAACTACTAAGTGTTGAGTTCTCTAGTTTCTGCATCTGTTCCCAACCACACCAGGCTCCCACCCCCTGATCTCTTTAAGACCAAGTACTGCTCTCTTCCTCCACGTATCTTCTTGTAAATAGCACAGTTCTGGGCACATAGAAGGTACCTATTTGCTTAAATTATTTATTATGTGTTAATTTGTCTTTCTAAATTATATCATATTAATCTATCTCCACCCACATGCTCAGCTTCTGGGGGTTCCCTGCTAGCACCTACAGCTCCTTCTCTGTGAGCAGCACTTTGAATTTCTTTGGGAAATCCCCTCTCTCTACTCTCAACCCATGAAAGTCAGATGGAGTTGCTCTCACCTCCAGGGAGAAGCACACAGCACAAGCCTGGCAGATCAGAGTTAACAGCACCAGCTAGGATTTTTCTTGCTGGTACTATTAAGAAAGAGATTCTGCTCTGTTGGAGAATGGGACTCATGGAAAAAGCTGGCCTGCGAATGAATATAACATCACAGGAAGCCTGCCTGAGCACCTGGATACGGCTACACCTAAGCCAATGTTACCCCTAGACACTGCAGTAAGCAGCCTAGTTCCCTTTCCTTTGCCTGTTCATCCTTGAAACTGAGGCATCTTAACTAAATACATCTCATTTGGACGATCAACTCCTAGAGGGCAAGGACCACTGCTTCTAGTTATTTTGTCGTCTTCCCCTTCAGAACCTAGTGTTGTGTGCTTGACTGCTATAAGAGCAGACCGTGGTGCTCCTGATTACAACAGTTGAATCTTGGGTGTTTCGTAATCCATGTAAAGTAATGTAACCCTGAGGCGTGAGCTGGATCATGACCACAGCAAGGCTAGTGTGCATGGCGCACGAGTCACATAGCTCGTGAGCCTAGCCAACTGCCCGTCTCCCTCTCTGGGCAGCTCTGTCTCTCTCCTTTATCCACTCAGAATGCTACTGCTTCTGCATTTGCAGGGTAATCAGGGGTGTTTGTGATTTGTGGGGATCCCTGGTTTTCTTTGAAGCCACTCACTACAAACACCAAGGACATAGCAAACCCAGTCTGTTCACTGCCTCCCCTGGCTCTGGGGGCTACTTTAGCTTATTTTTTTTGAACCCAAAGACCCTGAGTTGCACTCTGGGCCAGGTGGGGACTGTCAGCTGCATGTGTGTGTGTGTGTGTGGGGGGGGTGTTTCCAGCTGCTCTCTTCTGTGATCAGCTGGGAATGGGACACTCACAGCAAATGAAATGTAATTGGACACTAAAATCAGTCCAGGGAAAGTGCTCAGGGGCCAGTCTTAGGGATGAGGACCCAAGTTTCCCATGTCAGGAAGGAAGCACTACCTTGGTTTTGTCATACAAAGCGTGGTTATCCAGGATCATCTTCCGCTCGTGTGTGGCATAGCGACGCAGGTCTCTCTCAAACTGCTGGAAAGTGATCATGAGAACAAATTAATGTCACGTCCAGAATGTCCTCAGTATTCACCGTTGAGAGATGGCTGGGACCCTCTAGTGAAATATCTACCTCCACTAAATGTTCTCAGAGTGATTTTTCTCTCCTAGGGAGAAACTGATGGCAGAGCCCTGTGCTCCCATGAGCACATTGGACTGTAAGCTCGGTGAGAACAGGAACCTGAGGTATTTTGCCCAGGACCCCATTCCTTAGGCAAATCATGCCTCATGTGTAGAAGTAAAACTGGACCAGGTTTAAAATAAATAATTTTACTTTAAAATTTGAATATTATTATTGTAAAAGAGAACAAGGAGTCAGGGGATCCTATTCCAGGATTCTTGTCCCTATCTGGCTGTGTATCTCTTGGCAAGTCACCCAGCCTCTCTGAATCTTGGTTGGTCAAAGGATGGAGGATAGGCATGATAAATTCCCCTCTGGCTTTGCCATTTCCTCCTTCTAAGATTCTGTGAAGTCACCTGTTCCAGAATGGCTTCTCTTATAATCAAGAGTTGGGCTCTGAGGCTTCAGGGAGCAAACCCGCAAAACCCAAAGCCTAAGAGGACAAGAGAGCTTTGAAGATGAGAATAATGAATAGCGTTTGTGAAGCTGGTTTTCCTGAGAGAAGCAAAGGTCTAGAAATTTTGTCTTTGGAATGCCTTGGGTAACTGTGCCCTCTAGTGGCAACAGGTGAGTTCCTATCAGGGAAGCCGGCTGTCCCTGGCTGAGCAGACAGTTCAGCAGAAGTCCTGGCTGGAGATGGGGCCAGACTTGCGGAAGAATTGGGGAGAAGCAGATTACCGTGCGTAGACAGGTCTGTGAAGGTTCAGGAGTGCAGCCTGGCTCACCGCCTTCCCACCTCCCAGCCCTGGCCACTGTCCTTCCTCCCCCAGCCTTAGCCGGGTTGTGTGGCTCACACCTGTGGACTGGTGCCAGCTGGTGAGACTGGGGGTGGAGGTGAGGCCGGGGCAAGTGGAGTTGATGAGGGGCTGTCCCGGATCCTCCGCCCTGCTGTTTGGGTGTTTGGGTGACAGTTGTATTCCTGAGCTCCTCTGTGAAAGCCTGAGGAGCAGTTTCCATACCCCATTAGGAATTACACTGTGTCTGCCATTTGGAGAGTAATGAAATTATTAACAAATATTTGCTGAGTTTCAGCTGTGTTCTGGGTGCTTGGAACATGAACAGTGAACAAAAGAAAGACAGTGTGCCTGGTAGAGCCTAGAATCTAGCAGGGGCCATAGGTGATTTACAGTAGCAGAGGAAATAAGTTAATTATGGGATACGTTAAAAATAAGTGTTAGCTGGGTGTGATGGTGCATGCCAGTAATCCTAGCAGCTCGGGAGGCTGAGGCAGGAGGATTGGGAGTTCAAAGCCAGCCTCAACAAAATCAAAGTGCTAAGCAACTCAGTGAGATCCTGTCTCTAAATAAAATAAAAAATAGGGCTAGGGATGTGACTCAGTGGCCGAGCGCCCCTGAGTTCAATCCCCAGTACCAAAAATAAATAAATAAAGAAAGAAAGTACTGTGAAACAGACAGGGCAAGGATGTTATGTTTCAGATAACAAGAGGTGCACATTGGTAGAAGCAGTCGTAGCACAGTCTGACTGTATCATTGCTCCAACAGACTGCAGAGTTGGGCTGTTTCGTAGTTGTTGCATATGCGTGTGGAAGTTGTGCACTGTGAAGCTTTAGACAGCACAGTTACGTGAGCTCTTTGTAGATGTTCATGTTTATTATGACAATTTTAGGGCAAATGGAAGTAAGGTAGCTTAAGGAAGAGATGCTTTTTTTAAGTAGGTATCTGGCCATAATCATTTGTGTGCCTCCTCCCAACATGTGACATAAACATACATGATCCATACTTTTGAAGAAATTCCAGCTGTTGTGGTTTAGATATGAGGTGTCCACCAAAAGCTCACGTGTGAGATCATGCAAGAGAGTTCAGAGGTGAAATTCTCGGGTTACGAGAGCCTTAACCTCACCAGTGCATTAATCCACTGGGATGGATTAACTGGGAGGTACCTGTAGGCAAGGTAGGCTATTGCTAGATGGGATGGGTCACTGGGGGTGTGTTTTTGGTGCTTATCTTTCCTCCCTGGTGAGTGGAGCCCTCTCTCTGCTTCCTGGTGACCACGTCCTGGGTGGCTTTCCTCCATCATCCCCTTTCACCAGGATCTTCTGCCTCCCCTCAGGCCCACAGCCGTGGAGTCAGCTGTCTATGGACTGGGACCTCTGAAACTCTGAGCCCCAAATAAACTTCTCCTCCTCTACGTTGTTCTTGTCAGGTCTTTTGCTCATAGCAACAAGAAACCTGACTACAACACCAGGAAATAAAGCCAGGCTGACCAGCTCAGCAGACCTTCTTGGAAGAAATGTGATTCAGGGGAAAACAGACGTTTCTCTTGGTTTTTAACTAATGAACTCAGGCACGGTCTAGAGGGCATACCATACCTGGGTGGCTTCAGAAAACCTCAGCTTCGTGTGTTCCTGCAGATGGACCCTGTTCAGGAAGTCCTTGGGCCCAAAGATCCCAAGGAAGCTTTGTGGTAGTTACTATCCCTGGGCTGAGGTGACACTAGACTGGACCAGGAATTTTAGACTAGACCAATCCTAGTTGCTCACCAACACTTATCCCCTGAGGACAGAGCGCCAGATGAGAGCCAGTAGAGGTCAGCAAAACACACCATAAGTGTGTCACTTAAGTGACATAAAGATTATAAAGATAATCACAAATTAGCCCAGCTTTATATATGCTGAGCCCTTGGCACATTTAAATTCATGCAGCATCTCATTTAACCCAGGTGGCAGCAGGGCTATGAGGTGGGCATCACTGTTAACAAGGACAGATGGACAACTAGGGTTTTGAGAGGTTTAATAACTTGTGTAGTCACCCTGCTAAAATCTGGGTGAGTTTGGTGTTCTGCCAGTGTCCTGTAAAACCAATAGCCATAATTTCTGAGAACTCTTGAGAAAAGAGACCAGAATGTGCTGAAAACATTTTATCTTAAAAACAAACTAAGCAAAGGGAAGCCATTTTAGCCTGTGAATCCCAACTGGCATGACCTTGTGTGACCTTACAAAGATTTCCTTTTAGTACTGTCCCCTTCCTCAACACACTCTGTTTCCAAAGATGTATGTCTACCAGACAAATTACATTTATGGTGTATCTTTAATTCATTTTTTCATCTTTTGTGTGTGTGTGTGTGTGTGTGTGTGTGTGTGTGTGTGTGTGTGTGAATAAAAGATACATTTCATTGCCAGTTGACATTTTTTGATTTGGATAAGAAATCCCAGGGCTAAGATCCTGTGCTGAGAATATTCCAGCCCAAAGAAAAGATACTTAACATTTAATTCAAAATCAAAGACAATCCATTTACATTGTGCAGTTATTTAGTTTAAAACCTTCCATTTCATTCCAGGCAACAACTGGCTACTTTGGGAAACAGGTGCAAGAGTGAGGAGGAGCTCGGCTGGGAGGGCTGAGCACATGTCACAGCAACTGAGTCCATGGTTCCCTCTCCTTGAGCATAAAATGATGGGAGCCAGGAGCTGCTGTTTATCCAGTACTGACCACACACCTGGTGCTGCTGGGCTTTGAGAGTATCATCTCTAAATCCCTGGAACCTAGGGAGGTAGCCAAGTTCACGGCCCTCATTTCCCTTATGGGAAGACTGAGTGCAAGATCACCTGGCTGGTATGAGGTGGAGCAGGGTGAGCCCAACCTGTGCTCTTCACCACCTGCTAGTTTCTCTGCTTCCTTGGTCTCATGCCTGAGCTCTCAGAATCAGCTAGGGGGCTTTTCAAACTCCATCCCCAAAGTTCCCGAGTCAGTAAGTGTACGTCGGGTGGAGGGTTTACAAGTCTAACCTATTTCAAGGTAAGGCTGCAGCTGCTGCTCTTGGGATCACACATTAGGAACCTCTGTCCTGAGTGAATCTGGCATGACCGTGTGTGGGTGGAATGCCTGATCTAATACAACCTGCTGTCATCTCTCCTCTGGGCCCCAGCAGAGCTGGCCTACATGTTCTGGAAGGCCAACATCATCCTGTGGGTCCATGTAGCACTCACCCGAGAGCCGGTCCATCCCAGCAGGGCGAAGGCACGGCGCTCATAGGGGCACATGACCAAGTCCACACGGATGGCCTTCCAGTTCTTCCCTCCCTGCTGGCTGGCCTTGTCGCTGTCCACTCTCTGATGGTGCAATTTTAGAATCAGAAAGCACTTTTGAAAATGATCTAGAGCATCCACCTTCCTGCTAGGCGTCTTGAGCTTTTCAAATGTCGACTCCACAAGGTCACAGTATAAAAGTAACCCCTGAAAGAAATGACAAGACATCAGGAAGGTCGCCAGGGGAGTCTGCGATCTTATAGCAGGCTCTTGACCAAACCTTTACAGGGCTGAACGGAGGCAGGGGAATTTTTGTCCTCGAATCCAGAGTCCACCTGACACAGCAGGAGAGGCAGCTGAGTGAGCGAGTGTCTTATCCCCCCTCTGCAGAAAAAGAATTTAGCCACCAGAGAGGCTGAGTTCCAAAGCCACTTAACAGCAAAACCTTGAGAGGGTTTGCCTCCCTCCTTCTGACTCTTCAGCCAATGCTGAGACTCCCCTCTCTCCTTGAAAGACAAACCAACCATTAAAAAAAGCCATGCTGCTGCCAGGTGGGGTGGCTTTGAGATCCTGTCCCCATGCTATACGGATGATCAGGTTGAAGTGGATCAAGGTTTGTGGCTGGAGGCTCAGCTCCACTTTGGGGCAGGGTGACTTGCTATTTTCAGCAGCACTGAGGCTGCTTTGTCTCTTGCCTGCCTTGGAGCAAGTGGGGCAGAAGTAGATAGCTCATCTGAAGTTGGCTCCTCAGAAAGCTACCAAGTGATTCTGGGACACAGCGAGGCAAGTTGCCCTGTGCTCCCTGGGAGTTCTTCACAGCACAGGACAGAGGAGGGGAAGAGAGAGGCAATTTTTATTATTTTTGGACACGCTTTCCATTTCTTCTGCAAACCTCCAAGAGCCACTGTTTCCATTGAGAGGAGAGTTTTTCCTTTGCCATCTCGAGGCCAGCGTAGCAAGAACAAAGCCCCTGCGAGGGTTGAGAAGGGAGCTCTGCCATTGGAAGGAACCTCTGGGTGGGGGGAATGAATGCTGCCTTAGGGGATCTCCAACCACCAGCCCATTAAAACGCTTTTCAATGAAACTTACTAAAACAGGTACATTATAGCTGACTTTCATGTACATTTGAATATGTAAATTTGAAGAGCAAGTTATTAAAACATTAGCAAGCTTCCTGTTGAAGCCAGATTTGTAATAACATCTACCTTCCTGTCAAAAAACACCTGCAACGCTGGCTTCCTAGGAGTGAATTGTGCTGCGGCACTTGCCAAGGTGGTGACACCTGACTGGTAACAGACGGGCAGCCATCCTTGGTTGACTTTGTCTTGAGTTTTGCAAGGCTTTCGGGAAGGCCTCCCCTGAGTGAGACGCCCCCTGCATGTCGGGTTCTGTCTGCAGCAGGGTGTAGTTGTCAGCATACATGCAATCCCTGATGTGGACTTCAGTTTTCTTCTTTCTTCTGGGATTTTGACTGTCTATCTCTGTGTCCTGTAGTTCCCTGCCTCATCCCCCATTTCTTCTCTCCCCCATGACTTCTCTCCTATGAAAATTCCTTTTAAAGGTTGGACTCTAGCTTCTCCATCAATACCCATGGGCCACCCGATTTCCACACCATCATGACCTTCTTTTCCCACTGGAAACAGAGTCCTGACTAGGAAAGAGGCATTTCCCTGCTCCTTCCTCCCTGTCCCCAGGGGACAGAGCAGCCAGATCTCAGGGTAAGGAGAGCTAGAGAAGGTGGGACATGCTTAGCAGAGCCTGAAGTCCGTGCCCACCCTTTGCTTTCAATCTTCTCCAGCTCCTCAGCAGAATCAGCGCCCCCTATTCAAAGTCAAATCAGCTTCTCAAAGTGAAAACAGTGTCCTCCAGATTGTTTCCAAGACCCCTGCTGATATCAAAGACCACAGATGAGTCCCGGCTATAGAGGGGGGGTGGGGGGGGGTGGGGTGTAAAATTTGCATATCACCTAGCCCATCCTCCCATGCACTGTAAATCAGTTCTAAATCACTTACAAGACCCACTATATAAATGTTAGGTGAAGGATTGTCACAGGGAGACATGACATGAAAAAATTCAGCATGTGCTCAGCACCGATGCAATTTTTCTGTTAATATTTCCTTCCAGGGTTGGTTGGATCCTGGGATACAGAAACTGAGGTTATGGAAAGCGGATTTACACTTTTGTACTTTCTAGCGATCTGGATCACCCAGCAGTGCCACAAGCTGGAGATGTGGTGGCAGGGAACAGTTAGAGGCCCTGTACCCAAGGTCCAGATCACCAGGTGTGAACCTTAACCAGAGTTGGCCAGTGTCCTTTCCTTGGGGTGAACTACACGTGGCCAGTGTTAGAATTCAGGCAAATGAAGTCTTTGGCAAGGGCGATCCCTCCCCAAAGGTCCAGACTATGGAGCTCTTTGCCTTCTCCCATCTCACCTCCCACCACGGAACTTTCTGCCAGGGCAATATTTAGAATCATCGGAGGTGGCTCAGCTGATGTCCTTGGGCTGTTCCTGCTAAACACCTGGAGGGTGCGCAGCCTGTGCAGGAGTACACGCATGTGTGTCTGCAGGCTGTGGTCTTTATCATCCTGAAAGTGCAGTTTGGGTTAAGAAGAGGCAGAGACAAAAGTTAAATATGGAGAACTGTGGGGGCAGGCCTGGAGCTCGGGGGTGTGGTCAGAACCGCCCGTTCTCCCTGCTGTCAAGCTGTCAGTGAGTCAGTGAGTGACAGAGAGGGAGCTGCGTCCCCTCATCCGCCCCAGGGTCAGGCTCTCAGGCAGAGTTCAATAAGCTACAGCGCTTGAGGGATCCTGGTAACCGCCACATTTGTTTAGCACCGTGCCCAACCTTCTCAGTCCCCCATTAGCAAGGATAGAGGCTTGTCATCCCTGCTTTAGAGACAGGGAACTGGAACGTGGAAGATTAGGGAGCCACCCAGGATTGAACAGCGAGGAGCTGGCAGGGTCCCCTGTGCTAACCATCAGCCTCCACTGCAGGTCTTGCATTTAAAACACCCATGGCTGCTTGGGGACAGCAGTATGACAGTCTTGAAACCCAGGAAGGACCAAGGGAAAGAGGACTCCCACTGCCACATCTTCTCCCATCCCAGTCTCAGCATGAGGAGGGGTGTCCACAAGCACAGGTCAATGGGTCTCCCTTTGCAAGGGCGCAGGTGGGCAAGCAGGCAGCCCACTCCACCAGGCCTCAGCCTGCAGGGTCCAGTGCTGTGCTCCTTCATCTGGGGGCGGGGAACCTTTCATCTTTACCACCCACACAGAGTAACAGCCAGAGTATGTAACTCTTCCTTGTCCTGATGTCCCCTAGTGGGGCCTATTGTGTCCACTCTCAAGGACCCTTGTTACACTGTGTCCAGTGTCCTGAGAAGGACCCAAGGAGAGACTCACAAGCAAATGTGGCTCTGATTCCCAGTTGGGTCTTTACTTCCAGTGTCCATGGCTCTGGGTCTGAGTGTTTCTAGCTCTCATTTTCAATTTATCTGAGGTCTCCTCTCGCTGGTATATACGGTCCACCTCACAAATACGATCCACTGAGAAAGAATGAAGCCGCACCAGAACAACACCAGCCCAGCCTCCTTGGCTCACTTGCTTTGCAGGATGGGGCCCTCTGCTCTGTCTGTGACATGAGGCTCTCACTAGAGTGGGACAGGAGTCAGGGCCTGCAGTGGTTAGCTCAGCTTGGGTTTCTCACGGGTCATGGGCCAGCCTGTCACAGGCCTGGTTTTGTCAGTGGGTGAGGGCTCTGAGTCATGACCTCTGCTAGGCCCAGCTTGCCTTCATTCATTTCCTCCTTCCCATCCAGCACAAAGTCCAGGCAGGAACAGAAGAGCTAGGAATTCAATGCACAGCGACGCCCCTTACACCATGTGATCCTGGTTGGAATGGTCCTGCTGCAGCCCTAGCTGTGGCTTTCCTGGATTTTCCCTGGCTTTCCCAGGTAGTTCAGTGTCCCGCCTGCATTTGGTTTGAGTGAACTATTGCCTCTGCCTGGCAGACACAAACGTGTGGCCGCAGAGGCCCCTCCGGTGACAGGGTGAGTGTAAATACACGAGGTACCTGTTCATAACAGGGTCTCTAGGACACACAGCAGGTAAATCTCATTGTGGGTCATGTGGTTTGGGACAATGTCTTACTAATAATTGAGAATTGATTAGATGGTCATCACACTATTATGAGGTAAATAATTTATAAAATTCAACATGTTAATATGATGCTCGAGTGGATACAGGTCTATTTTTAGCATCTCTCCTTACCTTCTTTTCCCAAAAGTTTGTCACTTTATGCAATAGTTGTTGTTCTTCTTCCTCTGTTGCTTCTGCGCTGGTAATTAAAAAATCTACATCGTGTCCAATATTCTTACCCCTAATTAAAAAAATGGTATAAAATGGAAATAATTAGATTTTTAGCTCTCAGTTGTTAAAAAACTCTATTTGTTTCTATGCCCAAAGGCCAAGGTTTGTAACACAAAATGCTTGTGACATTTTTAAAAGCAAATTATCCTTGACTGTACAACTCTATTCCTTGCAAAATAAATTTATGATACAGGAAAAAAAAAGCCATAGATAGTACACATAGGATGATGGGGGGTCGAGGGGGGGCAAAAAGTAACAAGAAGATTATTCCTTCTACTTGTTCACTTTTATCTGCAAAACACATAGACGGACAGACAGATACACACATACACAAGCACACACACACACACACACACACACACACATACGGCATGACAATAAGCAAACAGAAGAAGGATGTTCATGCACTATAAGGTAGCACTCTTAGAATCAAGACATAAATTAAGGGAATTTTTTTTTTAGATTCATTTTTTTCTCACTATTTCCTTTGTCCCAAACTTGGCTTGTCAGAATGGGCAATAGTCACCCGGTAAAAAGATCAGAGGTTGGAGGGAAGAATCCTTTATGAAACAGATGCCTTAATAGTCAACCCCTGCACACACTTCTGTGAAGATTCTATTCACTCTTTTATTTGTGACCCAAACAAGATTTCTGGAGCATTTACTTCATGCTGGGCATCATGCACTGGTCTCATGAGAGCTAAGCTCTAATAGCTCTAATGCTTAGTGGGGGGTAGACATTGGGATGGATTACCAAAAATGTGTGCAACAAGTGGTTGGAGGGTGTCTAGGGAGCACTGAAGAGAGGTCCCCAACCCAGCCTGGAGGAGGAGGGAGTGAAGGAAGGTCTTCTGTAGGAGGTGACACCAAAATTGAGTCTTACAGGCTAAAGTCAGCCACGTGACAATTTGAGGAATGGCAATTGAGGGAGAAAATTCCAACTGAGTAATGTCTCAGAGGCAAGAAACAGCTCTGTATGTGCAGGGAATTTTAAGCCCTTTGGGGATGCTACAATGAACTCTGAGGGCAGGACACAAGCTGCAGAGGGAAGCCAGAAGCAGACCACAAATGTATTCTGTGTTGTTTCGGAAGCCTGTATATGATAGGGAGCCATTAAGGGTACTAGAGCAGGAGAAGCAAAGCAGAGCGAGAGTTACCTCCGGAACCCTCCTGTCATGGTGACGAAGGCATCCGGAAGAAATGCCCAGACGGCCTCCTTAACCAGCACACTGACTGCCTCTGCCTCTGCCCTGGTCACACAGCTGACGAGGTCTTCATAATAGAGGAATCCTGAGAGGTCATTTGACAGGTCAGTGGAGAGAGTGAGGTGCATACAAAAAAACCTACCTCTGTGGAGGAGATTCTGCCCCCAGATGGAGCTTCATGGCCACGGGCATCACTCTGTTTCCATGGAGACAGAATAAGCCATACAATTCACCTGGTTGTGGATTGTCCAGGTGGCAATGACTCCTTGGTGTCTGATTGAGAGACGTACAATGTCCTTACTAGAAGGAGATATTTTATCCCTTGGGAATCCAGACCATTCCAGTCTGAGGTCCTAATGAAGATCCAGGCTTCTTGATCCATAAGAAAGGTAATGCATGAGGATTCAGGATGGGAAGATTTAGGATGGAAGAGAATGAATCAACTTAAAAAGTGAAAGTTGAGAACTGGGAAGAGGGTAGATTTGTTTTTGCACCAAGGTGAAAAGCATCCGAGGCATTTGGATTGTTGCTTCTTTGGTGCATAAACAAATGAAAGGTCAATGTCGGATGAAGAGCTAATGACTGGGCTTTTCCCAGAGGAGGAAGGCAGGGAGACATGGAGGCTTATCTCCAAGGATTGGGAGGAAGATTGCAGGGGAGACTCAGTGGGCCTGAGTGACATCTAATTATGCTTCATTCAGTATGAGGCACTGCTCTTCTTCTAATCAAGGTCCCCAAGAGAGGACCATCCAAACTCTGCTGCATCTCTCTAATAACAGGGCACTGACACCTCCAGAGGCAGCCCATTTCCTATCTGCAAACCCTGCATGGGCAGTTTTTTCTTTTGACAAATTTGGGTCTACTTCCTTGCAGGTTTACCCACCACTAAAACACTCAGAAAGGACAACAAGCAAATCTGTTGGTCCTTGTTTCTCACCCCAGGAATGAGGGAGGGAGGTGGCATGGAGGTCATTTGGCTTGAACATCCTGTTCACAAAGTTCTCAGTCTTCCCTGTTATCTCTAAATGGGGCATGTTATGGTGTAGATATGAGGTGTCCCCCAGAAGCTCGTATGTGAGACAATGCAAGAATTGTTGGTAGGTGGAATGGTTGGATTGTGAGGTGTGACCTAATCAATGGATTAGTCTGTTGATATGGATTAACTGGGTGGTAATTGTAGGCAAGCGGGGAGTGGCTTTTGGAGTTTATAATGTATCCCTGCTTCCTTATTGCTATCTCTTAAGCTACTTTCCTCCACCACACCCTTCCACCATGATGTTCTGCCTCACCTTCTGCCCACAGCAATGAAATCTGTCATCCATGGACTGAGACCTCTGAAACCATGAGCCTCAAATAGACTTTTCCTCCTCTACCTTGTTCTTTGCAGATCTTTCAATTACAGTGATGAAAAAGCTCACTTTAAGAGGAAACTTGCAAAAATGTGTTGGGGGGACCCAAAAGAAATGACTCTCATACTAACGTACCTATACACTGTCCAATACCATGCCAAACCTATGGGGCCACTTAGCTTATGGGAGTACTTTCTTGGTACCACAACTTATACTTTTTCTCCTTTTATTTTAAAAAGCCACCTTTTTATAAAAAGGTGGCTTTTTAAAATAAAAGGAGAAAAAGTATATGGGGAGTTTGATCTAAAAAGCAATACTTCAATTGGCTATCATACAGAGAGTGCCATCATGACTAATACACAAAGTGCAACTCATTTGGTAATCATAAAACTCCTGTGCTTATTGTATGTGAACCAAAAGTTATAATTAGCAATGATTTCAAGAGCATGCAGGTATCAAGAATGAAGATGCAGGTACTATGATAACTTGGTGACATCCATGAAAACAATTTAGTTGGGTTTCCTTTTCGGTGTGGCAAGAAACTAATCACACTGTGTCATGTTATATATGTGCTGTCATATTTCAGAAACTGACTTTTTGAGACAAATGTAGCATGGGAATACTCAAGTCTCAGAGAACTGTAGTCAGGTGCAATTATAAGTTAAAGAGAACCAGGTTTTTCATCTGACCCATTTATCACACATTGAGACCAACAAAAGTCTTGCTCCAAAGGCTGATTGCCAAGCAGAATCTACAAAATTCTTCTCTCCTGGGGCCGCCTTTGGGAAATGACTCTCAGTGTGTATTAGCTTCCCCTTTGCAGAATCCTAAGCAATTCCCATTGACAATTCCAGGCACTGGAGCACTGTTCCAGGGGACGCACAAAAGCAAGATTTTGTTTTTCTAGTAAATATGATGAGAGGGTATTCCCTGATTTCTACATAGAACTAACAGTATTAAACAGTCAAAGGACAGACACTGATTAAATGAATAGCTATTTCATGCACTATGTCGGAAGAGCCCAACTAGAAAAAGAAAAATCCAGTTTACAAACCTAGGGAACTAGAAGATCCTTAGATCTTACTGGCACTTGATGTCCTTTCACAGGGGTTCCATCTAGGTGATTTTAAGCATTGAGGGTCCTTACTGCCATTCCAAACCATCAACTTGCCACTTACATTTAATACCTATGTAAATTTATTTTTAATGACATCTCTAGAGATGATATAAATCAAACCTTTTAAATGTGTACTTTCTGGAGCCCAGAATATAAATACAGGGTCTTTTTTTCTTAGATTCTTTTATCTCCTATGTGACATTGTATAATGCTTGTTAGCAATCTTTAAGGAATTAGCACATTTCCAAAAGATGAGTAGGGATGTTCTTGGGACCCACCAAGGTTTGGTTTGCTTCCTCGATCATTGCTTCTAGTTTTATTCTTTGTTGTCATGATTTAAGCAGAAAATAGCTGTTTGCTTTCTTTTTTCCTTGGTATCCTCTGGTCCCTTACTATTATATCAGTAAAATGTTGATGATGTCATCACTTTCCGTAACTCCAGAGGCCATAGTGCTGGGGACTGTGACTGTGGCTACCTTTGGAACCACAATTACATTGTATTTCTATTAATATGGCATGATATTTTCTATATGGAATTTCATATTAAAAATACACATTTAAAGCAGACAACACATTTTTGACCCAGAATCGACATTTTTTTCATTTTTGAAAAATACATCAGAACCTTCCATACATGGAAGCAGCCAAAGCACCTTGAGCCCTGGGAGGCCCTGCCAGGCTTGGAGGTGATGGTTACAGAGCTCATGTCTTCTCTTCTCAGGTAACGGGTCCTGGTTGGGAAGATCAACCCCTTTTCTGGATTTCCACCATTTGCCTTCTGTTTTCCAATTTGTAAGGCAGATCCACAGTTGTGAACCACACTGTGGCAATGACTCTAGTTTCTAAGTATTCCTTTCTCTCCAATCCTATGTGTTGACATCTTCTATCCTTAATGCCACACCCATGTCTCTTACTCAGGGAAAGCCAGGACCCCGGTGTTAAAGGGAGTCTGTGAGAACCAGGTTGACATCTGATGAAGAAATGACAGCAGCCACAGGAAGAGAGCCTCTGCTTGGTGCCAGCACTCAGTGCAGGGCTCTGCCTGCATTTCCCTGTTAACTGTCAACCTTGCCTCCCTTTCATCAATGAGGTCACCAAGGCCTGAAGGTTTTAACTAACTTGTTTGAGATCACGCAGTTGGATGGTGCTGGAGCCAAGACTTGGTTTCAAACATCAACAGATACCAGAAACTGTTGCGGCTCACCCTCACGGGCATCAAAGTGCAACTGGCTACGATCTCTACCAAACCTGACCATCCCAGAGAACCCCGAGGTTTAGGAGAGACCATTACCTGCTTTCTGCATGTGTGTCAATTTCAGGCTTTTGTCAGATCTTATTTTGCTCAGAGTTCTGAAACCCATTCTGAACCATTTCTCAGATGTCTTCAATCCCACTCCAAAAACAGAAGTGAAGAGCTAAAAGGGGAGGGAAAGCCAAGCCATTAGTTTCTAAAATAATCACTATGACAATGAAGTGGTACTTTTCAAGATCTCAGGTAACGGATCAGAACTGCTACCCACTGTCTATGGAATATTCCAACCAGACAGGCAATGGTAATTTTTTAGTGGATTTTTGTTCCAGCTGAGCAGTGAGAGGCAGGCCTGGTTTGCATGTAATCAGACAGATCGTCTGTGCTGTTAGTGAGAAAATACCCCTACGGAGCGCCCACTTTTGCTGAGAGTCTCATGCAGGCAATGCTGCTGTGCACATCTACCTCCGCATTTGAAAGAGGGATGCTCATGGAGATTATATAAATTCTCCCCATCACACGGGTGCTAAGAGGTAGAACCCAGATTAAACCCTGGTCTATCTGTACTCCAGACCTGGGCTCCTGCTCACGGCCACACTTTAGGCCTGTGCACCATTTCTGAACAGAAGGGACTGGCTGAAGTCAGTCTACCTGCAACTCTAGGGCAGACTAGATGTAAGCCCTGCTCCTGAGTAAATGAGGATGCAGCAAGGAGCTTTTCAGATACAGCTGTGCTCCGCAAGAGCACTTTGTTCGGTCTGCTTGGTCTTTGTGTCCTTATGACATTTGTAGCCACAAGTGAGAGATTCATGGAAAGAAAGGTAATTGGCATATCATCATCGCATGGTGATATGCTGGAACACCCATATTTATTTAGGCATCTTTTTTCTAGAAATCTGCTAAGGACAAAATCACCACCCTCACTCAAATTTATATGCTGAAGCCCTAAAACCACCATCATGGTGTTTGGACATGGGCATTTTGGAGGTAATTAAGCTTAGATGAGGTCATGAGGCTGGATTCTCATGATGAGATTTGTGCTCTTATAAGACTTCAAAGAGTTTGATCACCTCTTTCTCAGCCATGAGAATACACAGCAAGAAGGCTGCCATGTGCAAGCCAGGAAAAAGAGCTCTTAACAGAATCCGACCACTCTGATACTTTGATTTAGTGCATTCAGAATCCAGAACTGGGAGAAAATACATTTCTATTGTTTAAGCTACCCAATCGATGGCATTTTATTTTGGCAGCCTGAACTGACTAATAAAACCAACCAGAATAAGCAAGAAGATTAATTGTAAAACCATTTTCAATAAACATGTAACATCACTTACTTTGAAGGATTTATAGCGTTCATCATTTAAGACAGCTTTAACTTCAGAACTTTCTCCATCTTCAATGATTTCCTATGGACAATTGGAAAAGTATTTTAAATTTGTGACACTGGACAATCACAATCCAAGACTCTCACATTTACAGATCGAGTGGCTTGATTCCTCATGACATGCACACCCATTGCTGTAGAATGTTTCCCTGCTAATCTAGAGAAAACAAGGATTTTCCTGTAATCCAAAATCCTAGCTCATCATGTATCCAAAGACCTCTTTATGATCCTCAAGGACAAGGATAGAGAAGTACTAGGTTCAAATCTACAGAACCCAAACCAAAATGTTTATTGACAAACGTATGCCCACAGATTTGTGATAATTTTCTTTTTAATGGCTATCGACTTGCTAAAATAGGAGAACTTTTCTATTGTGCAGGTTAATTTAGGACCCACTGAAAAAAGCCAGTCCTTGTTCAAGCCCATTCAATGCCCTTGGCGTCCCCACCTCTAAGTAAACTTGGGATATTTTCCTTGTATTATGAATGTACTTGACTACACTGAAGCTACCACTGGATCACCCACTTGCCTTCCGGAGGAACCTTACACGTTGCTAAATACAGAAACAGTGGCTGTCTTTCTAGATCACACAGGTAGACCTGTAGAATCAGGGTCTCCACATGTCATGCCGACCACTGTTGTGGAGGGGATCAACCCTGAGTGGAACTGAGCTGTCCACACAGCCTGTCGGAGTCAGACCAATCTCCTGCTGGTGAGCTTCCTGTTTCCTTGAGTCTTTCACTGCAAGTAATAACAACATGGGGGAGCTCTTCTTTTTCCACTAGCTGGCCCCAGATAGCTCCCATTGGGATAATCTTGAGTACAAATCATACATGTGTATGCATCTATCTTTTTTCCTATATAAACACATGAATAGATACACGTTGAGATGGAGAGAGATGACAGATTTTCCTTTCAATTATGTAGATCGGATATTCATAATCCTCTCGGTCTCCATCTCTACTCTCCTATTAAGAGCTGAGACAAACTTCCCTTCACCCTTACCTCGATGATGCTCTTCACCTTGCCCTCCAGGCAGGGAATTCCCTCCAGGTCCTTCATGCTGCTGATGGTGAATGGCAGAGATTTCAGCACAGAAGCGGCTCTCATAAATACCACAGAACAGCCTTCATTTTCTCTAAGCTCATAATTTTCAGCTAAGACGTCAAAAGCATCCTGAAGAATAAAACCACATAAACAAAAGTTCTGTTTCTGAGCCCCGAGCCAGTGTTCACTTGCAAACGCCTCGGGTTATCTCTCCTTTACATAGTAGAATGCCATCTGATGGCATTCCTCCACGGTGGGGAGCAGGCCTCCAGTACCTTTGTATCCTCCCCGCGGGATCACATGGAGTTGAACAGAAAAGACAGGTGTCGCGTGCATGGTGAGGAAACTGAGTTTGCTGCCGTTAGGTGCTCAGGAAAGATTTAGCTCACCACATCCCACTGGCCATGACTTGGCATGATTCTTCCCTGGTTCCCACAGCCTGTGGCAAGGGTTCTGCTATGACCACCGGGCATTTGTCTCTTAGTGTGTACACAGCTGGCACTTAACATAGGCTTGATAAGTAAGTGGGTGCACTCATTGGTCACACTGACACCCCCCCCAGGGTTATCTAAGGTGGGGCAGTTTGCACTGCTAGGAGAAGAGGAAGCACCTGCTGTGTGTGACATCACGCTGAGAGGGCCCAGGAGCTGCAATGTCCTGGTCTTCCTGGCAGATATGAGACTGGAGGTCTAGAAATGAGCAACTCTATGTTTGATATCGTATGGCATGTTTTATTCAGGCAACCATTGACCACTAGGCTAGCAGTTGAGGACTTGCTAGGGTCATTTGAGACACTTCAGGGTGGGGCAGGGCTTCAGAGATGATCCAGCTGAGTTCTTATTGTCAGGATGAGGAAGCTGAGGCTCAGGGCAATGGATTTGCCCAGGCCAATTAACATTCAGCTGGAATCCAGGTCTGTGGACTCAGTCTTTTGGCTTCTAGCAAAGGCTATGGATGCATTGTTGCTGGG